CCTGGGCTTATTTAAGACGGACTGAGGTGAAGTGGAAAAGTGTCCTGTGGTCTAAAATCAATATTTGAAATTCTTTTTAGAAATCATGGACGGGTTAAAGAGGAGAGGGACCATCCTGTTTGTGCACAGTTCAAAAACCAGCATCTGTGATGGTTTAGGGGGGCATTAGTGCACGTGGTATGGGTGACTTATTCATCTGTGAAGGCACCATTAATGCTGAACATATTTTGGCAACATATGCTGCCGTCCAGACCACGTCTTTTTCAGAAAAGGCCTTGATTATTTCAGCAAGACAAGTCAAACCACATTTTCATTTCATATGAAATAAAAAAATTTGACAGATGAGCCCCTGAACTGATGATCAGCTGAAATCCTATACCAAGCAAGGATGGGAAAACATTTCACTTTCAAAACGTATGGATCATTCTACAGAGGTGGTTTAAAGTCGGAGTTTACATCTAGAGCCTTTAACTGACTTGGACTTTAGATTAAAATCCTTTTGCTTTGAATGACCCTATAGCTTAATAATGCTTATTCTATTAAAATAAATGATTAAACATTCCTTTTTTTCACTAACCTTAACATTCAGAACACTACAGAAACTTTACCAAATGTTTCAATAGTAAAAATTTCAGCTAGTTTTGAACTCAGAAACGCTAACCTGTACATGACTAGCAAATACAACTCTGTACACACATAAAATGATAATATTTTTCAATAAAACACCCAAAAATGTTTGCTTAATTAAAGATCAAGCGAAGTATGTTGGTCTTCAGACTCAGGGATACATTAAAAACTACAGCAGTTGGTCTCTTCAGTTCCCAGAGTGTTGTTAAAAGCAGAGGTGATGAAACACAGTGGTAAAAATGCCCATCACAACTTTTTTTTTAAAACGTCTTGCTGGTATCAAAATGGGCATATATTTTTCTAAAAACAATAAAATTTCCCAGTTTCAACATTTGATATGTTGTCTTTGTACTATTTTCATTTAAATATAGGGTTTAAATGATTTGCACATCACTGCATCCTGTTTTTATTTACATTTTGCACAGTGTCCCAACTTTTTTAGACATGAGGTTGTATCATTGTTCTTCCACATCACTCCCTACAGTGTACATATTCAAGCGGTCCTCTTCAGTCCAGCCTGAACGAGCTTCCTAAACACCTTCCGCCTTCCTACTGCAGACTTGCGCTGGGGAAGCAGGTGCACTGCTGAGCCCAGAGGCAGCCTGCTAATGATTTAAACCCCCTTTAATGGAGCTGTAACAGACATCAAACGTCTTACTGTGACAAATATGGCAGAAAACATATTAATAAAATCTGCCAAGTGACCTCTTCAGGCTACAGCGAGTAAACGCAGCAATAATGAAGTTCAGTGTATCAGGAGAGATTGGTTGCGACTTATGAAACACGCTGGGAATGATGTGTCAGCAGCGGAATTTCCTTAGGAAGTAATTGGTTTTAGTGACTGAGAGAGCAGCTCAGCATTAGCAGGACATGTTCATACTGGAATCATACGACTGGCACACCAGCTACAGTTAAAGAGGAACTGCACCGATTTTTTTACCTTTCTACAACCCCATTTCCAAAAAAGTTCGGACGCTGTGCAAAATGTAAATAAAAACAAAATGCAATGATATGAAAATCATTTAACCCCTGTTTTTAATTGAAAATAGTATGAAGACAACATATCAGATGTTGAAATTGAGAAATTTTATTGTTTTTTTTTTTAATATTTGCCCATTTTAAATTTGATGCCAACAACCCATTCCAAAAAAAGGCTGGTAAAGTTGTGTGCTAAAAAACACCTGGTAGTTGATTGGCAACAGGTCAGTAACATGATTGGGTATAAAAGAGCATCTCAGAGAGGCGGAGTCTTTCAGAAGTAAAGATGAGGAGGGGTTCACCACTCTGTGAAAGACTGCACCATCAAATAGTGCAACAATTCAAGAATAACGTTTCTCAGCATAAAAGAGCAAAGAACTTCTGCTTTTCATCATCTACGGTACAGAATATCATTAAAAGATTCAGAGAATCTGGAGAAATCTCAGTATGTAAGAGACAAGGCCAAAAAGACACGATTCTGTAGCGGAAATCACTGCATGGGCATTAGTGCACATGGCATGGGTGACGTGCACATCTCTGAAGGCACCATTAATGCTGAACGATATATATACAGGTTTTGGCAACATATGCTGCCCATCCAGACGACGTCTTTTTCAGGGAAGGCCTTGATTATTTCAGCAAGACAATGTCAAAACCATATTCTGCATGAAACAGCAGCATTGCTCCGTATTAAAAGAGTCTGGGTGCTAAACTGACCTGCCTGCAGTCCAGTCCTGTCACCACTGAAAACATTTGGCGCATTATGAAATGAAAAATACGACAAATGAGACCCTGAACTGATGAGGAGCTGAAATCCTGTATCAAACAAGAACAGGAAAACATTTCACTTTCTAAACTACAGCAGTGTCTCCTCAGATCCCAAACACTTACAGAGTGTTGTTAAAAGAAGAGATGATAAAACACAGTGGTAAACATGAACCTGTCCCAACTTTTTTCTCTTTTGTCTTTTGAATTATTATATGCAGTGTTGATAATGTTAAAATGCAGTTAAATCTTAAAGAAATGTTTTCTCTGGGGACTATTTTGCCTCACCGTGGTCTGCATGTACCTCTCCACCATGAATGTGTTTCAAAAAATACATTGTAGGCCAAAACATGATCTCAAAACCATCAACAATCTCTCAGGTATCAGGCAGTGTATTCATAACCATTTTCGTATAAAAACTTTCTGTGATGTAGTTTTCCGAGGCATTAAACTCTTCAGACGTCTGGTTCCTCATCACCGCTGTGACCAATTCTAACTCGAAGTTTCTTTAAAATGAAGCGTTTCACTTTAAACCACTCAGAATTGCTCTTAATTGTAAAGGTACTCAGAGAGTCCCCTGTTACCTCAAAGTCCTGCTCTGTAAGAAGAGGAGCCCAGAAGCTGTCTGACGAATCCGTGTCCTAGTTAGAGGGCCAGGTTTCTGTCATCAGCCGTCGCCATCAGACAGGACTGCACTCACGGCAGTGAATGGCATTTGCCTGCAGTTCAGCCAAGTTATTCGTCCAAGACTTCACATCATCTCAAATCACGGAGGGACATGTGTTTATTCTTTAGCTTCCTGATGTGAGGACATTCCCCTACTTTCCCCTTAAAAAAAAGCCTTTTAGGTTCAGTGTTCTTATTAATCCTAGAAAGCAGGGGTCTTTAGTTAAAACTCAGTAAGGTCCAGTTAAAGAAAATATCCTCAAGCGAAGGTCCGGAACATCATAATGTCTGACTTGCATCATGATTCAGTGCCATAGACTGTTTACTGAAGTAGCCTAGTAGGTATATCAACATCTTATACAGTCAACAACTGAATATCAAATCAAATAAAGTACAGTTCAGTCATATTTCAATAATATTTATTGTCAGTTTTCTCTTTTTAGATCACGCCCTGTGAAATAACCTCCCTCTGACTCACTTTCTTCTCTGACTGCTGTGTCTCGCCTCGTCCCTCCCCTGTGTGGCGTCACTCACTCGAGTCTTGTTGCTTATCGCAATGCACAGATCTGATTGGCTGAGTAGCGTCACGTGTGATATTTACAACGCATGCGATTGGTCTGAGTCTCCCGGGCCGCTAAAGCTACCATAAAGGCTAGAAAAGTTACACTGATTAAAGTAGGACCACCCCATAAAAATTAAATAATTCTCCATAGTTTATCGGTTATAGGTCCAGGTCCGCACAGGACAGTGTCTGGGTCCGGACTCGGACCGCAGTCTGCCTATTAGTTGCTGCTATAAAGCAATAAGGGCTCCCCTGAGTTGCTCAGGCAGAGAGATATTGACTCAAATGTAAATGAAAGAAAGATTCCCACAAATACTGACTGCAGTCGACTGTCTGAAAGCTCATAACTCAGGACAGACTGAATAAACAGTGCTAATAAAAGTAGGTCAGAAATCTTCACCCTGCATGATCTTATAAAGCATTTAAACACAGTATAAAGCAGTAATTTATATACAGTGGTAGGCAGAGTTTGGGCTCCCCTGGTCAGTGACATGTTCTGTTGATTCTTGTTTCAACATATTTTCCACAGAAAACACACTTTTGCACATTTTAATGCACAGTTATTGTTTATTTATTATTGCTTTTGATTTTTTGTCTGTGCAAAAGTTATGGCACTTCTTACGGAGGTGGTTTAAAGTTGGAGTTAAACACATTTCGGGTCTTTAACTGACTTGGAGTTTAGACTAAAATCCTTTTGTTTTGAATGACCCAAAAGCTTAATAATGCTTATTCTATTAAAATAAATGATTAAACATTCCATTTTTTACTAACCCTAACAATCAAAACACTGCAGAAACTTGACCAAATGTTTCGATAGTGATCATTTCAGCTCATTTTAAGCATAACTCAGAAACGCTAGCCAGTACATGACTAGCATTCACAGCTCTGTACGCACATAAAATAATAATATTTTTCAATAAAACACAAAAAATGTTTACTTAATTAAAGACCAACTATTTTTGGTTGTGAAACTGAGGTGTTTAAAAACTCCAGCAGCACTGCTGTGTCTGATCCACTCAGACCAGCACAACACACACTAACACACCACCACCACGTCAGTGTTACTGCAGTGCTGAGAATGATCCACCACCCAAATAGTACCTGCTCTGTGAGGGTCCATGGGGGTCCTGACCACTGAAGAACAGGGTAAAAGGGGGCTAACAAAGTATCAGAGAAACAGATGGACTACAGTCTGTAACTGTAGAACTACAAAGTGCACCTATATAGTAAGTGGAGCTGATAAAATGGACAGTGAGCATAGAAACAAGGAGGTGGTCAGAATGTTATGCCTGATCGGTGTATATTGGTCATTTTCTGTATAAGGGTTGATCTGAATAGTCTGAATTTTATAAAACAGCTGATCAGCTTTGTGTAACCTGTGTGAAATCGCTGTGTTTTGCAGATGGTCCGCGCCCCACGCAGAAGGAGATCATCTCCCTTCGCGCCTTCATGCTCCTCTTCCTCAAACAGCTTATTCTCAAGGTGAGCACACCCTCTGCTTAATTTGATGAACTGGATATAGAAGCATGCCCTGCGTGAGCCGCATGAACATCACTGGATAGTTTCCCACATAATAACCGGCTACCAGAGAGGAAACTGAGATCATTCCATTAACGCTGTGATACAATGTCATTTTAATTAGCATGCTATTCTGGCTTTCCGCTCAGTGTTAGTGGAGCAGGTGACCCTGCTCTACAGGCTGTAAGGAAACAGCGACCTTGTTCTGCGTGTTTGGAGTTTGTCATCTGCAGAGTCTTTCAATTATTCATATGGATGCTGCTTTTATATGAGAATGCTGGGATCATAAATAAATTGGTAGTTTTCATATGGAGGCAGCCAGAAGACGTGTAAAGCTTTTGTTTTGCACGGAGCTGTTTATCCTCATTCCTCTCTGAGATTTGATAGGGTTTTTTTGTGAAGCAGTCACACAGAAATTAGTTCATTTGTTTCTGTGTTGCTCGAAACAATGAAAACACTCAGCCAGTCGGCGGGCCGGCACGCAGAGAGAATTGCATTATGGATCATCGCTCAGAAGAAGTGTGTGTGCGGGAGCTTCAGAGAGAAATGTCACATGGACACAGTGTTCTTGCTTTAGGCTTTTGTCTTGTCTGGGAAAAGCATGATGCGGTTGCTAAGCAGCGTCCTTTATTCGTTTAGCCGCTGCCTTTTCGCTTTTTGCTCCTGTCATTTTCTGCCTCCCCCCCTCGCTCTCTTGGTTTGCGTCCAGATGTTAGATGCATTAGTGACCTGCGTGAGTGGCCCCAGTTTATCGCCCAGACGCGTTCCCTCACTAATCAGATTAGTTAAGACATGCACATGAAGCAGGTAGGTATTCACGGTGCGTCACACGTATCACTAATTGGACGTTACTTTTTGAGCTTAAGTGTTTTTCGCACATACTGATTTACGCTTATGGCCTAACGTCTGTTTCCCCGATCACAGTCTGTCTACGAACAAAGCATCAACATGTTCAGACTGCAGGTAAATGTGGCCCAAATCCGATTTACTGGCCGAATCTGATTTTGTGGTTTGGTTGTCCACATTATCTTTTTTAATAGGGGTCCATCGATACTGGTATTGGGCATCGGCCCGATACGGTGCTCATTTACTTGTACTCCTAAAAATTCACCAATACCATCTGACCATGTGACATAAGTGTTCACTGCTGCATTAATGAACAAGCAACTCAACCCTACGATGACGGAAAAGAAGTGTTGGACACTAAAGGCCCAGTCCCATTTCTTATTTTCACCCCTACCCCTTGTTTTCGAATGTCACCCTTGGAACTGAGTTACAGGGTGGTGGTTGAAATCTTCCCTCTGAAATGGGACCCTCAAATAAAAAGAGCATCACTTCATTAACAGCTACCGGCGCTGCTCTGTAGGCGACCCTGCCAGTCTGCAGTGACGGCAGAGGAGGGTAAAGTTCAGCTCCTCACTGCTGGGCTTTAGTTACATTTAGGGCATCATATGACTTCAAAGAGGGGGGCAATTATTTATTATCACCCACCCCTAATTCTTCAGTGATATGAAGCTGAAGTCAGATATTTGTCAGCTACTTGTTCGAATTTTCCGATTTCACCTTAAATGGAGCAGCAGTTCTGACATCTGAGGTGCCAGAATGTAACTACGGCACCATTTAAGGTGGAACGGGAAATTTAGCCAGCTACCAAGTCAACAGCTACTACTGCGATTGTTGAGACACTTAGCTCAGGTCAGATTTTTTAGCATCTGAATGGCAAAAAGCCTTTTTTCCAATTGAAGTCAAGACAGATTTGTAGGTGGATTTGTGTGAATTAAGGTTCTTCAGTGCTGACTGGATGCAAATTATCCACCCGGAAGTATAACCAACCAGTATGTTTAGACATTCTGATTTAGTCTGTTTCAGTCTAGTTTAAGGATCGGATTGAATTCATTCTTTTATCCTCTCTGATATCCGATCCAGCATTTTCTGCTGTTATTGGCTCAGTTCCGATACTATGTCTTTTATGTGATATGATAAATCATGTTTAATATGACCATAGATAGGGGAATGGTCATTTAAGACGTAAGAGCGTCTTGTCTTGTATTTAAGCAATAGAACACGAGAGGGAGTGTTATCGTGAATACCATTCGCCAAATGTGTAGTCTGATCTTCAGAGTCTGACCAAATCAGACTGAGCCATAAAACTGCCGCAATATCAAGTTTAGCTCATTTTGTCAGTTTTTGCCAGATCAGTATTAATGTTGTTTTGTTCCAGCCAGTCTGTAAAGCATCTTACAGCCCATTTAGTTTGGCGAATGGTGTTGGGTTCATTTCTGGCTGATTCCAGGTTGTTTAGCTGTTCTTCTGTCTCAGCTGCCTGAAAAGCTGCTCAGTGGTGATGACAGTTTGGGAATTTAGTGTCGTCTCATCTTCAGAGTCTGACCAAATCGGCTGTCGGTCAAATGTGATCTTAAAAGTGTCCATTTTCTGTTTGTGGCAAAGTAAGAAGTAAAAACGTTCAAATAGTTTGAGCGTCTCCTACAGCTGACAAAGTCGTTGCTTAGCAACGGCGTCTCAGCGGAGTGATACGGTGTTTGTGAAAAACCGTGATGTTGTGGTGAAATAACAGCACAGTTGGAACGCTTCTCAACCAATCAGCTTGCGTGGCCGGAACTAACTGTTGTATAAACTTGTATATTTTACAGGACCGAGGTGTGAAAGAGGATGAACTGCAGAGCATTTTGAACTACCTGTTGACCATGCATGAGGTAATTAACTCTCAGTATACACTCCAGGCTCGGTCATTTAGAAAGGCTAGACTGGAGGCTCACTAGTTTCATTTCACTGCATTTTAAGTGAAAGAAATATTTTGGCAGAGAAGTCAAGCTGGAATCCCGTAGCAACTTCATAGCAACTACCTGGAATTCCTAGTAAAAGTTATCAGAAGCAATTAAAAGTGCAGCTGCTTTAACATTTGAACCGTTAATAACTGGCTTTGTCAAGCCAACCTGGTTTGTTCACAGACCCTCTCACTCTAGTTTAGACATGTAGTTCAAATGGTGCTACTAGATGGGTTATTAACCTCCATTACTTGTTAGCAATGTTAGCCTTGCAGCTCAAGTGCAAAACTAGACGTTGTGAAGTAACTAAAGAACCCTCAGATCAAACATGTCTTGGCTGATCAGCTGTTTCTGGGGGTAAAATTGTGTAAACTGTTGCTTTACATTAAGAAAAGTAATTAGTCCATTAGTTCCATGTGTGGGATATATTGTACAGGGTGCTGTGGGTCCTTATAGATGTGATCTTAGCAGTTATAAACTGCTCTCAGAGCATGCTGTAATGTGCTGTACACCGGTCAGGCATATCATTATGGCCTTGTTTCTACGCTCATTGTCCATTTTATCAGCTCCACTTACTATATAGGTGCATGTTGTAGTTCTACAGTTACAGACTGGGTGGTGGTGGGTGGTGGATCATTCTCAGCACTGCAGTAACACTGACGTGGTGGTGGTGTGTTAGTGTGTGTTGCGCTGGTCTGAGTGGATCAGACACAGCAGTGCTGCTGGAGTTTTTAAACACTGTGTCCACTCACTGTCCACTCTATTAGACACTCCTACCTTGTCGGTCCACCTTATAGATGTAAAGTCAGAGACGATAGCTCATCTGCTGCTGCACAGTTTGTGTTGGTCATCCTCTAGTCCTTCATCAGTGGTCACAGGACGCTGCCCACAGGACGCTGTTGGCTGGGCATTTTTGGTTGGTGGACTATTCTCAGTCCAGCAGTGACACTGAGATGTTTAAAAACTCCAGCAGCACTGCTGTGTCTGATCCACTCACACCAGCACAACACACACTAACACACCACCACCACGTCAGTGTTACTGCAGTGCTGAGAATGATCCACCACCCAAATAGTACCTGCTCTGTGAGGGTCCATGGGGGTCATGACCACTGAAGAACAGGGTAAAAGGGGGCTAACAAAGTATCAGAGAAACAGATGGACTACAGTCTGTAACTGTAGAACTACAAAGTGCACCTATATAGTAAGTGGAGCTGATAAAATGGACAATGAGCGTAGAAACAAGGAGGTGGTCATTATGTTATGCCTGATCGGTGTATATTAAATGCAGTGGAATCATTTGATGTAAAGGGAAAAACATATCCTGAGATGTTACGTAATGCCCCCTTCTCTGGTGATATTAATATCTTCAGAATGATCTCCAGAGATATTAATAGCTCTCTGCTGTAGCGCTCGGTCTGCATCTCTCTGCTTATCTCTCTCCTCTTATCTCTCATCTCCTGCCTCTGTAGGATGAGAACATCCATGACGTTCTTCAGCTTCTGGTGGCTCTCATGTCCGAGCACCCGGCCTCCATGATCCCGGCCTTCGACCAGAGGAATGGAATACGGTGAGTCCTGACGGACACACGTACGCGCCTGCTGCGCTTACGTAACTGAAGTAGATTCGACCTGTCACGGCCACATCAGTCACAATGCCCTCACCCCCCCAGCTCTCTGCTAGCGCTCCAGTGCTTCACCTCACTCCGTTCAATAGAAGCTTATGCCTTCTGGACATCTGTACACCAAAGCTAATGGATTTTCTCATTTAAATATCCCCATAGATCAGACATTTGTATACAGAGCATTAAAAAAAAGCTACAATTATTTCCCCCTGAATAGTGTCTGACTGTGTTTGTGGGTTTCTGGGATTGTTAAAGGGCCCGAAAGCATGGAAAACTCAATCCTTTTTCAAAGCATTTCAAAGCAAATCGTTCTTTCCGTAGTCCAGAAAAGGAAACTAAGCTGCGAAAACAACCCATTTTGAACGCAGTACATGCATTATGTTGTGCTATACATATACAGTCGAATGCAAAAGTTTGGGTGCCATGTTTTGTTGATTTTCTGAATGAAACAATGGTTACAGTCCTCATACTTCAGCACATTTTAATGCACAATTACTGTTTATCTGCTGAGGCCTGTGCAAAAGTTGGCACGTTTTATGCTTCCTTTTATTTTTTCCAATATGTTAAACAAATAAATAAAAATTGTGTACTGAATGTTTAGCGTATTGGGGGAAAACATACAACATAAATTTTAAAATGTGTTGTAACTTTTTCTCCCAATATGTTGAATTCAGCAAATAAACAGAGCATTAAACGTGCAGAACTGTGTTCTCTGTAGGAGATGTGTGACTTATTTTTGCATATGTGTGTATATATTCATGTTGAAGTGATAAAGTGTGTAATTACTGCAGACGATTCTGGCTGAAGCGAGAATATAGCTAAATAATATAAACATGTACTAAAAAATAAATAAATAAAGTTACTATGATTCTAAATTATTTTTCCCCTGTATCTCAGAGGATTTCAGTGTTCGAATTTGTTCTGTACATTTCATCCTGGACTTCTTGAGCGAGGCACAATACAGGGCAGCCAATCAGAACACCGGTCGTTTACATATCAACCTTAAAGGCACAGTAACAAATGCAGCCTATTAAGTATAACGAGTAAAGAGAAGCTGGGAAATGTCTTAATAACTGAATTAAGATTTGGACATTAATGCAAAAGAAACGTATCATTTAAAGCTCTTGTTCTCTCTCATCAGGGTCATCTACAAGCTCCTGGCCTCAAAGAGTGAGAGCATTCGAGTGCAGGCGCTCAAAGTCCTCGGCTACTTCCTGAAACATCTAGGACACAAGTGAGTTTCCTCAGACGGTGACGTCCTCATTTTATTATTTGTTTATTTAGTTTATGTTGGTAACGAGTTCAAGCAGTTTTTCTCGAAGGGAAAAATTAATGCTGTTTTTGGGAAAAATGCAGATGTCACACCATGTTTTCACCCCAGTTATGGAAACTCCTAAACTCCAAAAATGTTCCAAATCCATAATGTTTTATCCTTTGTGCATTTTTATCCCAGACTGTTACTGAATCCTCTGAATTATGAGGTTTTAGCAGTTAAAATAGAAATTGTGCTACATACATGCTACAATCAAGCAAACGCTCCTGCGCACTGAAATAACATAGCATGAAAGTACATTAATTACTACTGTTAAACTTTTTTTACACCAGCAGCTCCTCATACTGCAGCCAACTACTAGCAAAGCAACATAACGACCACATTTTAGGCTACGTTCACACAGCAGGTAAAAGTGGCCCAAATCTGATTTCCTCACCAAGTCTGATTTTTTGTTTGGCTGATCAGATTATCTTTTAAATGTGATCTGTGTGCGACATCAGTCTGAACAGATCAGCTCCTAAACTGACCCACTAAAGAACAGAGCGTCACGCTGCTTCACGGCTCATCCAGAGGTAAACAATCACGACCGCCAACGAACGCCAGTCGCTCCCGGAGGATCAGCTTCATCTTCACCAGCATCACAGGAGCCATCTCTTTGAATCTCTTTGAACATGGAGCGATCGCGATGAGTCTCTTCTCATTTTCTAGCACAGAATCATAGCCTAAATGTTTATGAGGTCTCAGCAGAGTAAAATAATGGGGAATGTTGAGTTGGATTGACATAAGTGTTGTCTGGCTGTTCACACTGACACACAGACACACATCTGTGTCGCATATAAAGAAAAAGATCAGATTTGGGCCACTTTACCTGCTGTGTGAGCAAAGCCTTAATAAAACTGGCTGGTTTGTATGGGATATTGTGTGTTAACTTTCATATTATGATTCAGATAATCCAGACATTCAGAGGAAAAATGTATGTACAGCACAACGTATCAGCTTTGGGACATTATAGTTTACCACAGGGCAGCTTAGTGGAATTCTTTGGAATGGCATTCATTACCGAAAAATCAGCTTAAACCCAGAGTTACTACTGTAGTCATGATACTGACTTCAGAATGACGAGACGACGTCAGAGGGCTGGATCAGACTTTAAAGTTAGGAACATTGTGTCCTTTTTAGAGATTCAGAGGTTTCATTACTACAGTGATTATTACAGAGACCAGCCTTCAATTATTTCATTTCCACTCAAAACAGCCATTAGGCCTCGCTTTCTGGGTGGGTAGGATGGCCTCTCCTTCTCCTACCATCACTCAACGTGATGCTAGTCAGCGCAGGCGTCTGTTAGCTGATGTTACAGAACTGACGGGTGGCGCGTTCAGCTGTCCAGTGACGTTGCGTTAGTGGCGGTTCGAAAAGACTCGTGGCGCTTCACAGAACTCGGAGGAAGCCTGTGTTTGCCTTCTCCCTCCTAGCGTAGGGAGTATCGCGTGATCGCGTGAGTCCTGACTAGTGAGTGGAATTGGAAACGACTAAACTGGGAAGAAAATTGGGGGGAAAATCAAAACAGCCGTAAAGTAGAACATTTCATCAGGAGCAAAAATAGAAAACATATTTAACAGAAAATTACACAGAAACCTGAAGAACTAAATATGTTTTTCGGCCTTTACTGCGTCCACCCTTTACCTTTATTACAGCGTCCGTTCTTTTCAGGAGTCTTACTTTCAGTATTTAAAAGAAATTTAAATACTGAATAGATATTTTTTCACACATTCAAAGGAGGCTGCTTCTCACAGTCCAACTGATCTGAAACACACTTAATTATGTTGAAATCTGGACTCCGGGGTGGTCAGTCCATTGTTCTGAGAACACCAGCAGCTTCTTTGCTCGATGGACAAGTTCTCTTTCTCATTCTATTTCCTTTTTTCAGTAAAAGCCTCTTGACAGCTGCACAATTTCAGACCCACAGCGCTGAGTTATTCTCTCACAGTGGAAGGACGGACAGAAACACCTGTGGATGTTTTCAGATCTGAAGCAATAGTGAAGCTTGATCTTCTCTCAAAGATGAAAGCGTTAGGTACTTTTTATTTGGTGGTAAAAGTTTTGGTGGTCTACCAGGTTTTGCGTGGTTCTTAAAGGTTCTATTTTCTCTGTAACTTTGCTTATCGCTACTGTCAGAACATTTTTCAGTTTCTGACATGCATCAAAAATCCCTGTTGCCCTTTACATTGTGTGTAAATTTCATGATGAATGGACCAAAAGAAACGGCCCAGAATTACTTGGAAAAAATTCTGGTTCCATTGACTTACATTAAAAGTAAAGTAGGTTTTTCCTCACACTTCGGCACATTTTAATGCACAATTACTTTTTATCTGCTGAGGCCTGTGCAAAAGTTGGCACGTTTTATGCTTCCTTTTATTTTTTCCAGTATGTTAAACAAATAAATAAAAATTGTGTACTGAATGTTTAGCGTATTGGGGGAAAACATACAACGTAAATTTTAAAATGTGTTGTAACTTTTTCTCCCAATATGTTGAATTCAGCAAATAAACAGTGCATTAAACGTGCAGAACTGTGTTCTCTGTAGGAGATGTGTGACTTATTTTTGCATATGTGTGTATATATTCATGTTGAAGTGATAAAGTGTGTAGTTACTGCAGACGATTCTGGCTGAAGCGAGAATATAGCTAAATAATATAAACATGTACTAAATAATAAATAAATAAAGTTACTATGATTCTAAATTATTTTTCCCCTGTATCTCAGAGGATTTCAGTGTTCGAATTTGTTCTGTACATTTCATCCTGGACTTCTTGAGCGAGGCACAATACAGGGCAGCCAATCAGAACACCGGTCGTTTACATATCAACCTTAAAGGCACAGTAACAAATGCAGCCTTTAATTATAACGACACGCATCGATTCTGACATGCATCGAAAATGTATGTTGTCCTTTACATTGTGTGTAAATTTCATGATGAATGGACCAAAAGAAACGGCCCAATACGACCTGGAGAAAATTCTGGTTCCATTGACTTACATTAAAAGTAAAGTAGGTTTTTTTCCTTCTCCTGTAAAGTCACCATTTTAGAGGTTTTCTTCTGACAGCAGCGATATTTTACTTTAGCTTTCTCCTTCCTTATGCAAGCAGGTTATCTAATATCCTCAAAAATATCTCCTAAAAATGATAAACTCATACTTAACAGACAATTTGGAAATTAAATAAATGGAGGGTGGTGTCTAACGTGTGCACAGCACTATATTTGTGAACAGGATAAGAAAGTTAGTCTCTCTAATAAAGCGATGAGGCTGTGAGGAGTGGATGCTCTGCGGCTCATGGGGACAGTTGAACACAGCCAGTTGTAGCAGAATAATCGGTCTGACAGAGCATGTATCCGCAAAGGCTACACTACACGCTGGAGAAATGAATTCTGGGAAAGGCATCCATCATTATTTAAGCTCCTGAAGTAGAAAAACATCCAGCCTGTTCTTCTTTCCATTCATTGTGATAAGTAGAAAAAGATTGTCTCGTGGAGAGCTGTTCAGTTCAGAATGCAGCGACCACTCCGTCATAGATCCACCTCAAATAGGAGTGGAATGGCGGTAATGATTACGCTAATCCTATAATCTTGGTAATCTTGTGAAAAGTGAACTGAGGGCTGACGAGATTGTACTGTTGTTAGCAGCTAACTGTCTCAGTGAGCCCGAGAGCCGCTCTGTCCTCTGTGAACACTGACACAGTCGCAGAGGCAGAGAAAGGACGCACAGTTCTGCAGGAGCTTCTGTCTTTGTCACTTTGTCGGAGTGTGAGACTGTGTGTACGTTTGTGTGGTTGTGTCTCTGCATATGTGTATTATGGCTGGTCAATACAGTTGTATGCAAAAGTTTGGGTACTCCTGGTCACATTGGTGGTGGTGTGTTAGTGTGTGTTGTGCTGGTACGAGTGGATCAGACACAGCAGTGCTGCTGGAGTTTTTAAACACTGTGTCCACTCACTGTCCACTCTGTTAGACACTCCTACCTTGTCAGTCCACCTTGTAGATGTAAAGTCGGAGACGATAGCTCATCTGCTGCTGCACAGTTTGTGTTGGTCATCCTCTAGTCCTTCATCAGTGGTCACAGGACGCTGCCCACAGGACGCTGTTGGCTGGATATTTTTGGTTGGTGGACTATTCTCATTGGGATGATTTGAGGAACATGGTGAAGAGTTCACAGTGTTGCCCTGACCTCCAGACTCCCCTCATGTCAGTCCGACTGAGCATCTGTGGAGTGTGCTGGACCAAAAAGTCCAATCCAGTCGGCTCCACCTCATAACTTACAGGACTAACAGGATCTGCGGCTGATGACTCGGTGCCAAATACCACAGAGCACCTTCAGAGGTCTCGTTAATTCAGTGTCTTGGTGGGTCAGAGCTGTTTTGGCTGCTTGCAGAGGGCCAACAGTATATTGTGCAGGTGGTCATAATGTATTTATGTTTTTCCAGTATGTTAAACTTAGCAAATTAATAGAAATTATGCAATAATGTTTGCAGAAAAATGGCATATTTTAATTGCTTAATCACTTATAAAATCATTAAAACGTGTAAGTTGACCAGGGGTGTTTGAACGTTTGCAGACAACTGTGTGTGTGTGTGTGTGTGTGATTACTCAATTTATCAAATTGTCAGAAAAATCAATATATAACGCAATTTCTAATACAGTCAGTATCACTTTAATTAAGATAAGCATCTAAAAGTAGGCTTTCACGCTTAAACACTCTACTATCCCAGAGGAAGACATACACAGCTAACATCATCACACCACATGGTGTGAGTGTCTGCTATTTTAGGATACATCAGGATTTAATCAGATTCACTCTTTTTCTCTCCTCTATCCAGTCCAGCATTTTCTACAGCCCGATACCAATACAGGGTATCAGAACTGTGCAGTCTCTTATGCACCTGCAGTGGCGTCTCTACATTAGGGACCAGTGGGGCCTGACCCACCATATGTCACTGTGGAGCAGTGCATGACATGATCAGTAATGCTGTATAACAACAATGTGTGTGGGTGTGTTTGTGTGTGTGTGTGTGTATATATATATATATATATATATATATATTCTTATATTCATAACTAACATTGTTGTGCATTTATTACATATGACAGTGGTAGGGCTGTCCGATACATCCCAAATATCTTCCTGTACCTGTTGTGTAAAAGCCAGTAGGCTCCCTATTTCTCCTATCAGTCTTCGTTTGGTGAGCGTGGGGCTCGTCAGCGCTCGTCTAACCAAGTGAGCCGTTAAAAACACTCTGCGCTTGTTCAACACGCTTTCAATAACCAGCTGTGGGCCCGATCATGTTGGCCCCCTGCTGAGAGCAGCCAATAAAATTAATACGTTTACATACATCCAGACGTTCAGTAAACGTTGTTTATTGTACGGGCGTCGCTACGCAGCTAGCCATAGTTCCACATCAGTCGTGGTAGCTGCTCATAATAGCAAGGCAATATAATGAATTGAGTCAAAAATGTAATAAGTTATATTTGGTTCCAGCCGTTAGAGCAGAAATTAGAGATGAAACGTTTGGGACACACCAGCCAGAGGATTTCAACATCATCCAGTCTGGAAAGGACAAAAACTGCTCCTTCAGTCCAGAGAGGTTCAATAGAAAAACATGGCTGACTGTGAGTGTAGCTAAAAATTCTGCCTCCCTGCTCTGATATGTTGATTTGGATTTGTATTTGCAGACCACAGTGATCGTCACTGATAGATAGCTGTGGATTTGTAATGCGATGCTGTATAACCAGGTTTTGTGAGATCTAATGTTGTTATCATATCACTCATAATCCTGAGTATAGCCACTGTATACCTGTGTTCCCCTGAGTGCTTTATATTGTGCTACTGGGATACTCCTATATCTTTTTGGTCCTTTGAAAGGGGCTTTAGATAATTGGATGGGTTTGGGTGTGTGCGTGTCTATATGAGTGTCTATGTGTGGCTTGCCGTGTGTGTGTGTGTGTGAGGTGCCCTTGAGCAGTGCGCTGTCACTAACAGTGATGTCAACCTGCCAGTTCAATGTATCTTTTCATTGATCTTAATGGTGTGAAGGACTGAGTGCTGAGATTGGAATGGATGGTAGGTTCTGCTTTCCTGCACATCTACAATTACACACAGCTGGCCATGACTTCAACCTGCTTGTATTTTTCTCTCTCACTCTGTGTGTGTGTGTGTGTGTGTGTGCGCGTGTGCGTGTGCGTGTGCGTGTGCGTGTGTGTGTGTGTGTGTGTGTGTGTGTGTGTGACACTGCAGGAGGAAAGTGGAGATCATGCACACACACAGCCTCTTCACGTTGCTGGGCGAGAGATTAATGATGCACACCAACACTGTGACAGTCACTACCTACAACACGCTTTATGAGGTATGCAGCAAACACACACACACACCAAACACACACACACCAAACACACACACACACTCAGCAGTCCACCAACACACACCTCCAGTATCCTCTCAGTAACACTTTATAACAACAGGTCTTAATAAACATAAATCAGACATTGTTTGATGGTTTGTTAATGACTCTTAATAACTGAATAGTAGTTACATGTTTATGAATGAATTGTATCATTTAAATTATTAACCATTTACTTAGTGACATACAAATAATCAATGATTATTTTAAACTATAGAAACCTGATTATTAATTGTAGTTTGTTAAAAATGATTTCGTTCATAAATCAGAACTCTTAAATTATATGTAGTCAGATGAGAGTTTGGACGTTTTGTTGATTTTCTTAGTAAAAATAAGTGAACACGTCCGCTACTGAAAAAAAAAACAGTTTAATGTACAGTTGTACATTAAATTTGCTGAATTTAACATACAGGGTGAAAGTAAAAAAGGTGACCTGTGTAAAACATATGCCACGTTTATATGTTTTATTTTTTCCAATATATTAAACTTAGAAAATAAATAGAAATTGTGCACTAAATTTTGCAGAAAATGTCACATTCAAATTTGTTCTTTGTAAAGGATGTGTTCACTTATTTTCACTTTTCACTTGCGTGTACTTCATTTTTCACTTGCGTATGACTATCTTTAAATGTTAAGCATTGTTAAGCAAATTATTATGAAAAAATACAATAATTGTCCTGCTTACATCACACATTATCATATAGTAGCTTAATGTAAAACATTTACAGTGCCTTTTTAGTATGTCAGTAAGTACATATTTAATAAATACAATTGTAGAAATTATTAATACACAAGGAGCAATTATATAATTATTAACTGACATTAGATAATGATAAAGTTTCAGTTTATAGGGGCTTGTTATAATAAAGTAATACCCATATTTCCATTCTGAAAGTGGTAATTTTGCCCTGCACTGTTTGCTCACACAGTATAAACACTGCCAGTGGATAATGAGAAACTCTCTTTCTAAGGGGTTGCATCAGTTATTGTTTTCTGTTTTGGGTTATTTTCTATTTCTGCACCTGGTGTTGGTGCTTATTGCAAGTCAAAGCTTGCCCACCAACCCATCCACCCCCCCATCCCCAGCCCACGCGCCCATGCTCTACAAGGTATACAACTAACACACACTTCCAGTCTGGAGTGCATTGTCTACATTGGACCTGTTGTCAGCTACACTGTAGACACTTCAGTGCTAGAAGATGAAGTCAGACAGGCCCTGAGATCACTGCCAGAAAATAAAGCCACAAATCAATAACACTGCAGTGGAAACATCTCAAGATTCTGAAGTTGATTTGGTTAAAGTGCTGACCAAATTATGTCAACAGCTCTAGAAAAATGCTCAATAGTTGGCAGACTGGAAAAGGTCAATTCCAGTACCAAAGAAAGGAGACCAGAAAAAATGAACAAACTCTTGGCAAAGCCCCTCTAGGAAAGTCTGTCCACTCTGTGGCTATCTTGGCTTCTGTCTCTTTGAATGAACCTAAGCTGGCAGTCACGTTAATGTTTCAAAAACATTGTTGAAAGTTTATGTTTGGGTCAAAACATGCAAAAAAACGTACAAACTCCATTTCCAGAAAAGTTTTGTAAAATGCAATAAAAACAAGAATCTGTGATTTGTTAGTTCTCTCGAACCTTTATTTAACTGAAAACAATCCAAAGAAATGACTTCAATTGTTTTGGCTGATCAGCTTAATTGTATTTGGTAAATATAAACAAATTTTGAATTTGATGCCTGCAACACATTAAAAAAAAAAAAGTGTTAGGACAGAAACAAATTAAGAGAAAAAAGTTTATGGAATATTCAAGTTACACCATTTTGAAACATTCCACAATAAAGTGGTGAAAGTGGTAACAGGTGAGGGTATCATGTTTGGATATAAGAGGAGCTTCCACCAAAAGCTTTCACCATCTATCTGTACACAATAATATCAAAAGATTCCCGGAATCCGGGGAAATCTCAGTCCATGCAGGGCATGGCCAGAAACTACTGTTGGATGTGCCTGACCTTCAAGCCCTTCAGTGCTGCATGAGAAACCGTCATGCTGCTGTGATGAACATAGCCACATGGACTCGGGAGTACTTCGGAAAACCATTGTCGCTTACCACAGTCTGCTGCTGCATCAAGAAATGCAACTTGAAACTCTGTTACGCAAGGAGAAAGCCATACATCAGTTCTGCGCAGAAACGCCGCCGAGTTCTCTGGGCCCAAACTCCTCTCAGACGGTCTGAAAGACAGTGGAAATGTGTGCTGTGGTCAGATGAGTCCATGTTTCAGCTTGGTTTTGGGAAAAAACTGACAGTGAGTTCTCTGGGCTAAAAGGACCATCCAGACTTTTATTAGCTAAAGGTGCAAAAGCCCACATCTGTCATGGTATGGGGGGAATGCAGTGCCCACGATGTGGGTGATTTGCATGTGTGTGAAGGTACCACTGACGTGGAGAGGTCTATTGGGATTTTAGAGACACATATGCTGCCATCAAGATGTCTTTTCCCAGAAAGTCCATGGTTATTTCAGCAAGACAATGTCAGTCTTCATTCTGCACGTGTAACAGTGTGGCTTTGTAGACACAGTGCATGTGCTTGACTGGTCTGCCTGCAGTCCAGATCTGTCTCCGACTGAAAATGTGTGGCACATCATGAAGAGAAGAGTGGACTATTAAACAGCTGACGACAGCAAGAATGGGCAAAAATTCCACTTGCAAACCTGCAACAATTAGTATCCACAGTTCCCAAACATGGAAGCGTTCTTTAAATTTTAAACAGCATCTCCAGCTCCAATAAATGAAAAAATACAGATCAAAGTTTCTGGCTCCATCTTTAAAGAACTTTAAAAGAACTTGACAGGAGCGGAGTTTCGTGGTGCAGCGGTAAAGGGCGGGAACAGTGGTGCTGTGACGCAAACAGGAAATCCGCCGTAGAGCAGACCGTCTCATTTCGGTTCAGGGTCAAAGCAGCCTTCGAAGGACACACCTTCATAGACTGCATGCTTTGAAGGATGCTGCCCCTGAATTGGGACACACCTGATAGTGTTAACAGAGCACAGTAGAGCCAGAAGGTAACAGAGACATGAGGGCCCCCTGAGATGTCAGCGCCCCTCTGCTCCACCGTCAGCAAACCTGAGTGAGTGTGTGAGAGCAGCAGGACGACGGCGCCAACACTCCCAGATTACCATAATACTCTATGACAGAGGTCACTAATAGGCGGGATCTGAGTCCGGACCCAGACGCTGTCCTCTGCGGACCTGGACCTACAACCGACAAACTATGGAGAATTATTTAATTTTGATGGGGTGGTCCTGTTTTAATCGGCTTAGCTTTTCTAGCCTTTACAGTACAGCGTTAGCGGCCCGGGAGACTCACAGACCAATCGCATGCGTTGTAAATATCACGTGACTCTCAGTCAGATCTGTGCATTACGATGAGCACTGAGATTTAAGTGAGTGACGCACAGACAGGAGAGGGACGAGGTGAGAAACAGCAGTCGGAGGAGAAAGTGAGCCAGATTATTTTACAGGGCGTGGTCTAAAAAGAGAAATATTAATAAATAAATATTGTTGAAATATGACTGAATTGTACTTTATTTGATTTGATATTCAGTTGTTGACTGTATAAGATGTTGATATACCTACTAGGCTACTTCAGTAAACAGTATATGGCACTGAATCATGATGCTAATTTGATTGCTACATTATGATGTTCTGGACCTTCGCTTGAGGATATTTTGTCTAACTGGACCTTATTGAATTGTAGTTAAAGACCCCTGCTCTATGACCACATCTGCACAGGAAAAACTAATTACCAAAGGCTTGACTGAACAAGTGAGTTAGCCTAGACTTAAAGACTGAGGCTGTGTCTGAGTCCCGAACACTAGCTGGAAGGTTTGGTGGCAACGACTGGTGAGAGTAACATCCGTAACCTTCGATATGTGGATGGCAGGAGACTCAGGAGACCCAGGAGGCCCTTATAAAGACAGTTTTAAAAAAACGTGAAGTGAAAAGATGGGTCTGCAGCTCAATATGAAGAAAACAAAGGTTATGACAACAGGAAAGGCTGTTAACTTTGCCATCGATGGTGAAGATGTAAACGTGGTAGACAGCTTCCGCCTGCTGGGATCAATTATGAGCAACAAAGGATCCAGCAGTCAAGAAGGACAACACAAATTGGCACTTGGCAGAGCTGAGATGAAGGAGCTCGAAAAAATCTTAAAATGTAATAATTTCTCTCTACAAAGATCAGAACTGTCCATGCTCTGCTGTTTCTGTGGTTTTTATGGATGTGAAAACTGGACAATAAAACAACCTGACTGGAAAATATTGGTGCCTTTGAACTTGGGGCGATTTTGCACCATGGAAGGCCGAGAAGCTAACAAATGGACTCGACCAAATCAAATCTCACTTCTCACTCGAAGCCCAAATGAACAAAGTGAAGCTTATTTGGATGCATTATGGATTTAATTCTTATTTAAAAGAGGGCAGCCAGCAACAAGATGGATGGACACAGTCAGAGGGATCATGAACGAGTGCGAAGCCTGAGCACGTAAAGAGAAAATGAGATTTTGTGAAGAAACTGTGTTGTGAACTGTTTAACGTATTGAAAAAGACAAAGTTTTTCAGCTAATACTTGTGTTGTACTGTCGCTTTGATGTTTTTCTCTTTGAATCATGTCTTCTGTTGTTCCTGTAGATTCTCACGGAGCAGGTGTGCACTCAGGTGGTCCACAAGCCCCACCCAGAGCCAGACTCCACCGTCAAGATCCAGAACCCCAGTAAGAGTCCAGAATGAAGAACAAACTCAGAACAGCAGACTGCACACACTCTCACACACTACTGTCACTGTCACACTACAGAGGAAAGAATCTCACAGAATAATGTGTGACTATGATTATAATTAATAACCGCAAGTTATGATGTCATCACCTGAACCGAGAGCAGTTAACATTAGCTGAGTCGGCTAGTGTTAGCAAAACACTCTCTGCTGTTTGTTTTCTGATTAACATTTTATTTTGTTAATTTTGCAAAATGCCCCATTTATAATTTGGTCCTCTCTCTCTCTCTCTCTCTCTCTCTCTCTCTCTCTCTCTCTCTCTCTCTCTCTCTCATTTTCCTTCTCTCTCTCTCTCTCTCTCCCTCTCTGTTTCTCTCTCTCATTTTCCTTCTTTCTCTCTCTGTCTCTCATTTTCCTTCTCTCTCTCTCTCACTTGTTTTCCTTCTCTCTCTCTCTCTCTCTCTGTCCCCCCCTCTCTCTCATTTTCCTTCTCTCTCACTTTCCTTCTGTCTCTCTCTTTCATTCTTGTTCTTTCTGTCTTTCCATCTCTCTCTCTCCTTAATTTCTCTCTTGCGCTGTCACTTTTTCCATTTCGCTTTATCTCTTTCTCTTTTTCTGTCTCTTTTTGTCTCAATTTGTCTCTCTTTTTGTCTCAATTTGTCTCAATTTGTCTCTCTTTTTGTCTCAATTTGTCTCTCTTCTCTCTCCTTGCCTGACATTTTCTCTCTCTCTCTCTCTCTCTCTCTCGTTCCCTTTTGCTTTCTATCTTTTCTTTCTTTTATTATCTCTATCTCTGTCCTTTCTCAATTATGCTGATTCCTTTTTTCCTTTTTTTCTTTTTCTTGCTCTTACCTCTCATTCATCCTCTCTGTATTTCTCACCCCTTGCTCTTTTTCTTTCTCTCTTTCTCTTGCTTTCTTTTTCTTTTGCATTTACTTTCTTTCTTCTCTCTCTCTCTCTCTCTCTCTCGCTTTCTCTCTTGCTCTTTCTCTTTCTTTTTTCTTCTCTCTCTCTCTCTCTCTCTCTCTCTCTCTCTCTCTCTCTCTCTCTCTCTCTCTGTCTCTCTCTCAGTGATTCTGAAGGTGGTTGCCACGCTGTTAAAGAATTCCACTCCGAGCGCTGAGCTGATGGAGGTGCGCCGCCTCTTCCTGTCTGACATGATCAAGCTCTTCAGCAACAGCAGAGAGAACAGACGGTACACACACACACACACACACACACACACACACACACACACACACACACACACAGGTTCTTTCTCAATAAACGTCAGAAATGCTGACCCTCCCTCTCTCAGCAGGACCCCTCCTCCCCCTATTAAAACAATTACTGTCATAATTACTGCATCCCCTGGCGGAGGGGAAAGCAGGACACTGGCCCCTGTTGTGCCCTGTTTAATGGCTCCAGCGAAGGCTGAGCTTGGCTTTATCTCCTGCTGGCTGACGTTAGCCTCGTCGCCTCGTTAGCTTGCTGCAGTTAGCTCGCGCTACGCTCCTCTCTAAACAAGTTTAAAGCTCACTCTGCTCGAGTGGCGCTCACTCCGCTCCGTGGTGACAGCAGCCGGCCAGAAAACCCAAACGCATATTTCCAGCAGCCTCGCTGTTCATGTTTTCTGAAACGCTGTCGTTCTGCAGAGAGCAGATGTGATAAAGCTGGTGTGCGAACTGGCAGGATAAATAAACAGCAACAGCAAGATTTGCGCAAAACAGCTGTTTGACTCTAATCAGATTGTACATTTGATGATGATGGAGGATGTGAGGAGATATGAGTGTTTTTGTTTTGATGAATCATTGGAATTCAGATATTTTATACTATAAAAAGTCTTTTTAAGGTTTTTGGCTTTATAGTTAGAGTTTGTACAGTTGTGAAAGCTCTAGAAAAGTCAGGGAATATTGAAGATTGGCTTTCCAGGCCTGGAGAGGTTATAGAAAATAAGAAGTGCTGGAAAAGTCAGGGAATTTCCTGGACTTTCCCTCAAGTGATTTGTCATCTCATCACATCTGAGACACAAAAGAGTCTAGATTGCAAAAAACACAGCGAGGTCCAGGACTAATTTGAATATGCAGACTCAGAGATTTACTAACATTTGCTGATGTGAAGCTCAGTTAGATAAAGAGTAACATTCTTTAGACTCTTTAGACTTTGTTTTAAGATGTTTTGGCAATAAAGCACTGGAGAGAATTAATTAACCAAATCAAAAGAAAGTAAGACCCCTCAGACTGAGAGCAGTGGAAATATCTTCTTTACTGCGAGTCACAGCGATTGGACAGATTCAGACTGAGGTGTTTATCTCACTCTACTCAACAATCTGATGAAAATCTCTGTTTACATGCTCACTACAAATAATCTGATCCAACATTATGTGCATGCGTAGAGAACCACTTAGTGTAGATGTTACCATGACAACCAGCATCACGTGAGTCCAGTCAGAGTGAGATGAGCAGCAGTGAGCAGCGCTTGTGTTTTTAACTGCTTTAAAATGATGTCAGACTCAGGAAAACGTCCTTCACATGTCCTTATTAAAGAAGGCCGAGAGGAAGTCGTCGTGTTCTGAGACACATAAGCTGGACGTCCGTCCCACCGCCGTCTTTTAAAGATCAGAGCATAAACTTCGTCTCCTCTGCAGACCAGTTTCTGCTCTGCCATGTTGAACGGTATAAACTCTCACTATGACGCGACGAACATGATCAGAACAGACTTAAACTTTCTGATAGGGAATGTAATCAGATACAGACATTTACACGGATATTATTCTACTATTTAACAGATTATTTACAGGATTACCCACCTCGATCAGTCGGATAGAAACTGTATTCCAAATGGCCTCAATCGGACTAGACTAGACTGATTGAGGTGTTTACATGGACGCATTCTATTCCGATTGAGCTATTAGTCGGATTATTAACAGATTATTAGGCTGCATGTAAACATGGCTAGTGTCAAGGATTATATGGACCATTCTAATGAATTAGTTCAGTCTGCGGTCCTACAATAAAAAAAAAAATGTAGACGTTAGATATTTACAAGCATTGTGTTTTGACTTAAATAAACCCAAGAAATTAATAGAGATAGTAATAAGCTAAGTACATGCACAGTCATCATTCATAGGTTACCTTTTCTTTTGTTGGCTGAAACCCGAATGCCTACATTTCAACTTATGCAAGTATTTTGTCTTTATTTTTCTTGGTCATTTCTGAGGTGATGTAGAATGATTTCACTTTACTTCATTTAATTTTTGAATAAAAAAAAACATATTCTTAAAAAAAAGCTGTCCTATTTATATGTCACTACCAAAACACAGAGTTTTAGTCCGGGGCGGTGCCTTATTTTAGCCACGCCCCTGCATTTTAGAGCAGGAAGTGAGGCTGCATCCCTGTCCCTCGTGGCCACATGGTGAGCAGTTAGATCCCATTGTTTTGAAGAAAATGTGTCACAAAGTCTGAAAATCAGTGTGGAACATTATGAATTGTCACTACATATACTTTCTGGAATTAAGTAAACTGTTTTTGTGTTTTAACAAAAACTGTATTGATTTTATGTGTGTACAACGTTATGCTCAAAATTAGCTAATATTGTCTCTGCCGAAACATTTGGTCAAGTTTCAGTGGTGTTATGATGGCATTGGTAGCAACGAAATGGAAAGGAAACCAGAAATTCTGAATTTTGATTTTCCCCCCACCCAAAGAAGGGTTGTATATAAAATTTAAAAAACTCATTATCTGTTAAATATACAAAATATATATATATATATATATATATATATATATATATATATATATATATATATATAAAATGGTGTGTTGCCCAGCACTGTACTAAGTGTTAGGCAGAGAAATTTCATTTAAAGTCATGGATTCTACTGTTTAAAAAGTGTTTGGACCCTGTATCATACTGACTCCAGTACATGCGTGTGTGGCTGTAGGTGTCTGCTGCAGTGTTCGGTGTGGCAGGACTGGATGTTCTCTCTGGGCTACATCAACCCTAAGAACCCAGAGGAGCAGAAGATCACTGAGATGGTCTACAACATCTTCCGCATCCTGCTGTACCACGCCATCAAGTACGAGTGGGGTGGATGGCGCGTGTGGGTGGACACCCTCAGCATCGCCCACTCCAAGGTTTGGACCACCTTTTGTTTTGCTCGTCATGCCATCCTGTACTGACTGATGTAAGACACCATCTCAGCTGTGTCGTTCCTATGTGAGCTGTGAGTTACTGTTCACAACTTTGGAATCACTTGAAATCAGATCTGTGATTTTATCTACAGTAATAAGTTATAAAATGTGCATTTAAATATTACAAGCAATTCACTAGAAGGTAAATGTTGTATTCAATATTTTGGGAGTTGTATGAACAGACAAGATGTAAAATAAAGCAATAAACCACAAGAGGTTGTGTGTTAGTGTGATCACGAATAGGAGGTGTTTAAAATGCCCCTACATGAGTTAAAATCACACACACAGCCTCTAATGTCTCTAATTGCTTTTCTGAAACAGCAACAACATCAAACAAAAACAAACAAAAAAAGTCACTTATAATTAATAATTGCAATATACACCAATCAGGCATAACATTCTGACCGCCTCCTTGTTTCTGCGCTCATTGTCCATTTTATCAGCTCCACTTACTATATAGGTGCACTTTGTAGTTCTACAGTTACAGACTGTAGTCCATCTGTTTCTCTGATACTTTGTTAGCCCCCTTTTACCCTGTTCTTCAGTGGTCAGGACCCCACTGAACTGTCCACTGTCTACTCTATTAGACACCCCTATATTAATCCACCTTGAGGTGTTTAAAAACTCCAGCAGCACTGCTGTGTCTGATCCACTCAGACCAGCACAACACACACTAACACACCACCACCATGTCAGTGTTACTGCAGTGCTGAGAATGATCCACCACCCAAATAGTACCTGCTCTGTGAGGGTCCATGGGGGTCCTGACCACTGAAGAACAGGGTAAAAGGGGGCTAACAAAGTATCAGAGAAACAGATGGACTACAGTCTGTAACTGTAGAACTACAAAGTGCACCTATATAGTAAGTGGAGCTGATAAAATGGACAATGAGCGTAGAAACAAGGAGGTGCTCATAATGTTATGCCTGATCTGTGTGTAATTCTTACACTAAAAATAGTAGTTTGCACCAAGGCTTTTAGTAACTTGGCACATTAATTCAAAGTTTAGTTGTTGTGAGGCTTCATAGGTGTGTATATTGAATATTTTACAGCAGCTTTGAAAGCTGATCAGCTGATCAGATTTTAGATCTGGAACTAACCATTTTATAATGATAATTATCTCAAGTTTTGATCAGCACTTTCAACAAATGATTCTCCCCTCATCATTCTGGATTTCTTCATTTTTATTTACAGCTTATTAGTGTACTAGTATTCATTTACAAGCTGTACGAAGTTGCGCAGGATGAACACAGTCATTTTATACACTTCTCCACAGCTAAGTTGGTTTTATATCACTGAAACTAGCAATTCTAAAGTTTTAAACAGCAATTCCAGTCTTATGAACAGCAGTGTACTTTTGGCTGGTTGTTATTAGTAATTATAAATATTAGCAGTTGTTGCAAGTGCCCATTAAAAGTTTAGGGACCCTTGATTTCTTTGTCAGTTTGCAGTAACTTTTGAAATTAAATAGAAAGCTGTTTGAATAGTGCATTTTTCTTTGGAAACCAAAGTACTACTTAATAATTGCATAGTCCACACATTTCCCTCTTGTTATGATCATCAGCGCTCATACATACCCAAACCTTTCAGCTGTTAAAAGCACATATTGAAAATCTTTTTCTTAAAGAGGATTTAAGCAGCTGAAAACTGTCAGATCTGTCAAATCATTATTTAGTGTGAAGTTTGTTCGAAGGAAGACGTTTTGATGAATATGAAGCTCAGTGTTGCAAAATCTACCCACATTATTGGTTAATAGATGTCTTGTGTTCCCCAAACCTTAAATAAGCGTTTTTTTTGTTTTTGTTGTCGTTTTTATGTCCAGTTCCATGTTTTACAGCCAAATTTGGTGTGGATGGATTTTTTCACTGCTTTTTTATTAGCTATCAATTTAAATCTAAATAACATTATTTGCTGTTGAAGAAATAAACAGGCATTTTAAATTACTAAATGAAATATTAGAGGCCTGTTTAAATAACATGAATCACAGTCAAAAGTACGAGGCAGCTGGCTATTAATCACAATGAGTTCTGCTTAATTATGCTATAACGTTTTGGTGTAGGTGTAGCAGCAACATTCATAACACACACTGCTCACAATACAGCATGAGTGCACGAACCTCACTGCAACACAAATTGGTCAAAACATATTAAACTGGCTTGTTTGGAGCTCAAATCCAATTCCATTTTTGCCGTCTTCCAATTGTAAAGCCTTCGTTAAAAACAGCTGCCGTGTCTTAAGATCCCACTGTCTGCTCTGACAGGTGACGTACGAGGCGCACAAGGAGTACCTGGCCAAGATGTACGAGGAGTACCAACGGCAAGAAGAGGAGAACATCAAGAAAGGAAAGAAGGGTTCGGTCAGCACCATCTCAGGCTTGTCTGCACAGCCGGCCGCCGTCAACGGCAACCTGGAGATCCGCGAGATGGACGACACATCGCAGACGCAAACGCCCGAGAGTGAGGCCGACTATGGCGAGGGCGGAGACTCGCGAAACCTGCTGGCTGAGGCCAAAGGCCCCGAGACAGAACCAGAAAGGACAGGGCCTGGGGTCAGGGTGGAGGTCCATGACCTGCTGGTGGACATTAAGGCCGAAAAGGTGGAGGCCACTGAGGTGAAGCTGGATGACCTGGACCTGTCCCCGGAGGCGCTGGGTGGCGGAGGGGGCATAGAAAACGGCCCTCTGGTAGAGGTGGACTCCCTGCTGGACAGCGCCTACTGCGCGGCTGTACGCAAGCTCAACGGTGGCCTGGGGCCCAAGGAGGAAGAGGAAGTGGGCGTGGTGGGTCTGGGGGAAGAAGACAGCAACCTGGGCCCCCTGATCACGCTGGCCGACGAAAAGGACAGCGTGCCCAGCAACAACGGCTTCCTCAGCTTCCCCAAAGCTGACGAGAAGCTCCTGCCCTCGCTGGCCCCGGCAGAACCGCTTGCGCTGACCGGCCGAGACAAGCCGCCCTGCGCCTCCAGCGCCAGCGATGACCTCAGCCTGCTGGCTCACATGACGTCCTGTGGCGCCGACCTTGGCCCCAGCAATGGGGGGGCACTGCCAGCAGACGAGGGCTTCAAGCTGCAGGACACGCTGGCCGACATCAGCACGCTGGCCGAGGCCGAGGCCCAGGCTGCAGTGGGGGGTGCTGAGGGATCTGAGAGTGGTGCAGGAGACGCTGCAGCGTCCAAGAGCGGAGACGCCGTCAGCACCATGTCCGACACAGAGAGGTCTGACGATGGCAAGGACAAAGAGATGAAGAAGATCCAAACGACGGCCACCACACAGGTACAAACCTGCCTGGCAAAGATTTAAAGCGGTAGATCTTCAAAATATCTGATTTACACATTTTCCCATTTCCCAAAATGTAGTCGATCAGCCAGGATATGCTGTCTAAATGTTAGTTATACAGTGGACAAAAATCTGGACAGCAAAAGAAAAGACCCTTTAAAAGTCCCCTTAAATGCTGACATCATCCACAATATGCTCAAAAACCCATATTGTCGCATAATGTGGCGTAAATTATCATAATAATAATAAATACCTTCATATTCCCACTGCTGGGACTGGTCAGCGGTAAATAGTGCAGTGATCCCGTTTGTGTGGTGTCGTCAAATGAGAAACAACAATGTGAACTAAGTGAATGAATGAATAAATGAGTGAATGATGGATTGAATGATGGGTTGTTCTGCTGCAGGCTCTACATGGGCGCTCAGGCAGTCAGATGGAGCGGGACCTGCGGGTGGATCTGGGCTTTAGAGGGATGCCCATGACTGAGGAGCAGCGGCGGCAGTTCAGTCCTGGCCCGCGGACCACTATGTTCCGCATCCCAGAGTTCAAGTGGTCACCCATGCACCAGCGCTTGCTCACAGACCTGCTCTTCGCCCTGGAGACAGACGTACATGTGTGGAGAAGGTGAGTGGCCAGGATGAGGGGCTCGGGACAGCGTGCATTGATCCAGATTAGGGATGTAATGTCCTGTATTAATGCTCAATTTTAAGTCTGACTAAAGCAAAACAAAAGTATTATTCTGGTGAAATACTAAATTAAATTAAATATCAAGATCATTGTCAAAGTACATCATCTTGTGCTTTTACTGGGTGTATTTTTACTGTGTCCCCTTTGCTATTAGTTTGAGGAACAGCAAGACATTAAAAATGCCTTAAATGTTTATTATTAGCATCGAAAAGATCTTCGATTTTGATAGTCATAGTTATTGTTTTGTCTCTCAGGCCTAGAACTGGTGTGGTATCTAGAGAATAGGACAGTATTAGCTGACCATACTCCTTTTGTGATAGATTTGCAGGCATTAAGCAAATGCCCAATCAGAAGACAGCAAACAGCCAGGGGTAAACAAAAGCAACATGCTCATTTACAAATGATCTCGTTATGAACCAGTGTAAATTAATATCCATTAGGGAAGAGGATATATATGCATGTTGCCTACAGGCTGTGACAATTAGCCCCCTGTACTGTTCCTCAGTGCAAATGCTGCACGTGTGAATGGGCTACATGTGCAAGCTGTAGCAGTCACACTGCCGTGGTACCTGGCCTGCTGACGCCACGTAGAGGTTGTATGTGTGAATCCGGCCTTATTCAGTTATTCCAGCCCAATCAAGGACTTCTTGAGAATTCTGCTGCCTTCAGGTTGTGTGGGAAATATTATATTTGTGAGATGAGCCGCATGAACGCCACCACGATGTTATAGTTACTAATAGAGAAGCAAATTTTTCAATAAACCTTGAGTTTCCAATTTCCAATCCATGTTAATGGCCATAGATTTAGAATGGGATCTCCATCAAGTGCATATAGGTGTGATGGTCACATACTTTTGGCCAAGTGTACAAATATAAGCACATGATATGTGATGCTTTTAACTGAATAAAAACTCGTCCCATAAGCATCCTCTGTTCTTCACTTTGTTGCAGTGACACAGAACATGTTCACTCTCTTTAATGACTGAAGACCAAAGTAACAAATAAAGCATTGAGTGTGTTTACATGCACTTAATAACGCGATAACTGTAGAAAATCAGATTTTGTCAGTAATCTGATCAACGCATTTACATGCACTTGAGTGGTCAGATAATGGGGAAACTCCGGGTCTACGTAAGTCAGACAGTAATCAGATTTCTGCCTTACAACCAGCCAGTAAACTCACAGAAGAAGACGAGACCTAAACGCAACGTAAAACTCAAACTTTTTTTTTTTAATCGTCGTGCCGCTTTGCCTGAAAATATGAATATGCTTCATCTAGAAGATGAAGAACATTTAAATCCTTTATTTCATGTTTGGTTTCAGCGCAGCCCCAAAGTGTTTTGCTGCCATTACGCTGCGGTGCTGCTCGCTTATTTCTTGTACCACTGTTTGTTTTCACTCATGTGCAGACTCAGAAATCCGAGAGAAATCAGAGCAATAATTTACATGCAGAAATACGATTGTAATCGGATTATTGAGTGCATGTATACACACTCATTGTTCCCCACGTGTCCAAGTAGGAGCGTCCGATCACCTCCTTGTTTCTACGCTCGTTGTCCATTTTATCAGCTCCACTTACTATATAGGTGCACTTTGTAGTTCTGCAGTTACAGACTGTAGTCCATCTGTTTCTCTGATACTTTGTTAGCCCCCTTTTACCCTGTTCTTCAGTGGTCAGGACCCCCATGGACCCTCACAGAGCAGGTACTATTTGGGTGGTGGATCATTCTCAGCACTGCAGTAACACTGACGTGGTGGTGGTGTGTTAGTGTGTGTTGTGCTGGTACGAGTGGATCAGACACAGCAGTGCTATATAGTAAGTGGAGCTGATAAAATGGACACTGAGCGTAGAAACAAGGAGGTGGTCAGAATGTTATGCCTGATCTGTGTACATCAGCTGTAGCAGGTGTGGTGTAGTAATAGCCTCCTTGTGGACTATGCTGGGGATTTGAGCAGGACTTTAGAGGGCAGGTCTAGCAGGTGCTCTGGATCATGCAGTCAGAAAGGGGTTATATAGCTGAGATCTGAACAGAAGAACTTCACAGTGGCAGAAAACCCAGATCTGCAGTGCTGTTAGCTTTTAAAGGAGTTCTAAAGCCTGTATGGCATTCAGATCATTAACACTGGCCTCCATAGTCTGTAAGTGTGAAAATAACTATTCATTCCTGTCTTTGTGTATTTTTATGCCTCTTGATAAAGATACATAGGTTTGTGAAATATGACTGTTAATGGTCTTTATTTTTCTCCTCTTCTTCTTTCCATTGTTCTGTTTTTCGCAGCCACTCGACTAAATCGGTCATGGACTTTGTGAACAGTAATGAGAACATTATATTTGTGCACAACACCATCCACCTCATTTCTCAGATGGTTGATAACATCATCATCGCCTGTGGAGGGATCCTGCCCCTGCTCTCTGCTGCCACCTCGCCTTCTGTAAGTGGCACCACAGCACCCCCCACAGGCTGCACGTCAGTACGATCATCTGCTGGGGGGGGTGCAGCCGGATTTAGGGTTTGGTTTTGTGGTAAATAATCCTTGTAGGTAGATTATCTGATTTTCATTATCTCTATACTTTTACATGATCGTATCACTTGATTTAGTGAGAATCTGCTCTGATACTTTCCAGTCATTTCCACCTGGATAGATTAAACCTGAACAGATGGTTTAAAAAAATAAATCTGACTCCAGGGTTTTATAGTAGTTCAGATCAGATGTTTATGATCATACTGGTCCTGATCTTTTAAGCTTGGAAAATTGATTTCTCACCATCTTTGACCAGTAGCTTCTCCAGAATATGAGTTCCGCTTCTGAGATCACTTATAATTTTTAGCACACCGTTTTAACTGTTTTAACAAATCTGACGTCTAGGTCACTTTAGTTTTCTTGACTCTTCTGTTTTGCATCTTACTCCCCTTCTAACCTCGTTATTCTCTGCAAATCCTCTTACTAAACTCTTTATTTAACTAATTTATATAATTTTTCTCTTTGTTTTATAATGCCTCTTCCTTTGTGTTTCTTTGTGTTTTCTGTACTCTGTCCTCTTCCTCTTGTCTTTTTTGTCTCTTTTGTCTTTTGCATGTACAGAGCTCTAAGGTTAGTGCAAACCCTGTAAGTTCCCCTTTTGTTACTCTTTTCTAACACTTGCTAACCGTTTGTTGACTGTTTGATTTCCATTGCTGTATAACTTAACAACATGTGCAGCTTTGGGTGATAAACGCCTGTTTTTCATTTCATTTAGCCCTGTTTACTGCTTTCTACATAACTAACACAGTGAACTAATGACTTTTAGAGGTGTTTTGCATTCAATAGCAATTGTAGATCTGCATACTGTCAGTGATGCTGATTATTAGTAGGTGTTTTACAGTAATAATTTAATAAATAAATAAATAAATAACACAAGTGTACATGATGTTCCATCTACCCCAAGGAGTGTAGTTGATGAGCCAGAATATAATAGAGTTTGATTTCTAAGTTTGCTGCTTTAGTTTTGCGCTGGAGCTGTGAGGCTAGTGGAGGTGACAGTAATGGAAGCTTATAGTCACCAGTGAACTCCAAATCCAGTCCTTGGTGATGCCACAGCCGTCTGTAGCCGATAGCATAGTTGGCCTTTCTCTTTGAGTGGGTGGTATGTCCCCCCCTCTCCCCCATCATTCAGTGTGATGCTAGCCAACATGGGCATCTCAACTAGTGCTCTCCTCTAAGCATGTCCAGCGTCCTCTAAGCTGACCAATGATCTTACATTAGCAGCAGTTTGAAAAGATGCAGTTGCGCTTTATGTGGATGATAGTGGCCATCAGGGGTGGGAATCTCTAGGCACCTCACGATTCGATTACGATTCAGAGGCTGCACTCCGATTATAAAATGATTATCGACGCATCTTGATGTGTCTTTTTTTCTATACAGGATTTCTTTTTTCTCACTGTGTGAGGACTTTGTACTTTTAAAGCAAAGTGTTTGTAATGATCCATAATGAATTTACTTCCAGTATCTTTTATTAATAAATCAAATAGAAGCGGTGCGGTTAGTGAACTGGAAGGCTCTCATTCACTGCTCTCGTTTGGGGCACGTGAGACGCTGCTGCCACTCATCTGTCATAAAATGCGCTGTTACGGTGAAATAAGATCCTGTGGCAGCGGACGTCCACGCAGCACACGTTACAGCTGTCCTGCCCGTGTTCTGTTATATTTTTTTGCCTTTTTTTTTTGTTACTTCGGTTTTGGTCTCGTTGGGGGGATCACTGTGTCAGTAAAATATCTTCGAGACGGGACGCTGTATCTCGGCTCCAAAGTGCGCAACATGGCGTGAAAGCCCTGAAACACTAAAAAGTAGCAAAGATGAAGTCGCTTCTCTTTGAATTCTCCCATTCCACCTTAAATGGTGCCACATTTACATTCTGGTGCCTCAGTCAGAATTTAAGGTGGAACGGGAAAATTCGAACAAGAAACTGGAGAATGAGAAGCGACTTCAGCCTCTTAAAACAGTCGAACGTCGAAAGACATTTTACAAGAAACTGATCTACTTTTGAGGAAAGCAGCTATAGCTAAAGCTTAAAGCAGAGTACAGTAAGTCTGTGTTTTAGTCTATACTAGGACATCAGCACATACTGGACATACTGGACATTAAATGTTGTGGCTCCCAAGATGGTTTGATTTTTGTTGAAAGGACAAAATGTCTCTTCTGAACATTTGTGCTGTGACTCCTGATCTAACCTGGCTTTAATGTAGAGGGAGCCGGTCGGATTTCTCGCTCATCCAGTTGTGTTTTTGTTATGTGCCACAGACTGTCCGGGCGCTGCACCTCCGCACTTCCAAGCTCCGCCTTTTGCGTTCCGTCAACATTGTTATAAGTTAAAATTTACAAAATCAATTTTTGCCATTTGTGAATCGATTCAGAATCGTCCACGTCCGCATCGCGATGCATCTAAGAATCGATTTTTCCCCCACCCCTACTGGCCATGACTAAAATTGGAGAAAAAATGGTTTAAAAAAATTGAAGGATAGGCAAAATCCAGATCAAATCCAGATGCCTGTTGCTCCTGTCTTTAAGTACTTTACTGTTTTTTCACACAGCCTTGACCATTAATTTGAGGCTAGTGACTGATAATTTGGGCATGCAGTTTGCACAGTAATGAAGGACCTCTGAACTTTTGTAATTTTGTAGTTGTCATGCTCATTTTAAGAACTCTGGGTCTAAGCTGACTTCTTTATGAGAAAAATAAATGCTGTCTTCAAAAATTGCTTTCATGCACTGTGGGTTCCAATGTTTTATTCTAATGTTTCTATGCTTTTTTGTATGTATATTTTACCTCCAAACGTGATTGGACTCTCTGAGTTACGAAGTCATTAAGGAGTCGAAATACAGATGTTGCTATATGCAGTCTAACACTGCTGCACACTGACACCAGACAACTTCACCAAAACTCCCACAGAAAGCAGAAAGATTGTCAAACATGGTTGATGAGCTGCTTTTTAGTCGTATCCTGTAGTTTGAGTAGCTGGTGTTGGTATATAATAGTGTTATATGTATCCAGTGACGTTCTGAGAGAAAATGTATGTGGCCCAAAAGGTATCCAATCTGCTCAGACCTGGAGTTCCTAACATGGGTTTGATGACAACTACAGAATGACTCACAACCGATAAGCTTCCATTAAGCCAGGCAGACACTGTGCGATTTTAGAGATCTTGTTCTTTGGTGACTCACACTGTACGTGTGAATCGCCCATCATGTCGGCCAAAGCCTGTGATTTATATACTCACACCGTACGAAAACACTCGATCCGACTGACCTGACGCGACATGGGTGCTCACACTGCACGTGAAACGCAGCCCCTACAGACACTCTGTGTACAACGAAGCTGTTTCATTCAAAACAACACGCTGCGCCTCCGATGTCCTGATCAAAACGTCTGAATCTCAGACGGCTCCCTGCTCCCTACATAGTGCACCACATATTAAAATAGTGGCTTCTGCACCCATGAAGTGCATCCCATGCCGAATAAATAGCCTTCTGTGTGCACAGTTCCATACTGGACAAACAGGGCGCTATTTTGGTGTAGAAGCCAGAACTTGGTGCACTACATAGGAAGCAGGGGGCTGTTTGAGGTTCAGCCATTGAGTAACAGCTACAACAGCTTTGCTAACTTGTGCCACACTGTGCACTGTAGCTGAAGAGCTGGTGGTGTACAGACAGACAGCTCTACAAAGACAATAAAACACTATTTATTTATACCTCGCGATTCAACTCAGTCAAACGGAGCAAAGTCGTCATATACAGACGCTGGTGCTGCAGATGTGGACTTTTGGCTTTTTTGGTTGTGTTTGTGTGTGGTTTTGGGTGCAACTTCGAGAAATCGGTTCGTGAGGCTGCTCAGACTGTGAGGTAAGCGACCAAAATTTCAGAAATCCATCCGATTGTCCGGCTGTTCAATCAGAGCTCATTTGGGCTCAATCGGACATCATTTCCCCTCTCACACTGCTCGGAAAACGACGGCCGATGAAGCTGAAATTCGGCCAGATCATGAAATTCAGTCAGCTCAGACCTAAACGGGCTAAAGTCTCACAGTGTACGCCTGGCTTTACTCATAGCTCCAGTGCAAAACAGACTGTCACTTTAATTAGGCCCAGTAAATCTGCCACTTCTTCTAGCTTCAGTCACTGTTGCTGTGCTTTCATTCTCACAAGTCTCAGCTCATTTCAAATGCGCACAACCCTGTGATCAGTCATAAATGTGTAAGTGTAAGCCGAGTGCTCGTACAGTGTGCGTTCACGTGTTGAGTCCGTGTGTGTGTGTGTGTGTGGATCATGAAGAAACAGAGGGGCTCTTGCTCTCAGAGAGGAGTTAAGACCAGTGAAGTAAACCCCCTACCAGGCAGTTCTTCTACAGGGGGAGAGGTGGGTGGAGCCTTGGGCCAGGCACAAAACTCCCACAGTGCACTGCTGCGTATAACCCCCTGTTCACTACTAGTAATAGATGAGGAATCTGTCACGCCCTCAACATAGAATTCATCACGTTCAGCGTCACACTGAGGCCTATTTCTGATGTGATCGAGCCTGTAGTCAGTCAGACAAATCTCTAGACTTGATCACCCAGGTTTTGAGACACAGATGAAGCCTAAGCCTAGACTAAATTGTCATGGCGGTTTAATGGCATACCCAAGATTGGGCTTAATCTGTGATCATGAAACCAGCAGATATCGAAGCCTTTTAGTCTTCATTACTGTTTTCCATGTTTTTAAAATCAGTTGGGTGACAGTTCGTGGAAGGTGGTCCATCACCAAAACATCACATTTACCCAGATACCCCCCTTACCAAGATGTAACTGATCAGCCGTTCTGTAGTTTCAAGGGATAAACTATGACAGAACCATATCTGTGACAGCAGATAATTCAGTGAAATCACTGGCTTTGGACAGATGTTTTAGATTTGACTGATAGTCTGTTTGATGATGTATTTACTGGGTCATTTAGGAGATGCAGGGATTCATTTTACTGCATAAACCTCTGCAAATAAATGCTGTGTTTTCTGTAATGGTTATGCAGATGGATCTACCTCTAATTCCCAGATTGGTGCCTCTCTGATAGTTTTACGGTGGAGATATGAGGCTAATGTAGCTAACAAGTGATAGAAACCCACCAGTTAGCACTGTGCAAACTACAGACGAATAAAATGACTCTTTTACAAAAGCATTTCAGTGTGGTTTGAGGTTGAAATGCACCATTCTAGAGAAATTTACGTTAAGTTCGCTGTGAATTGCTCACAGTGGTGGCGATAGGAACCAGACGTCTAAAGTGTTTAATACCTTATGAAGGTTTATCGCAGAAAGTTAGAACGATAAATGATTGAATATGCTGCCTGATGCTTGAAACATTATTTTGTAGTAGTTTTAAATTAAGGTTCTTTCGATTGAAACATACCTTTTTAATATTTGAGTGGTGGAGAGGTTCATGCAGGACATTGTGAGGAAAAATAGACCCAGAAGTAAACGTTTTTTAAATTTACCACTATTTTACCAGCATTACATTTAGAAACTCAGTAGACGTGAGTTGGTACACTGAGTGTTTTGGCTAGTAAATAATTTGGCTATGTTGGTGTTAGAATGTATTGGCTATATATGCAACCCCTGGTTTCTATCGTTTACATTTATATTCACAATTATGGAATTTAGCAGATGCTCTTATCCAGAACGTCTTACAGAAGTGCTTTGTTGTCCATTCAGAGAATGAATACTAGTTAGTCCAAATAGATCCAAACTACTCTTGTGCTCAGACACTGCCAGAAACAAAAGCCAGTGCTAATAGGTGGAAAGATATAGAATTAAAATAGCATATGTGCAATACACTGCATATCAATAAGTACTTAGATTAGTGTTCACTTAAGCACCACTGTAAAGAAATCAAACAGCAGACATTGTAAGTTTCTCTGTAGAGAACCATTTCACATCAAATCACTCTGAATAATGTTGTTTCCGACTGCAGAAATGGTGAAAAATCTGTGCACTGCTTTTTAAATAATCATAAATACACTTCTGCACTGTATTACTAACTGTTATCTGTAAAAAGCACAGGATTTGCTTTTGATCAGATACATTTCAGGTAAAGGGGGAGAATTTTTTCACTTATTCCTTTAAACCATTTGAACTGTTTCTGTAAAGACGCTGAACTTGGTGAAGATGAAGTTAGAGAAGTAGAGCACTGCAATGCTGCCTGAGCACCTGGAGCACTTTCTCACCTGGTTTAGACAGTGCAGGTCGTTCTTCACAGCTTCACTCAGCCTGTTTTTCACTGCCTGAGCTTTCAGTGAGCACACGTGTTGAGGTGTGTGTGTGTGTGTGTGTGTGTGTGTGTGTGTGTGTGTGTGTGTGTGTGTGTGTGTGTTTTTACCACCAACCTGGTCTGGCTGCTTCCTGTCACATGTATTTGTTTGTTGCGCTCTTAATGGAATCTGAATTGTGTGTATGTATATTTATTGTGTAAGGTGTGTATGTGTTGTGTTAGGTTGTGTGTGTGTGTGTGTGTGTGTGTGTGTGAGTGTGTGTCCATGCTGTGATGTTAACGTCCTCCTGGCTATATGTGTGTGTGTGACAGACGGAGCTGGAGAATGTGGAGGCGACGCAGGGCATGTCTTCAGAGACGGCCGTGACGTTTCTCAGCAGGCTGATGGCCATGGTGGACGTGCTGGTGTTCGCCAGCTCCCTCAACTTCAGCGAGATCGAGGCTGAGAAGAACATGTCCTCCGGAGGGCTGATGCGGCAGTGTCTGCGGCTGGGTTTGTGTCTGTTTTCTATATGTCTCCCTGCAAACTGAGTAGTTTCTATTAAATTCAGTAAGGATATATAATTCACTGCTGGACAAAACGTTGCAGACATCTAGCTCATCAACATGTTTTAATACAGATGAGTCAGCTTAGTTTCTAGTTAGTTATTTGGTTAATTATTCTTAGTGATTTTCTGTACAGCCCTAATTCTGAAAAAGTTGGGACGCTGTGTAAAATTTAAATAAATGTAAATTAAAACTGAATGCCATGATTTGCAAATCTCACAGACCCGTATTTTATTCACAGTAGAACATAGAACACATATCAGACGTTGAAAGTGAGACATTTTACCATTTCATGAAAAACACTACCTCATTTAGAACTTGATGGCAGCAACGCATCTCAGAAACGTTGGGACAGGGCTGCGTCTCCCATTGTGTAGCATCTCCTCTTCTTTTAACAACAGTCTGTAAACGTCTGGGAAGTGAGGAGACCGACTGCTGTTTCGGGAGAGGAATGTTGTCCCATTCTTGTCTGATGTAGGATTCTAGCTGCTCAGCAGTTCCTGGGTGTTCTTTGCCGGATTTTCCGTTTCATGATGCGCCAAATGTTTCCTATTGGTAAAAGGTGTGGACTGCAGGTCAGTTCAGCATCCGGACTCTTCCTCTGTGAAGCCATGCTGTTGTGATGGATGCAGTGTGTGGTTTAGCGTCGTCTTGCTGAAATATGCAATGCAGCTGTTTTTTATTAGCACCACTGACTTTTCCAGCCTTTGTTGCCTCTGTCCCAACTTTTCTGAGATGTGTTGCTGCCATCAAGTTCTAAATGAGTTAATGTTTTTCATGAAATGGTAAAATGTCTCATTTTCAACATTGATATGTGTTCTATGTTCTATTGTGAATAAAATATGGGTCTGTGAGATTCGCAAATCATTGCATTCAGTTTTAATTTACATTTATTTACATTTTACACAGCGTCCCAACTTTTTTGTATTTAATTCTTTATGGTGTGTGTTCTCCTGCACAAACAATGTTCTGTGAAGGGTCTGTAAGTTTGATATTTTCCAAAGAGATAAAGGAATCAGAAGATATAGATGACCATAGCCAGAATGTGCTGGTGTGAATTGTACTAATGCAGTCTTTTTTGTTTTTGTTTTAAATCTTCCACTTTGATGTACGATTGCCTTCAGCTTAGAAGTCTTGTCTATCTCTCTCTCTCTCTCTCTCTCTCTCTCTCTCTCTCTCTCTCTCTCTCTCTCTCTCTCTCTCTCTAGTGTGTTGTGTTGCTGTGCGGAACTGTCTGGAGTGCAGGCAGAGACAGAGAGATCGAGGCAGCAAGTCTTCACTGCCTATCAGCAAGACTCAAGAGAACCTTCAGAGCGCAGCATCCGCCAGCAAGGTCTCTCTCTCTCTCACACACACACACACACACACACACACACACACACACACCTATATGATGCATAAACAAGCTTAAAATAAAGCTTATGCACTCATACACATAGGCCCAATCCCATTTCACCCACTTGCCCCTACCACTTAGCCCTACCCCTCCATTTTGTGTGTTCTCGTCTAGGGGTAGGGAGTCCCGATTTTGTTGAGATAGAGGGGTGGGGCGAAGTGTTGGGGCTACATGACCCTCCAAACTGAGGTTTTTCAGAGACTCACTCCAAAAAGAGTGTTATGATGAAAAAAAAAAACAGCAAGATGGCTGAACGAGAGACCAAAGAAACCCAAGTGTAAATATTTTCTCCATTAAAAAATTCCGATAATCATTGCTTTATCTTAGTTTAATGTCTGTTTCAGTGTATTAAGGTCCTTTTCTTCATAACAAGCATAAACAATTGCTAGTAGTAGCTGATGTCTTGGAGAACGGGATGGGAATTTTCCCATATGGAACGGGAAAATTCAAACAAGAATCTGGTGAATATCTGACTTCAGCTTCATATCACTGAAGAATTAGGGGTGGGTGATAATAAATAATTGCCCCCCTCTTTGAAGATCATATGATGCCCTAAATATAACTAAAGCCCAGCAGTGAGGAGCTGAACTTTACCCTCCTCTGCTGTCACTGCAGACTGGCAGGGTCGCCTACAGAGCAGCGCTGGTAGCTGTTAATGAAGTGATGCTCTTTTTATTTGAGGGTCCCATTTCAGAGGGAAGATTTCAACCACTACCCTGTAACTCAGTTCCAAGGGGTTAAGGTGACACTCAAAAACAAGGGGTAGGGGTAAAAATAAGAAATGGGATTGGGCCTTACAGTAGTGTGCAAAAGTCAGAGGCGGCTCTTGATTTATTTCATTTCCAGTCAAAATGACCAGTGAGTTAATCATTTTTCAGGAGATGCTTCTGAGGAGGTGAGGTATAAGATAATCAACTTGCATAAGGGAGCGGAAAATTAAGAGAAAATAAGTGGAAAAAACAGGAGTTTCCAAAAATGGAGTTAAAAAAATATAAAGACATAAAGACAAGGACACTCTGAACAACTGTGCAAAAGACCTGATAAACAGTATGTAAAGCTTTCATCTCTGAGAGAGAGGAGAAAATCAAGCTGCTTCAGATCTGAAAACATCCACAGGTGTTCCTGTCCATCCTTCCACTGTGAGAAGACGACTCAGCACTGTGGGTCTGAAAGGATGTGTAGCTGTTAAGAAGCTGCTACTGAGACAAGGAAATAGATTAAAAAAAAGAAGGAAATTTACTAATCAGATAAAGACGCTGCTGGTGTTCTCAAGATAATGGACTGACCACTCCAGAGTGCAGACCTCAACAGCATTGAATGTGTTTGGCAACCAAGTGCTGTGCCTGAACTTTGGAGGCATGAAAAACATCCCTGCAGATTTCTTTGTAAAACTCAAAGCAAGACTATTGAAAGAATGGAAGCTGTAATAAAGTGTGGACACACTATATAAGGTGTGCCCATGCTTTTGTAGCTTGAGATCTACTTTTCCCAGTGGACAGATCATCATGATCTACCTTTAAGAAAAGGAAAAAAAGGCTGGCCTCATCATTTTTTTAAAAGCTTTTACATTTTTTTATGCACTTCCGTGGCCTATTTTAATATTTAGCATTACAGGGCGAAGGACTGAATAATCACACTGACCTTGTTGTCAGCCAGGTTTGTGTAGTCTGGACCACTTCTTCTTCTTCCTGAGTTCACTTTTAGCTTGGAATTCATTGTCGTAGTTTCTGTGTACAGTTCGGAAATTCCTCTCGACGTTCGCCTTTCTCAAGCAGATGCATTTGGAGTTTGACACTGTAAAAAATAGTCCTCCTCCCGCTCTGCATGGAAGAGGTAAGGTTTCGGTTTGTTTGTGCAGGTCTCGCACTCGTCTTCCAACACAGTCAGTACCCACGTTTACATGCAGCCTAATAATCCGTTAATAATCCGACTAATAGCTCAATAGGAATAGAATACGTCCATGTTAAACAACTCAGTCGGAATAGTCTAGTCCGATTGAGGCCTTTCAGAATACAGTTTCTATCCGACTGATCGAGGTGGGTAATCCTGTAAATAATCAGTTAAATAGAAGAATAATATCCGTGTAAACGTCTGTATCTGATTACATTCCCTATCGGAAAGTTTAAGTCCGTTCTGATCATGTTCGTTACGTCATAGTGAGAGTTTATACTGTTCAACATGGCGGAGCAGAAACTGGTCTGCAGAGGAGACGAAGTTTATGCTCTGATCTTTAAAAGACGGCGGTGGGACGGACGTCCAGCTTATGTGTCTCAGAGCACGACGTCTTCCTCTCGGCCTTCTTTAATAAGGACATGTGAAGGACGTTTTCCTGAGTCTGACATCATTTTAAAGCAGTTAATAACACAAGCACTGCTCACTGCTGCTCATCTCACTCTGACTAGACTCACGTGATGTTCTCTGTCATGGTAACGTTTACTCTAAGTGGTTCTCCACGCATGCGCATAATTTTGGATCGGATTACTTGTAGTGAGCATGTAATGGAGATTTTCCATCAGATTGTTGAGTAGAGTGAGAATAAACACCTCAGTCTTAACCTGTAATCGGAATGTATTCAATCGGATGGGCAAGTGTCTTTGCGTGTAAACACAGACAGTGTATTTTACAAAAGGAAAACACAAAAATGGCGCTACACAAACTGGCAGCCGAGCAGTAAATCAAAGAGCCACGTTTCACGTCAGTCAATCACGTTGACCCGCCCGCCGCCTGAAGCAGCAAGAAAGAGTTGAGATCCGATAGCCTGTTTGAATGACGCGCGATCTACCAATGTGAACAGTGCTTTGTCCTAAAAACGATGTATTATATTTAGTTGTTGAGGCTTCTGTTTAAAATGAATAACTTAATGTCAGATTTTACTGGAAATGAACAAAAATAACAGGTGGTCTCTGACTTTTGCTCAGTGCTGTACCTCCTTTGCATGTTAAAGCTATACTGTAAAAGGTTTTGTTTACACTGTACATGGGGCTTGTTACAGTAAGGGTCTTTTGGGAAGTTCCCCATAAGGATTAGGTTTTGTGCGTTTGAGCTGCTGCTGGCTCTAAACAGTGGGCGTACTGTGTAACAGTGGCTTTTCTGCACTGCTGTGTTGTCTCTGTTTTAGAGTGCCATAGCCAATGTCCCCCGTAACCTCTCTCCCATCAAGGACCCTGACAGGCTGCTGCAGGACGTCGACATCAACCGTCTGCGAGCCGTCGTCTTCAGAGATGTGGTGAGACGCGTGGATGTGTGGGTGTGACACACGAATGGACAGCTAGAGAGGGAGATGTTGAAGTTTGGCGTCTGAATCTGTGTGCGGATAGACATGTATACGAGTACAGGACAGTGAAATGATTCTCTTAGGGGATCCACCATAGGCTACAGCTACAGCAGATAGAGATTAGGTTGAAAAATGCTGGAGTGTTCTTTTAAAGGCGAATTCTGTTTCTAAAGAAATCTGCATAATTGAATGTTTAATATGTAAACAGCGTCATCCAGAGTGGTTTGATGTGCAAATGCTTTATTCTAGAGAAACTTGCAGAGTCAGAATTGTTCATAGTGGTGGTCATAAGAACCAGACATCCAAAGCGTTTAGTGCTTTTAACATCCACCTCTCATGACTTTGTTCTGTGGGTAATGCTTCTTTTAGAGTCCGTAAGGTTCTAGGTATTAACAAGGAAAGTGTGCGGTACAAACCCCGAAGTACTAGGTAATTACTTTTGACTCTTTTGATTATTACGGCAAGGCAAAGCAAATTTATTTATATAGCACATTTGAAGACTGGCACGCAGACTACTGGTCACCATAGCAACGCAGATATGAATCTGGCCTAGCTAGTAGCGAATGAAACAACAAAGAGAAAGATTTAAGACGAACGTCAGTAGGTTGTTTGACGAATGGACTTGGATTTGCATTCATAATCACTCCAGCTGGTTTCCTGATACGTTTAATCTGCAACGAGAAACTGACAAACACTAAAAAGTCACAAGGCTGAAGTCAGTTTCTCCTTCGCCAGCTTCTTGTTCGAATCTTTCCATTCCACCTTAAATGGTGCAGCAGTTACATTCTGCCACCTCAGGCACCATTTAAGGTGGAACAGGAAAATTCAAGCAAGAAGCTGGCGAATGAGAAGCGACTTCAGCCTCGTAAAAAGTTGAACATTGAGAGACATTTTACAAGAAACTCTCGTGGAAAGTTTCCTGCTGGAGATGTGAGAAAAGCGGCTATAGCTGAGCTAAAGCTTAAAGCAGAGTAAATTCAGTCTGCGCTTTAGTTTATATTATATGAGACATTTGAGACATATTTACAACCAGGATGGTAAAATGGACATAAAACTATTGTGGCTGTCAAGATGGTTTCATTTTTGTTGAAAGGACAAAATGGCCCTTTATAACGACGTTAAATTTAGTAACTCATACTTACCCAGTTAATACATGGGACCTGCTGGGTATTTCACTCCTATAGTAAATAAAATGGTTGCATTTGCATCAGTAAGTCTTTCTACAATGCACCATTTGACATGAATGCACTCAGAAAGGGCTTTATTCTCATTTTGACCATTGAATTATGCAGAAATGTTTTTAAACGCTTTTAAATAATTCCTCTTTAATGAGTGAATAGATTTCTGACAACACTGTATGTTGTTTGTATGATTGTGTGTTTGTAGGATGACAGTAAGCAAGCCCAGTTCCTGGCCCTGGCTGTAGTCTACTTCATTTCTGTCCTCATGGTGTCTAAATACCGGGACATCCTGGAGCCACAGCGTGAGATTGGCAGGTCCAGCAGCCTATCAGGAAGGAGCATCCGACAAGAGATTAATTCCCCCACCAGCACAGGTGAAGCTCGAGAAAACTCATCCCCTTCACAGCTGCACACCGTATCTCTCTGACCGCTGCAGTGTCCTTGAGAGAGCTAGAGTGTGTTTTTATGTGACAGGGATGTTTATAAGCAGATGCATATATGTATATGTAACCTTGTCATTCTGGACAGGTGTGTGTACCCTTGTCATTGTGGATGGATGGGGGCATTACCTTGCCCTTCTTGTTTCTGCCAGATGGAATCCCCCTGCCTGATTTATTCTCACAGTCTCTCTCTCTCTCTCTCTCTCTCTCTCTCTCTCTCTCTCTCTCTCTCTCCATCTCTGTCTGTCTCTTCTGAGTCATTCATCACCTTGAAGAAGAGCCACTGCTCTGGCTGTTCAGAAACACTGAGGGTGCAAATTCTTTCTAACTAGGTTAATTTTGCGCTTGTGGGCATTATACATGTACAAAGTATGTCCTGTGAATACCCTTCCAGTACCAGCTAAATGGGTGATGTACACCGATCAGGCATAACATTCTGACCACCTCCTTGTCTCTACACTCATTGTCCATTTTATCAGCTCCACTTACTATATAGGTGCACTTTGTAGTTCTACAGTTACAGACTGTAGTCCATCTGTTTCTCTGATACTTTGTTAGCCCCCTTTTACCCTGTTCTTCAGTGGTCAGGACCCCCATGGACCCTCACAGAGCAGGTACTATTTGGGTGGTGGATCATTCTCAGCATTGCAGTAACACTGACGTGGTGGTGGTGTGTTAGTGTGTGTTGTGCTGGTGTGAGTGGATCAGACACAGCAGTGCTGCTGGAGTTTTTAAACACCTCAGTGTCACTGCTGGACTGAGAATAGTCCACCAACCAAAAATGCCCAGCCAACAGCGTCCTGTGACCACTGATGAAGGACTAGAGGATGACCAACACAAACTGTGCAGCAGCAGATGAGCTATCATCTCTGACTTTACATCTACAAGGTGGACTGACAAGGTAGGAGTGTCTAATAGAGTGGACAGTGAGTGGACAGTGAGTGGAAAACTCCAGCAGCGCTGCTGTGTCTGATCCACTCAGACCAGCACAACACACACTAACACACCACCACCACGTCAGTGTTACTGCAGTGCTGAGGATGATCCACCACCCAAATAGTACCTGCTCTGTGAGGGTCCATGGGGGTCCTGACCACTGAAGAACAGGGTAAAAGGGGGCTAACAAAGTATGCAGAGAAACAGATGGACTACAGTCTGTAACTGTAGAACTACAAAGTGCACCTATATAGTAAGTGGAGCTGATAAAATGGACAATGAGCGTAGAAACAAGGTCATAATGTTATGCCTGATCGGTGTATTTTGCCAAATTCCCTTATTTCAGTGTAAACTGGTCAGTCCTAGTCTTGGGTCTAATAAGCATAAGCAATCCCCTCACCTATCTCGAGTCTGATGTGGGTCGTCCCACCCACACAACTTTAACAAAGCTGTGTTCTACTATGACTAAATAGTCGTTGGAGTTAATGTGTAGCTGCTTATTCACCCATTGACCCTGAAGATTGGCTGGTCACTATTGCAATGCAGCTACACCTAGCTAGCAGCTAACAAAAAGGCAAAGACAACGATTTAAGATGAACATCGATAATTTTGAGACAAATGGACTTATTTGTCAAACACTGAAAAGTCGTGAAGCTGAAGTGCAGCAGTTACATTCAGGCACCATTTAAGGTGGAACGGGAAAATTCATACAAGAAGCTGGCAAATGAGAAGCAACTTCAGCCTCGTAAAAAGTCGAACGTTGAGAGACATTTTACAAGAAACTGTTCTACTTTTGTGGAAAAGTTTCCTGCTGGAGATGTGAGAAAAGTAAGAGCAAAGTAAGCCTGCGTTTCGTTTATATTATTTAGCCTTACTAGTACATCAGCACATACTGAGACATATTTACAGACAAGATGGTAAAATGGGCATAAAATGTTTCCCATTTGCTAACCAAGGTGGTTTGATTTCTGTTGAAAGGATAAAATGGCTCTTCTTAGCATTTAGGTTGTGACCCCTGTCCTATGGTCTAAGCTAACAACCAAGCGAGAGCTAATGTATCAAGCATAACTGAGCTATCAGGCTAGTTTATCTGTCTGCCTATTGTCCGTCTGTCCATTTGCGATCATTCCCTGGATGCACATCTAGCAGTAAAGTGAATAAAAACCTTACCTTCTTTAAGTTGCTGGCATGTAAAGCTTGACATTGGTAATGATCCATGGACACAGTGGTGTCTACAATACCACCTGTGTGTGTTTCACTCGTTTCGCTCATTCCTCCCGACTCATGTTTAATATTTTACACTGTGATCTCTGGGATTTTAAACAGTTTTACCCTAACTAAATTACCTCCAGCGCACAATTAAAAAAGCAGACTTCAAAAACCAAACATGTCTTGGCTGATCAACTACATTTAATGTAAAGGGAAAATTGTATAACCTTATTTTTTTTTACTGAACTATTCTTTTAAAAAAAGAGGGTGATGAGGTCAGAGACAGGTTTTGGGGTCAGAATAATGTGACAGGAGGACAAAGCAGAGCAAACTGTCAATTGCAGAGATGTGTGCGGCTGGTTTCGCAAGCCCACGTCGTCACAGAGTCTGTGTTTTGTCGTTTAACGAGAACCTCGTACTTTGGGTAAGGAAAGGGCCATCTGACTGATGCAAACTGACCAGTCACAGAGCGTGACGTGTAGGGGCCGGAGATTTTCAAAACGGGGCTACAGCAAAAACAGACCCACGAGAAACAGATGTGTATATGCATCAGCAAACATGTGAGGCTATCTTGCTTAAGAGCTACTAAATGCTTTAAAGAAAACTCTTGGAAATTTTTTAATGAATGTCAGAATCTTTTTTTTCAATTTAATAATTATATGTAACTCCAAATGACGTCACGGTGTGCAGAGCTCTTGGGAAAGGCATCTTTTCTGTTGGACTGGTAATTAGTGCGTAAACAGGGTCACTGGGAGAGCCAGTTAGAATGGAACTAAGAATCCCAGTACTTGTGGCTGTTATCACATGCAGTAAATCAGCCAAGACATGTAGGTCGGAATGTTCAAATATTTGTAAAGTCATGAAGTCTAAAACCCCCCCAAAAAATAAATTAAAAAAAATCTGATTTTTCATAGGGCGAATCAGCTTCTCTCTATCATTCTCACGCAAAAGAACCATGAGTCTGATCTCCGTACTCCACCAGAGGGCAGTGTAGAATTTGCATATTACATTTTGATCTTATCTTACGTTTATCTGTTTAGTCCAAAGAAGCAAGCATGGAAATACAACTGCAGCCAGCTGAAGGCTTCCACACGCTGCAGGAGAAGCTCCGTTCCGCGCTGCCAGATAGTCTCTAGCACCGTAGTGCAAAGTGCACTTTGGAAATGTTGCAGAAAATCGCTGATAAACAACAAACTCAAGTTTGTTTTACACTCAAATATATTTAATGGAATAAAACTTTCAGTATCATTTTGCGAATTTATCATTCGGTGTCGGCTAAGTAACCCTTCATAAACTCACTGTTTTCCAGCTAAAAATGATGAATTGAAATGCAGTGCAACTGGACTAGGCTAGTAATGTTAGCTGAGGTAACAGATGATCAGTGTAGGTCTGTTTATCTTAAAGATGTTCGATTTCCTCTCTCTGGGTTCATTTTAAGCCCTATCACCTGTGCTCTGATCTGTGCTCTGATATATAATAAATTAAAAAACTTTTTTTGGTTTTCTTTGCAAGTGGGGCAGATTCACATTTCACATTAAAACACAAAAATATCATCATTAATAAAAAAAAATTCATATTCAGTATAGAGATTCAGTTTTGTGACCTATTACATTGTCATCTTTGTCACTAATATTCTCAGGCTGATCTTATCGCTATAAATATTTTATCAAAATGCACCAGTAATGGTACATATTGACGCTAATTACAAAGAAAAAGGAAGGACTATTAATAACTGTCGTGGCATAAGTCAATAAATATTCATGGTACAGTAAGGATGTGTTGAAATGATTCCAGGACAGGTTAGTGCTTCTTTGCTTTTGTCATTACTGTCTGTAACTAAGTGAAAATCTGTTTTGGGTTTAACATTTAAACTGTAACTGTCCCCTCTGTCGTCCGTTTATTTTCACCAGTGCCTTTAATGCTGTTTATCTGGCTGTGTATGACGTTTTTATGTGTCTCTGTGTGCAGAAAACCCGTCCTCCTTCTCGGACGGCAGCCGTGCTGAGCGGCCCCTGGAGGAGCTCCCCCTTGAGGGCTCTCTGCCCCACACAGATTCGGGCATCGGGGACGAGCAGGTGGGCAGCACCCTCAACGGTTCAGAACTGGGGGGCGAAGCCTCAGGGGGCTCTACGGGTTCTGGCGGGGGTCCGGATGCCATGAGTGAGCTGCTCTGCACCCTCTCCTCGGAAGTGCGTAAGTCCCGCGAGTCCCTCTTGGAATCGCCGCCCGGTGTGGACGTCCACCTCAAGCCGGCCGCGTCTATCTCCAGTATCAGCCAAGCCAACAAGGGCATCAACGTGAAGGAGATCCTGAAGAGCCTGGTGGCGGCGCCGGTGGAGGGTGCGGAGGCGGGGCCTGAGCCTCAGCCATACCACCCTGACCCCGCCCTGAAGAGGGAGGCAGCCGCCATGCTGCCCATGCAGTTTCACTCGTTCGACAGGTAGAGAGCGGCACCAGGAGCGTCACTCTTTTGCACAACTAGTTCCTGATTGCTTGTTCCGTGAAACCTCATTTCGTTAGTTTCAAGAGACCATGTTCTGTTAATTTTCCTGTTCATGAAATGTTGTTTAAATCGGTCAGTTGAAATGGTGTCATTGGTACGCATGGTATCACAGACATTGATGTTTTGATTGGCTGTTTTCATGAAACTTGCTTCGCAACGTTCAGCTGGTTGCTAGAGTTGCATTTCAAACGAGATTCTAATAAGTTGCAGGTGGCTTTACATTCTGCAACTCGTGAAATTTAGTTTCATGTAAGTTTCAGGCAACTGAAGTGGAGTGTAAATTTCACCATGTGGACCCAGCCAGATCCAAAATGCTGTACATTCACATTAGTTCATGATTTCAATTTTACAGGTATCTTCAGAGCCAGGGATAGGTGATATAATAAGAATTAATTAGGAATGTTTCATTTTTACGGCATCTTTCTCAAACCCAGGGTCACTTTACAGAAGATATGGTCAAAATCATATCACATTTTTCTCTATATTATTGAATATCACAGTTACCAATAATATTTATGTGCATTCACCAATGCATAGTTTTAAGTGTCAGTCGTCATCTGATGGTTGGAAGTTACATCTGGTTTAACCCTTAACAAGTCAGGTTTATTATTCAGTAACTATGGGGACTTGGATGCAAACTAATGGAGCTATTTTTAGGCTATAGGAGTGTGTAATAACACTTTGGGGCCCACCAGCAGGCCCATGGCTTGTTAAGGGGTTAAGAAAACTAAACCATATCATATGTGTTACAGCTACACTGATCAGACATAACATTATGACCACCTCCTTGTTTCTACACTCATTGTCCATTTTATCAGCTCCACTTACTATATAGGTGCACTTTGTAGTTCTACAGTTACAGACTGTAGTCCATCTGTTTCTCTGATACTTTGTTAGCCCCCTTTTACCCTGTTCTTCAGTGGTCAGGACCCCCATGGACCCTCACAGAGCAGGTAGTATTTGGGTGGCGGATCATTCTCAGCACTGCAGTAACACTGACGTGGTGGTGGTGTGTTAGTGTGTGTTGTGCTGGTATGAGTGGATCAGACACAGCAGTGCTGCTGGAGTTTTTAAACACTGTGTCCACTCACTGTCCACTCTATTAGACACTCCTACCTTGTCCGTCCACCTTGTAGATGTAAAGTCAGAGACGATAGCTCATCTGCTGCTGCAGAGTTTGTGTTGGTCATCCTCTAGTCCTTCATCAGTGGTCACAGGACGCTGCCCACAGGACGCTGCGGGCTGGATAGGTTTGATTGATGGACTATTATTGGTGGACACCTCAGTGACACTGAGGTGTTTAAAAACTCCAGCAGCACTGCTGTGTCTGATCCACTCGTACCAGCACAACACACACTAACACACCACCACCACGTCAGTGTTACTGCAGTGCTGAGAATGACCCACCACACAAATAGTACCTGCTCTGTGAGGGTCCATGGGGGTCCTGACCACTGAAGAACAGGGTAAAAGGGGGCTAACAAAGTATGCAGAGAAACAGATGGACTACAGTCTGTAACTGTAGAACTACAAAGTGCACCTATATAGTAAGTGGAGCATTGTCATTATTGATTGTTGCCTAGGTCTAACCAGCGCATGCATTAAAATACATCAAATAAATATTCCCCCTGGGTGTTTTAACTTTTTCACATGGCCCTCATTCATATGATAGTGAAGTGAGTTTGAGGTCATCCTCTCTTTTTGGCAGCGTTGGATCTCCAGTGTAAATCTCTGGTCTGTAGCCATTTTCTCCTACTGAACGTTTCCCCGTCTCCAGGCTGCGTCTGTTGTGCGAGCTTCTCCTGAGCTGCCGATGGCTGTGTAATGTGCCGACCCCTCGGGACTTCAGACAAGCTTTTGTGCATGGAATCCACAATACACACAAACCTCCCCAGAACATTCATCTTCTTTGTTCTCCCCAATTAAGAAAACCTGATAAATAAAACATGCGCCGGATTATACTGTACATCATTTATGAGCTCCTTAAATATGAATAATTGATTATAAAGGGTTAATATTTTATCAAAAGCTCCTTTTCCAGCTTCTTGGTTCTGCTTGTGCTGTGCTCGTTCATTGAGGAATGGAGGCCGTTAGTCGTAAATGAGATGCAGTGGGTGGATCGATAGTGATGAGTAGGGCTGGGTATTAATACCAATACCTAGATCAGTGACTTTGATACTTCGATACTGATTCCTAAATGATACTTTCTTTAAAGTTACAGACTGAAAGTGGGTGTGGTTTAAACCAGAAATGAGTTTGTGTTTGTGTGCTTAGAAATTGAAATACAGTATTGAATGACATGGCATTTTTAAAAGAGTTTAGTTGGTATTAGGCCTGGCCGATAGGGCGGTGTACACCGATCAGGCCTAACATTCTGACCACCTCCTTGTTTCTACGCTCATTGTCCATTTTATCAGCTCCACTTACTATATAGGTGCACTTTGTAGTTCTACAGTTACAGACTGTAGTCCATCTGTTTCTCTGATACTTTGTTAGCCCCCTTTTACCCTGTTCTTCAGTGGTCAGGACCCCCATGGACCCTCACAGAGCAGGTACTATTTGGGTGGTGGATCATTCTCAGCACTGCAGTAACACTGCGGTGGTGGTGGTGTGTTAGTGTGTGTTGCGCTGGTACAAGTGGATCAGACACAGCAGTGCTGCTGGAGTTCTTAAACACCTCAGTGTCACTGCTGGACTGAGAATAGTCCACCAACCAAAAATATCCAGCCAGCAGCGTCCTGTGGGCAGCAGCCTGTGACCACTGATGAAGGACTAGAGGATGACCAACACAAACTGTGCAGCAGCAGATGAGCTATCGTCTCTGACTTTACATCTACAAGGTGGACTGACAAGGTAGGAGTGTCTAATAGAGTGGACAGTGAGTGGACACAGTGTTTAAAAACTCCAGCAGCACTGCTGTGTCTGATCCACTTGTACCATCACAACACACACTAACACACCACCACCACGTCAGTGTTACTGCAGTGCTGAGAATGATCCACCACCCAAATAGTACCTGCTCTGTGAGGGTCCATGGGGGTCCTGACCACTGAAGAACAGGGTAAAAGGGGCTAACAAAGTATCAGAGAAACAGATGGACTACAGTCTGTAACTGTAGAACTACAAAGTGCACCTATATAGTAAGTGGAGCTGATAAAATGGACAATGAGCGTAGAAACAAATAGGTGGTCATAGTGTTATGTCTGATCGGTGTAATTGGATATTGTCGATGATGGGCTAGTAACCCGATGACGATGTGTAAAAGGTGATAATTTTGGTTAAAGAGCTGAGAGCAGGCTTGCACACCACTAGTCAGTTTCACACACACACAGACAGCCTCTGCTGTCTCTCTCTGTTATGCACTGTAATCCTAGCTGTACTGCACAAATTCCCATAATTTCAAAGTGATTTGCTGCAGAAAACGAGCTAAAGTGACTAAAGGTGAGCATAGAGCAGCTAAGTTAACTCTAACCTGAAGATCAGGTTCTCTGATCGTTGTCTACAGCTGCTGTGGAGTATCTTTCCGTACAGATAAAGTGTCCCGGTGGTCAGCTGAGTTCTGAAAATGTTTTTGTAACAGCAGAAAACGCTTTGTTCTTAACAATATTATCGATAATTATGACTTTTTTAGCTAGAAAATATTATGATGGTTGTTTTTAGCTGTCGCTCAGGCCTGGTTGGTATCATAAAAGTACTGAATTTCAGTGCCCAGCCCTAGTGTTACTTTACTCTCCTACTGTTTAGAACTGACCTATCTAGTAGTACTTGTTGAACATTGTTTGGATGTTATGCTTTTTTGCTGTTTTTATACCAGTTGTTTTTGTATCCCTCTTAGGGCTGTGTGATATGCCCAAAAATCATATCACTATGTGTCTTTCAGTATCATTTCCTTTGTTTCTTTTTCCTTTTGTAATAATATTTGGAACCTTAAGAAAAACTTCAAAATAGAAATGAACTAAAAAAAAGTACAATTTGAGGACAAAACATTTAACTGGGCTTTTATATACAACATGCAATGCGCAATTTCTACACTGTAAATATCTAACTGTCTCTCTGGGTTGTACTTTGTGAGCGAATGGAAAGACCTTGACCTCCTCTAGGTGCAAACTGCCACCTAATGTACCAGAGATAGTTTATATCGCAGTTGTTAAAGTAATAACTCTCCTAACTGCCAGGCTAGTTTGTGCTGTCACTAGTGAATGGCTAGACTATTACCCGACTGTCTAGTGAGTAAAAAGCAGAAGTTACTACTAATGTTCAGAAGTAACAGGTAATTTCGATCTGACTGTTTCTTTGTCCCCCGTGCTGCTGTGTGTGTGTGTGTGTGTGTGTGTGTGTGTGTGTGTGTGTTGTGTACTCACAGGAGCGTGGTTGTACCAGTGAAGAAGCCTCCTCCGGGCAGTCTTGCTGTGAATACTGTTGGCACTCCCACCACCAGCACTGTTCCCTCCTCTGGCAGCACACCTAACATCTTCGCCGCTGCCACTGCAACACCTAAGAGCATGATTAACACGACAGGTACACAGTTCTGGGGCGTAAAACAAGAGAGGGGGTGCTTTGTAAAAGAGCAGTTTACTCTCTTTCAGTATAAGGCTCAAATTACAGTGAAAGAAAGCAGAAAGCATGTGAGCTGAAACATGTTGTAGGTCCTACAAGGATATTTTGTGAGCTCCTAATAGGTGCAGTAACACCTTTATAAGGCAGCACCGTCATGTTTTTTTAATTCAAGCTCAACCTGTGTCTTAAGCTAGACTTTCTGGCACAACAGTGGCAGAAAAGATCATTCTCATTTTGGAAGTTGAAAAGTGGATATTGTCGACGCACATGCCATATAAACTCAAACCAGCACAGTATTTTGTCCAAAAAGATGTCATTTCACATTTAAGTTCAACACTTTTAATTTAAAATTTACTCTTATCTAAAAGGAATACTTCGATAAAAAAAATTTAAGATATTTCAAGACATTTTCCATCCAGATTTTGCTTCTTTATTTAAGAACTGGAGCTACGAGGCTAACATTGCTAACAAACGCTAGAACTCAATAGTCACCCAAATAGCCTGAATTGTGTCCTCCAACCCTTTTGCAACTTACAGCCCACACAAAAGTTTCTTTAGCCTACAAGAAGATATAATCAGTCCGATTGTCTAAATTACTAACAAATATAACACAAGGTAGCCTATAGAGATTCACTTCACTGTATATAATCATGCAACATTAATTAACATCAACAATATCTAAAAAAAATGTTCTGTTTGTAGCCATTTATCTATCAATCATAAATGAATTCCACACCATCAAAAACAGGAATGTTTTACAGTGACTGAAAATGTAAACAAAGCTGGTTAACTAGTTGTCTGTCATGCATTTTGCCAGTGAGCTTGATGTAAATTATTGTTTTCCTTTTGTTAATAATTATCAGAACAATAATATCTGTCAGATTTAACATTGTTTGATTAAATGTCTATATTGTATCACAATTTTGCAATTAAAAAAAAAACTACAATAAAAAAAAAAACGGACAGGTAAAGCCCCCCCAGCAATACCCCCTTGGCCCACTAGGGGGCTGCTACCCACAGGTTGAAAACCACTGCTCTGGTCTGTTTGGCTGTTAAATCGGACTGTCTGTCCTCTCTCACAGGTGCCACAGACTCCGCCTCTTCCTCCTCTTCTTCCTCCAGCTTTGTGAACGGAGCTACCAGTAAAAACCTGCCTGCTGTGCAGACTGTTGCCCCAATGCCTGAGGACACGGTGGAGAACATGAGGTGCAGCTCCTTCCCAAAGCCTCTCCCTCCATCACCTCCCTTCTCCATCTCTCCACTCCTGCCTCTCCTTCTCCTTCAGCGAATCCCCTCAAACCCCTCTACCCTTCTCACGCGCTCACATGCCAGGCGACATGAGTCATCTTTATTTCCGTTCAGCTTGTCGCGTTCCCCTCTGCTTGACCTGTCTCTTCTGCCGTGTTCATTTTGTACTGCTGTCCTCCTTTCTTTACCTCCCTCTCCCTCTCTTTCTCTCCCTCTCCCTCCCCTTCACTCCCAGCCCAAACATTACTTTACTGTAGCTCCCTCGTGCAGCCGCCGGCCGTGATGAAAGACTGTCTGCCTCTTTTGTTGTGCGTGTTTGAAAGAAAGTCCTCAGACAATGTGGGCGTATTTACAATTTCAGCAGAAGGCTGGCGGACCTGCCTGTCAGTCTGCCGTCCTCCACTAGATGGCACACTGCACCTAAATAACATGGCTGCACTGTATGTGAACATGCAAGATATGTTTATGAGAATGTTTGATATACTGAGCTACACGTCCCGAGGCTGCCTTTAAGCGACCTTGGTTATGCGAAAGGTGCCAGCAAATAATAATAACTAAATAAATGAATGAATCAGCTTTGCTATTTACGTGTTAGCGTGTCTTTCATGTAAGCATGTGTAGTGTTGTGTTTAGTATAATCAGCTCCACGTTGTGTAGAAATACAGATAAAGTGGTAGTCATTCTAAGGGCTACATCACTTCATTAAAGCAAGCTGAGCTCACTGCATTCTATTACTTGCTGGTCTATGAGAAACAGTGTCTAACTGTAAAGTGCCTGTAATTGCTGTCTGTGCCCATTTGTATTGCAGTGCCTTTTGTGAAGTGGACCAGTGTCCACTGCGAACCGGCCTGACACCTCCTGAGCTCAAATCCTTTAGCTCACTGGCAGGATTCCAGACAGCCCCCAGAGATGCAGGACAGTGTCTTAGGCAAGGAAGCTTCAACTAGTCCAGTACCCAGCCCTACAAACATGATGGCTCCCACCTCCCTGATATCTGTCTGTCTGTCTATCTGTCTGTCTATGCTATCTATCTACACCATTTATCTACACTGTCTGTCCAAAAGTATCTATACACCCATTCTAATTAGTAAAGTAAGCTACTGTAAAGTGCCCACATTGCTGAAGCAGGTGTTTAATTACGCACAGCAGTAGATTGTGACACTCTGGAGCTGCTGCATGTGAGCCTAAAGGCCTAATGCCAAGAATCAGGGAGTATAAAGTCTCCAGCATTGGGCTGTGGAGATCTCTGGAGTCCCAGTACCTCTAAGACGAGTTGGAGTGGCGTTTGGGATCCAGAACTAATCATCTAATATCAGTACCTGCTGTTATGGCTGGATGCAATCAAATCATCACAGCAGTGTTCCACCTTCTGGTGTAAAGCCTTCCCAAAAAGCTCTGTTATTGCAGCAGTGCCCTTAATTTCAGAAAAGGTGTTAAATGAGCAGGTGTCTGTAGACTTTTGGACATATAGTATATCTGTCCTCTCTCTCTCTCTCTCTCTCTCTTTCTTTTTCTTACTTTGTCTTTCTCTTGCCCCCTCCTTCTTTTTTCCCCTCTGTCTTTCTTTTCTCTCTCTTTTTCTTGCTCTTACTCACTCTCTCTCCATATTATTTATAATTATACTCACTGTCCACTTTATTAGAAATACTTGCCTCCTTCTCTTTGTTTTGTAAAGTGCACCTACAGTTCTGTGCGAAAGTCACAGCTTCATTTATTCAATGTCCAGTCAAGATGGCTGTTAAGTTATTCATCAGTGTCCGGAAAAAAAGCAGAAAATATGTATTAATGTGATGTTTGTGTATATATGTATATATATACACACCAATCAGGCATAACATTCTGACCACCTTTTTGTTTCTGCGCTCATTGTCCATTTTATCAGCTCCACTTACTATATAGGTGCACTTTGTAGTTCTACAGTTACAGACTGTAGTCCATCTGTTTGTCTGCAGATGGACTACAGTCTGTTCTTCAGTGGTCAGGACCCCCATGGACCCTCACAGAGCAGGTACTATTTGGGTGGTGGGTCATTCTCAGCACTGCAGTAACACTGACGTGGTGGTGGTGTGTTAGTGTGTGTTGCGCTGGCCTCAGTGTCACTGCTGGACTGAGAATAGTCCACCAACCAGAAATATCCAGCCAACTGCGTCCTGTGGGCAGCGTCCTGTGACCACTGATGAAGGACTAGAGGATGACCAACACAAACTGTGCAGCAGCAGATGAGCTATCGTCTCTGACTTTACATCTACAAGGTGGACTGACAAGGTAGGAGTGTCTAATAGAGTGGACTGTGAGTGGACACAGTGTTTAAAAACTCCAGCAGCACTGCTGTGTCTGATTCACTCAGACCAGCACAACTGAGAATGATCCACCATTCAAATAGTACCTGCTCTGTGAGGGTCCATGGGGGTCCTGACCACTGAAGAACAGAGTAAAAGGGGCTAACAAAGTATGCAGAGAAACAGATGGACTACAGTCTGTAACTGTAGAACTACAAAGTGAACAAGGAGGTGGTCGTAATGTTATGCCTGTTCGATATATATAAAATATGTATTTACCAGCAAAATAATCTCATTTGTTTGTGTATTTAGTGTGTCCACCCTGTGTTATCACAAAAATATTGCCTTCCATTCTCTTCAGGACACTTCAGTTTTCCTCAGAAATCTGCAGGGAAGTTCAGTCTTAGAAGTTGGTTGCATTTTCTGATCCAAGTAAACCCAATTTTAAAAATAATGGTTGGTCTCTGACTTTTGCACAGTACTGTACAAAAGTATACAGCAGCCTGTATTTGTTGTCATGCATCGTTCATCGCTGGTCAGTTTCTGAACACTTGATCAGATATTATTTGGCTGGTAGTCTGTTAAGAGTGTTTTTACCCTGTTGTCACTGGGGTCAAAAACTGACCACGAATGAAGCAAGGTGGACTGACAGGGTGAATGTTTCCAATAAAGTGGCCATTGAAGGTGTAGATCCCACAAACACTTCCCCCACCCCCCCATACACACTTCTCTCTGCTGACTCTCCTGTCTGTCGGGGAGGTGGATGCTGGTGAGGGTGGTCTTTAGATGCCAGACTGCACTGCCCCTGCCTCTCTCATCTTTGATTCAGTCCCACTTCATGGACAAGACCAGCCCAACAACACCACACAAAGTACATTCCCACATATTTACTTCATCTTAGCTCTGGAAATGTACTGGTTCACAAGAGATTCAATAATAACGGACTTTCCATGCTCCAAAGTGGGACTGAATTTCTTCCTTCTCCCCTTTTACCGCTTGCTGCTTTATAACAGTGGCAACCATGAGCTACATTAACGGCTCGTAGCCTAATCCTGGTTTTACTGCCCTGGATGCTGCAGACTCTTCCCTCTGCTCTCTGTCCTTATTCAGTCCTTTAAACCCCTGAGTCTGGTGTTGTATGCATCCTCTGGCCTGTAGCTGTATCCTCAGCGTAGGTTAGCTGAGCTTATAGGGGTGGGGGTGCTATTGTAGGAGTGTTTGTGAAGCCTTTGCCCTTCCACGGCTCCCCCTTGTGTCAGAATCCTGATGCTTGTAAGCAGCATTAACATTCCACCAGTGGTTTCCAGTCCTGGTCCTGGAGCAGCCCGGCTCTGAACACTTTAGTGTTTTCCCTGCTCTAATACACATCGTTCAACTCCGAAAGAGTCAGTTAAAGGAGAATTAGCAAAATGTCTGCCTAGTCCAGTTGCTGAGATGTAAACATAGTCATTCATTTCCATTTATCTGATGGGAAGTGGTGCATATGGCTTTACAGTGGTGGTGATGGGAACCAGAGGTCATGAGATCTACAATGCAGATATAGCAATTTTATTTTTTTATTCAGAACAACCAGCGAGTCTATAACACGTCTTCTGCGTTTTAATGTTGAAAATGGTTATGTATTAGGTGATTTTTAAAAAATCAGTTTTCACTGGGGGCTACTTTGTCTTGTAAAGCCCTCAGTTTTGTCTCAGACCTGTGTTGCAGGCGTCAGCCAACAAATTCATAACCATTTCTTGCAGTAGTTTTCTGTGAAGGAGATTCTGACTTTAAGTTTCTCTGGAACAGAGCATTTTACATCAAACCACTGTGAATGACTTTGTTTACATCATAATTTAATAATGCACATTTTGAAAAATGAGGGATATTCCAAATGTTTTTAACCTAATCCCTGTCTGCCACATGTCGTACTATCAATTACAATAGAAAGTAATTTGTACAGTGTTTCTCTGTAAAAGAACAGAAAAGCTCTGTTAGCTGACGTAACAGATCTGGCGGTTGGCGCTTTCCTCAGAGAGCGTTCAGCTGTCCAATGACATTGCATTAGTGCCAGTTTGAAAAGATATGGTGGTACTTGACAGGTCTCAGACCTGTGTTTGCCTTTGCCCTCTTGGTATCACGTGACTGGGGGGGTCTATCTAGTGGGTGGAATTGGAAACAACTGAATTGGGGAGAAATGTGTGTATTTTTGCAGGACACTTCCATGAATTTGTAAATTTGGTCTTTGTAAGTCAGTAAATCGGTTCTTCTAGAGAGGAACGAATTTGTGGTGATAGTTTAAGTGGATTTTCACAGGCATGGATACTAACAAAAGTGAACGTAACTGGGACTATTTTCTCCTTTTATATTTACTTTGTTGATCCAGCTTTCTAAGCTGAATAGAACTCCATAAGAGCAGTGGGTCGTTGGTAAGACATTCCCTCATGTTCAGCCATGAAGTCAGGAAATGCAAGATAAAAGCATCTGAAATATTCTATAATGAGCTGATTAGCTGGGTCGGCCGTGTTAGAGCAGGTAAAACACTAAGATATTGGCCCAGGTACTCCGGGACCAGGGTTGGAAACCACTGTGCTACACCAGTGATCCATTAACTCTTCCGTACTAACCGGCTAGAGCTGGATGGGGTGGGTGTGCTGTAGTTCATAGCTCATATTTCTTTGCCAAATTAATGTAAAGCTTCTCTATTTCTGTCTGTGCACCCTATTAACATCTCTCTCTCTCACTTTCTCCCTCTCTCCCTCTGCCTTTCTTTCTTCTCACAGCATAACCACTAAGTTGGAGCGGGCACTGGAGAAGGTGGCCCCCTTGTTGAGAGAGATTTTTGTGGACTTTGCGCCGTTCCTGTCCAGGACGCTGCTGGGTAGCCACGGGCAAGAGTTGCTGATTGAAGGTACAGGTGCTGTATTGTGCTCCTTTTCTCTCTAGCTGGCGTCTCTCTGTGGAGTCCCGCACTGTCTGCCATGTGTGTCTGTGTGTGTCTGCACCGCTGGCTGCCTCATACACACACAGCCCCGTGGATTCAGGTATGAGGTCAGGATTCTTATAGCAGTTAAATGTAGGACGCTATGCTCACTTTATAATGCAAAATCTAGACTAAAATCTAGGCTAGATCTGACCAACCCAACAAACACTAGCAATTACCAAGGTTCAGTGTGCTTTGGCCTTTAAAGAGGCCTAGAGAATAGATTTGAACCCCTAACCTGCTGTATCTTATAAGTAAGAATGTTCTATAGTCATTTCCAGCCCTGTCATAACTCTAAATCTTTTAGACCAGAGGTTCCCGATCACCAGACCGCAGACTTGTAGCAAGTCATACACAGATAGACCCCAAGGAGGGCTTTTGCCCCTGCCTCTTGCCCTCAGACTGTATGTGACCTCTTGGTCGACGTGTAATAAGCTGTAATAGAGCTGTAATAAATCTCTGAAATAAAGCTTCTGGGTCGGCCTGGCTTCCAGTTTCTCACCAGTAACTCTGAGCTGTCGTGACGGCACCACCTCAGCGCTGGACATCCCAGTGATAAAACACTGGTAACTTCAGTGTCACATTCCATAATGTGGTTATTTTGAAGACTAACCTAGGAAAATGTTGGCAGAAAGGGGCACTAATAACCTGCTAAATTAGGTTATGTCATTATGAGAGTCAGGCATTTATGCTGTGCTCTGTTGAACTCTTAAATACAGTTAGAACTCACTGATTCATCACAATTATAGTGTTGCGGAAAGCTTTACACGTCAGGGTTTCAAATACGTTCTTAGCTGCTTTGGAAAACTCTTTACACTACATATGATTTTGAAAAGTGATCGCATTTCTCTTGATGAGTTTTTGCAATGTGCTAAAGAAATTAGTCACATTTAGGTTCTATTTATTATAATAAAATTAACAATGTTATTAAATAATAATCTGTAATAGTAGTTCATATTATTGTAACATGTATGTAAAACTTTACTATTAAAATGTTTATGAAATAATTTTAAGTAATTTCAACTTACTATTGGCTGTTTTCAGTTAATTGCTACTGAAAATAAAGAAGTCTAAAATAAACTATAAATAAACAAACCAAAACAATACCAGTAAGAATAAAAAGCAGAATTAAAGTGCAAATATGATAACAAATAAATAAATATTTATCAAATATAGGTTGATGGCCATTGAGGATGTTAATACCCCAAATCTAAAATGTGTGGTCTGCATGTAGAAGCAAGCAAATGAGGCCATGAAGCCATTAAGTTTCTTTGCAATTTGGAAACAAAACACTCCTTAAGAACAGCAGAACATACTCTACCCATACCTCCCCCATCAGAACCATTGTGGGCTGCGGTTTCGCCCCCCTTGTTAAAACGATTGAGAGTCCCTGCTTTAGAGTATAAAACCAACTAATTTCCTACTATTTCATTAATACAGTTGCCTAATCAAACCATTTTGCCTGCTGTAGTTTCCTGTCACTTCGCCCCATCACAAGAACGCCATTCAAGTTCAGTCAAGTGCAACAATCAAGTCCTCTTTTTATGGTGCAGTGAAACAGTAGAAGCCATTTCGACCCCAGCCTTTCTGTAATGTACTGCGCACTGTCAGAATGACTGTGTATTGTGTGGCATTATAGAGCGCTTTTATTTTTAAGCAAATGACACGATGACTTTTTTCTTAATAAAGATTATAGAAAACCAGCTGCCTTTTCCAGTAACAGCAGGTATAGGTGCAGGTGAGAAATCCCAGAAAGATTCCAGATCAGCAGTTCTGACTTCGATAAATATAGCCGTGTGCAAATGTTTGAACCCCCCTTGTCAAAATATGTTTTGTTGATTTTCTAAATGAAAATAAGTCAACACATCCTCTGCTGACGGTACACTTCAGTGTGGGATTTTTTTTTTCCAATGTTTTAAATTCAGCAAATAAACAGTATTCGTGCATTAAAGTGTGCAGACGTGTGCTCTCTGTAGAGGGTGTGTAACTTATTTTCACTTAGAAAATAAACAAAACAAGTCCTTTGACTGGGGTGCACAAACACGATGAGCGGAGACTCAAAGAAACGGAAGAAATCTCGCTCGTGTACAGATCCCACCTGCTTCCTGTCTTTCCACTGTTATTTTGTCACAGTCTGTCGTTTTGTCCTCTCTCCTCTGCCCCTCCTCTCTTTTCCGTTTTCTCTCTCTCCTTTTTCTTTTCCTTTTTTTTATCTTTCTGTCCATCTCTCGCTGTTTTTCGCTCGTCTCTTTCCAGACTGTCTTGTTTTGAATGTCTTGTCATAACCGTTTGTCTTATATGTTGGTACAATGTCACAATATAAACATATGTTATATATATAGACTATGTGGCCAAAAGTATGTGGACACCTGACCAGCACTGGGTATTAATGTGGAGCTGCCCAAGCTGTATCAGATTCAGCTTCTTCTGGGAAGCTTTCCACAAGATTTTGGAGAGTGTCTGTGGGAATCTGAGCCCATTTAGTCTAAAGAGCATTTGTGAGGTCAGACACTGATGTTGGACGACAAGGCCTGACTCACAATCCACGTTCCAGTTCATCCCAGAGGAGTTCAGTGGGGTTGAGGTCAGGGCCCTGCAGGCCACTGGAGTTCCTCCACACCAAAATCATCAAGCCAAGTCTTTATGGATCTCGCTTTCTGCACAGGAGCACAAATTAGACTAGGAAAGGGCCTCTTCCAAACCATTTCCACAAGTTGGAGGCAAATACGTGTCCAAATTGTCTTTGTATGCTGTAGCATTAACTTTACCCTTCACTGGAACAAAGTGGCTGACCGCAGACGTTACTGTTGGCATTGTGGTAGGTAGGTAGCGTTCTCCTGGCATCCACCGAACCCAGATCTGTCTATCAGACTGCCAGATAGGGAAGCGTGATTCATCACTCCAGAGAACACGCGTCCACTGCTCCAGAATCCCGTAGCGCCGTGCTTTACCCCACTCTAGTCAACGCTTGGCATCTTAGGCTTATGTGTAGCTGCTCTGCCACGGAAACCCATTTCCTAACACGCAGTTCTTGTGCTGATGTTGCTTCCAGAGGCTGATGATTTCTTTTTTTATGCGCTGTGTGCTTCAGAAATGGGCCTCCGCACCCTGGGTTTGCGTGGTCTACTGCTTCATGCCTGAGCTGTTGCTCCTGTACGCTTCCGTTTCACAATAATAGCACTTACAGTTGCCCGAGGCAGATCGAGCAGGAAGAAGTTTCACTTACTTGTGGCAAAGATGCCATTCTCTGACAGTGCCACAGTTCTACTGCCAGTGTTTGTCTGTGTAGATTGCCTGGCTATGTGTTTGATTTTATACACCTGTTAGCAATGCGTGTGGCTGAAACACTTGAACTCAATAACTAGGAGGAGTGTCCACATACTTTTGGCCATGTAGTGTAGTATTGCATGCTAAAGACCGGTAGCTTTTCATGAAGTCTGTGTGTGCGGTAGGTGGTTACATGTGCGTGTGTGTTAATATGTTTCTCGGCTCTGTTCCACTGCAGGTTTGGTGTGTATGAAGTCCAGCACATCAGTAGTGGAGCTGGTGATGCTGCTGTGTTCACAGGTGAGACTGTCACTCACAATCATTCAGCTACATACAGACTCCGTCATATCAGACACACATAACTTTCATAATGAGAGGACCAATAGATGTTCCAACTTAACCTGGAATAAAATCTCATTATATTAATGCTCATTAAATTTGAGGAAGTTTCCATTTTGGAGAAACAAGATTTTGCCTGGGCAGCGACGATATACATCTATGTGTCTATGTATGTTTACACATAAATCAGTCCTAACAGAGCAGCCTCAGTTGAGTTGATTCTAGGAGTGTACAAATACAGTCATATGCAATATTGTGGGTGTCCCTACTCAAATTATGTTGATTTATTATTATTTATTATTACACATCCTGTATGGAGAATGCACATTTAAATCACAATCACTGTTTATTTGCTGAATTTAACATAGTGGGGTAAAAAATAAATAAATAATATAAATATAAATATGACCTGAGCAAAAGTTATAGCACTAGGGCTGTACCGGAGCACAGACATCACAGTCCGGTTTACAACACAGTTTGGACATCATGGTTCAGTACAACTGGAAATAAGCAACAAATCGCCCAAATGCGCAAGCCTAGGTTTCATTTCATTAATTTTGCAAGTTACAGTTTGTTCCACCAAGTATCATATAGTCTCTCCTGGGGTGACTTCAGTTGGTACAGCCTGTGCTGCACTCAGTAGGGAAAGTCACTAATGTATCCGGTTCAGTAGTGATTTTGTGGTAAGGAGCAGAGAAAACACAGCAAAATGTGAAAGGCTTTGTGCTGAATCTCCTCATAGGCACAAAAAGTACCGCAGGCTGAGGAGAGGGAGAAGTCTCACTGATTTGTTTAATTTCAGCTATGTTTTTTTAAGAAATTCCCTCTCTTTTTATCTGCCTTGATAACTGCCTTCATCAAACTCGGCCTCACAGCTGATCAGGGGTCAGGAGTTAGGATGCAGCTGCAGATCATTTGGGACTAGTTCCAGCTGCTGATTTGTTAACGGTTTACAGCTTAAGGTTTCTGAGTAGAACTCGAGCTTCCATGCTCCGCATTACGTTCTTCAGTCTTCACATATACCTTATATTCTCCTTACGACTGCACGCACCCAACCACAACGTTTACCGTGATGGGTCGGGACAAATACACGTACCGATACACCCCTATATGGCTTTTTTTCCAGTAAGTTAAACTTAACAAATATGTGTTTTCTCTGCTGAGGATGTGTTAACTTAGTTTCACTTAGATCAGGGGTCGGCAACATGGGGCTCTTTTACTGTCCTGTTGTGGCTCCACAGCAGAATCAGATTTGTAGGTAAAAATAAAATAATCCTCCTTTACAGTAAAATAAAGCTCTGCTGATCGTTCAACACAGTTTAACAATAAACGGTCTTAAACTCTGGAGTTAATGTAGAACTGCTGATTCACCCTTTAACCCTGAAGATCAGCGCAGACTGCTGGTCACCATAGCAACGCTAGCCACAGCAAGATAACAATCTCGCCTAGCTAGCAGCTAACAAAAAAGCTAAGAAAAAGATTTAAGATCAACATCAACAATTTGGAGACTTATTTGCATTTATAATCACTGAGCTGGTTTCCTTATACGTTTAATCTGCAATGAGAAACTGACAAACACTAAAAAGTCAAAGCTGAAGTCTGAATTTTCATGTTCCTCCTTAAATGGTGCAGCAGTTGACTACATAGTTGGCTACATTCTGAAGAACAAGGAGCTGGCGAATGAGAAGCGACTTCAGCTTCGTAAAAAGTCAAACGTTAAGAGACGTTTTACAAGAAACTGTTCTCCTTTTGAGGAAAAGTTTCCTGCTGGAGATGCGAGAAAAGCAGCTATAGCTGAGCTAAAGCTTAAAGCAGAGCAAAGTGAGTCTGCATTTCTGTTTATATTGTATTATTTTTAGCCTATACCAGGACGTTAGCATGTACTGAGACATATTTACAGCCAAGATGGTGAAACGTTACTTCAATAAAATGGACATGAAATGTTGTGGCTCCCAAGGTGACAAAATGGCTCTTGTAAACATTTGCGTTGCCGACCCCTCACTTAGGTCGACAAAATGTCGTTTGACTGGGGGTGCTCAAACTTTTGCACACAACTGTACATGCACACAACTTTACAAAATGGCTGAACGTGCTCAGTAAAGACAGATTTACTGAGAATGTTACACAGGTGTCAACCTCTAGAGGCAGTAGAGCTTCACAGCTTTCAAACTGTACAAATTCACTGATCCCCATATAGAACATCTCTACCATTAAACTCAGTAACAGCAGCAGCAGCAGCTCATCCAGTGTTGGTTTTCTTTACTGATTCTCTGGTAATCGTACTAATTTCTTCATACAGAATCAGAAATGTATTTTTACTTCATTTTGCATTTAAAGTAAACAGGTAAACAGCCTCTCACACAGATAAAGACACCTACAAACACAGAGGCAGTCAGAGAGAGAGAGGGAGAGAGAGGGAGAGAGAGGGAGAGAGGATCAGGCTGTGTTCTGTAATGAACTCTGATGATGTAGTATCATCTGTAAGTTGAGCTCGAGGAGTAAATATATTGCTAATGCATTTTAAGTCACACTCCAGATTACAGTACCACCCATTTTTCATTTAATTCTGGCGAGCGACGCCGAGATGTCTTGACCCATTTCTCACATGAGAAAAGAGTTTCACATAAATCAGTATGACTGTGCTCCCACCACCCGCAGCGCAATCAGAAGACTTTTTAATAATAAGACTGAAAGAAAAAAACAAAGTGAAAACAAATCTGAGCGACAGAATTATTAGCCAGAGTTTATTAGACTAGATTTCCCGTGTCTCAGCCTTACACTGCTGTACACGACGAAAACAGAGACAAAACTGTGTTTATATGGGAAAATCAGATGGGCTGACACCTATGATGTTATGAAAATGTCAGAACTGATTTTGAGTTAAATGTTTTGCCATCACAACAGCCTTTCATTTCTCCACCATCGTCCCTCTGCAGGTCCTGTTGTATTTGCTAATGCTTACACAATCACAGATCATTCTCACAGCCTGTTCTAATGGCTGCTGCTTTTAACCAGCTCTACATGAATGGTCGTTTTATAGAGTCATCAAACTTTCAAAGTATACATAAAACATAAACATAAGTGATCATTACGTTTTAGAAAAGTCTGAGAGTCTAAATATCAGCGCTTAGTTTACTTCTTCAGTTGTTATTCAGTTTGCCAGAGGTGAGCATATTACAATAATTCATTACATATACATATTATATATATATTGTCAGGTGTGTTCTTTGCTTTCAATGTAAGTAAATGGAAAGAGTTTTATACTAAGCAATTTTGGAGCGTTTCTGTTGGTCCAATCATAATGACATTTTCACATGGCGTAAAGCAAAAAATCGCAAAAAAATGGAGATAAATGTTTTATCATTGGATGAAACTGGCGACATATCATCACTGTCCAAAACTGTATCTCTACAATCGTAGTTTTATTGATGAAGGCAAAAACATTCTTTACTTTTAAATTAGAAATTGCAAAAAATGGAAATAGTTGTTGTTTTTGGATGTGTATATACACACATACAGAGACACATACATACGTGTTTATTTATATATATATATATATATATTATATATATATATATATATATATATATCGTTGTTATCTGAACAAAACCTTGTATGTCAAAAATGGAGACTTTACAGGAGAAGGAAAAAACCTACTTTACTTTTAATGTAAGTCAATGGATCAATGGAACCAGAATTCTTTCCAAGTCATTTTGGGTCGTTTCTTTCGGTCCATTCATCATGAAATTCACACACAATGTAAAGAGCAACAGGAATTTTCAAATTATGTCAAAAACTGAAAAACGACAAAAAATGGATATACAAGGTTTTCTTCCGACAGCAGTGGTGTTTGTGTGTGTGTGTGTGTGTGTGTGTGTGTGTGTGTGTGTGTGTGTGTATATATATATATATATATATACCATTAAAAGTTATGTTTTTGCCTTTTTCTGTAAAGTAGCTATTTTGGAAACTATTATTTTGGAAAAATGCTTTGTCAAAATGCAAAATGACGTCTTTGCTTACCTTAGACAGATTCCCTTGTCCTCCATATTGTGCTGTGCAGTCAAAGGAGTTCTTCCAGTTTGTCTAGAAGTTCTTTACTGATATCAAACCTTAAACGTCAAACGATCTGAATGGGACAAAATATAATACTTAATGACTCTTTGAATAAGCCTCCCATAGATGAGCCTCTACATTCCACTTCTCCTAGCTGTCCACGTCTGGTCTTTGCTGTTGGCTCAGTACTAGAAGTTTAGAGCATCCCACCCTTGGTGCCCTCTCCCTGTCCTCTCCCTTCTTCCCTTGTTTTCCCGTCATTCTGTCTGCCCTCATCCCCCCATCAGCTCAGATAGTGTTACGCTGGCTCCACATTGGTCCTCCATTAGGGGCTCAGGGGACGAAACCGAACCTAAAATATTGATCTGCAGGAAGAGGGTGGTAACTGGAGCTTCCTCTGATGTGTCCTTCTAGAACCATCAGCAGCTCAGGCTAAGTGCATCCTGCCCCCACCTCCCCACCCCCCACACTTCTGATGTGAAGCTGGCCAACAGCCAATAGGACAGATTATTGATACGTCTGCTATCTTATAGCACATTACTAAGGTCTTATTGCAGCTTCTTCCAAACTGCAGATGTTTTGTCTTTCTAGTTTATGAAACGTAATCAAAACCAGCGTAAATGTATCTGTTCTCCCTCTTTGGGGACACATAGGCCCAGTCCCATTTCTACTTTTTACCCCTACCCCTTGTTTTCGAGTGTCACCCCAGTGGTTAAAATCTTCCCCTACGAAATGGGAAATGGGAAAAAAACAAGGCGACCCTGCCAGTCTGCAGTTCAGAAGTTCAGCTCCTCACTGCTGGGCTTTAGTTACATTTAGGGCATCATATGCCTTCAAAGAGGGGGGCAATTATTTATTATCACCACCCCTAATTCTTCAGAGATATGAAGCTGAAGTCAGATATTCACCACATTCTTGTTCAGATTTTCCCGTTCCACCTTAAATGGAGCAGCAGTTACATTCTGGCGCTTCAGGCGTCAGAACTGCTGGACTATTTAAGGTGGAACGGGAAAGTCAGCTATAGCTAGCTACCGAGACATTAGCATTCTATTAGTGATTTTCTTATGCTTGTTATGAAGAAAACGACCATAACACACTGAAACAACATTAAACTAAGATAATATGGTGGTTATCGTAATTTTTAAAGGAGAAAATTCTCACATTTGTGGGTTTCTTTGGTCTCTTGTTCTCCATCTTGCTAGTTTTTCTTTTTTTCTCATAACTCTCTGTTTGGAGTCTCTGAAAAACCTCTGTTTGGAGGGTCATGTAGCCCCAACACTTCACCCTACCCCTCTATTTCAACAAGAATCGGGACACCCTACCCCTAGACGTGAACACGCAAAACAGAGGGCTAAGGGCTCAGTGGTAGGGGCGAGGGGTGAAATGGGACTGGGCCGTAGTTTAACACGGCTATAACTGTTAAAGGGCCCATATCCTGCATTCATTTAATTATTGTCTTTTATTTCATTCTGTGAAGTCTACTTGTGGCATCTCTATGATTTCATGTACCAAAAGTAGTCAAAATTCATTTCACCTCACCATTTTCAAACCTCTGTTCATCCCTTTAAGACATAACCTCTGTCTGCTGCCACATCTGTAATGTGGAGTTCATTGCACAGAGAATGTTTTAATGCATTTAACTCAGACGTCTAAACTCATAATAGGAGCCAACAATCAGAAACTCTTTGTTTAAAGTAGAATCCCACAGATCTCTCAGCATGTCTGCATAGTTCAATCGCTGACATGTAAACAAACTCGGTGGTTTGATGTGAAATGGGTTATTGAAGAGAAGCTGATCAGCTTAGATTTCTTTACAGTGGTGTTGATGGGAACCAGAGGCCTCAATGTGTACAACACAAATATAGACGTCTTATTTGCTTCCCAAAGCGAGGCGTGTACTGACTCACGCCTTCTCAGTTTGTAGATGTAACGCTGATAAACATAAAATAGTTTCCTTTGGGTAAAATTCATTTTCTTTGGGCACTGCTTTGCCATCGACCTCCTCTCTGCCATGAATGTGATTTAAAAATATGTTTTAGACTAAAAACCTTTTATAAAACAATGCCTCTGGCATCAGGCAGCGCATTCATACCCGTTTCATGCTAACATTCCTTTCCAAAGGAGCTTTTAGAGGCAGTAAACACTTCGGATGTTTGGTTCCTATCACTGCCTCTGCGAACAGTTCCGGCAGGTTTTCTGGAGTGAAGCACTTCACATCACTGAATGACTTTGTTTACATCGTAACATCTTATTTATTCAGATCTTCTTAAATTGTGAGAATTTCCCATTGAAAGTGAATTATGGATATGATGACATTAATTTCAAAATGCTTTTCTTTGTCTGTTTGGTGTTTCAGGAGTGGCAGAACTCCATTCAGAAGAATGCAGGACTTGCCTTCATTGAGCTCATTAACGAGGGCAGGTAAGAACACAGTGTTTGTGACTAATGTAGAAATGTATGTACACTCAGCCTGCACTCTGTTAGCTGATCGTCTGCTTCCATAAACAGTTTTTTAGCCAATCTCTACTCCATTTATCTTTGGTCAGCATCTGACCACAGTATGGGAGGCAAATCCAGCCAAAAAAGAAATTAAAACAATAAAATGTAAATGCAAACCTCTTTTTGCCATTTCTTTTTCCAAACATCTGTGTAAATATCCTGCCAAAATTGAAAATGAAATGAAATACCTACATGTGCAATTTCATTTTTCACATGAGCACAAGTAATGTGACAAAAAAAAAAAAAAATTTAAAACATCTATTTGTCGTTTCATTTTAGTCGTTATTCTAGTTTTTCATGGCCAAATCTAAAATGAAAAGCTAACAGAGAAAAGAAAATCCAAGCTTCTCTTTGGCTTTTCTTCATGAAATGCAGAACTAAAATCAAAATGCAATGTTTACATTCTAATTAACAGCAAAGTCACAGTTTGTGATCGTTTTCAGACGCACAGTAAGTGTCAGAATAAAAAGGCAAATGCAAACGAACATCAGCGCCACCTGCTGGAAATTTACTTCTCATTTCCCACTTTGCTTTTTCATTGTCAATTTGCCAAACATGCAAATATTTGTTAATTAGCACTAGGCGGGGCTACGGGGTCCATTTTAGGACATCCTCAGACCTCAGAGTCAGAACGGCATCATTCCTCAAGCTAAACGACTTTGAGTCTCGGGAAAAACCACCGTCATGACTCAGATCTGGTGTAACTGAACATCAGACCAAACGGCCTCAGAGAAAAGATATCAGACCAAACGCAGGCCTGGTCGAGCACAGACTGGGTCACATAACTTAGAAAACTATTGTCTATCTCGATATAAATGCCAGTTTAACATTTTCACAGTTTTCTCTGAGGCCGTTTGGTCTGACCCATTTGTGTTGTTAGATCTGCGTTGCAGTCAGGGGGAATTGTGTGGTGTCAAGGGTCATATATATATATATATATATATATATGTGTGTGTGTGTGTTTTATTTTATAACATGACACCATTTATTTTATTACTATAAGTACTTCACAAAAGCAAGGAGCTGCAAATTTTTCATATGTAAAAGTTTGAACACCTCATGTCTAAATAACATGCTTTGTTGATTTTCCAAGTGAAAATAAGGGGACAGTCTTTACAGAGAACACACTTAATAAATATGGCATTTTCTGCATATTTTCTGTTTCTATTTATTTGTATATTTTCATATTTCTATTTATTTGCTGAGTTCAATATGTTGGGAAAACAGAAAATATATAATGTGCCAATATATTAAATTCAGCAAAAAAAAAGTTATTGTGTATTAAAATGTGCAGAAATGTGTTTCTGTGGAGGATGTGTACTTTTATTTTAACTTCATCAATTAAATCAACAAAGCATGTCATTTGACCAGGGGCGCCTGAATTTTTGCATATGACTGTACATGCTTTCTCATTGACTGAGGGAGTGGAGGGTGGGCAAATTTTGGGCCAGCTTTACCCCCCAGCCCCCACTTTGGCCAGTCGTGGACTAAAGAATGGCTGTCACACATTATAACCTACAGTCTCTAACTGTTTACCAGTAAGTGCAGAAATGGTTCATAGTCACTGATTAGTTTTAGAAATTTGAGTCCAGATCATTGACCATTTTTAAAGATCATACACACTACTGAAAAAATTCGTCAGAATTTTTTAGGAATCATATAAGTTTGAAATGCATGGTCTCTGTGAGCTGTGCTGTGTTGTTCCCGCTGTCTGACCGTGGTGTGTGTGCGTTTCAGGCTTTTGTGCCACGCCATGAAGGACCACATTGTTCGAGTAGCCAACGAGGCGGAGTTCATCCTGAACAGACAGAGAGCCGAGGACGTCCACAAACATGCCGAGTTCGAGGTCAGCAGACGCGTCTGTATCTGTACAGGCACTAACTGTACTGTGCAGTATGTCTGTCTCTCTGACTCTGATTCTGTCTTTTGCTCCATGTTTATGTATCACACACGTTTCCAGCTCCTGACTGTTATTACATAAATGACATTTTGAATTACATCTATGTTTATATACATTATATAATTATTTACATTAATGGATAACAGTTGTGTGCAAAAGTTTGAATACCCCCAGGACAAACTGATTTTCTCTGTGAAAATAAGAACACATTAAAAAAGCACTTCTGCGCATTTTAATGCTTTTTTTGTGCATAATTTAAGATATTAGGGAACACAAATTGGGGCCTGTGCAAATGTTATGTCCTACTTTTTATTTTATTTAATTTTCCAATATGCTAAACTCAGCAAATGAACAGAAACTATGCACTAAAATCTGCAAAATACACCATTTTAGTGGCAGATTTAGTTAGATAGTTATTCAGTTTATATTCTTCATCTTTTTCTCTTCGTCTACCCACAAGCTCAAATGTGGTATTGAAAATTTTAATAAATTTATATCATACTTTCGTTATCAGTGCCATCTCACACTTGTAAGGATTATGGCTTTAATGAGCCGCAGTCCACAGCTGCACTGACTCTGTTCTGATCCCGCTCTGCCTCCCTTAGTCGAACTGCGCTCAGTATGCTGCGGATCGGAGAGAGGAAGAAAAGATGTGCGATCACCTGATCAGTGCTGCCAAGCACAGAGACCATGTGACCGCCAACCAGCTGAAACAGAAGATCCTCAACATCCTGACCAATAAACATGGAGCGTGGGGCACCATGTCACAGAGGTACACGCTAACACAGCCATTAAAAGCCTGTAAAGCAGTACTGGGAGATGATGTGACTCATCTCAGTTGAAGGAGGTGCTTCTGGAGCTGCTTTAATTTGCTGCAAAATGAATAAAAGGATATTAGGGCCTTCATAATGATGTTTATCAGTGTGTAGATATGAGCCTCTGTGTCCATCATACTGGTAAACTGGGAATATCAGTGATGAAATCACCTGGATCAGAATAAAACATGAAAAGACACTTATGAAAAAAGTGGTTACAGCTCACTTGAGGGTGAAAGATTATTAAATTCTATTTTAAGAAAGTGTTCTCCTGTAACCTGTGCCCACCTCGCTGCTCCTTCACAGCCAGCTGCATGATTTCTGGCGCTTGGACTACTGGGAGGACGACCTGCGCAGGAGGCGGAGATTTGTACGCAATGCTTTTGGCTCCACCCACTCAGATGTGTCACTCAAGTCTCTGGAGGATTATGGTCAGTGGCTTTATTTAGCTGTTCTCACTTTAAAACTATAGATGCTTTTCATAGATCTACTAGTAAAGTAGTGGAAACTACCCTGAGAGTATATTATTTATGCTCCAGTAATTCTGCTCAGCACAGCTGGCAAAAATGTTACAGAACCAAAGCTGTCAAATACAAACACACATCACTTTCACTGGCAGCTGAGCTGTCTGTGCTCACAAATGCTCTGTTTCCTAGCAACTGTTGTGAGATTTGATAAGCTTTATGGAGTGCTGGTAAAACCACATAAGAAATGATAACACATAATTGTCAAATTGTTGTTGACTGACTGACTGACTGACTGACTGATGCCCATTTTTGAAACACCCATGCACAAGCACCCACGGAGGCAAGCAGCAGGTGACGGTGTAGCCCTCAGACACTCTCAACACTACTGGTGTAAGATAAAGTAATGAAAGTAAGCAGAAACATTCATTGACCCACATCATGGGTCTTATATGACGGTGTTTTAGGGCCACTGTTAATAAAAATACAACCAGTAGACTTTGAGACAAAAGTCGTAATATTTCGAGGATTAAGTGTTAACTATAGGGGGGCTGCCATAACGTGTTGGGGTCTCGGTTGCTGTACTATAGGGGGGCTGCCATAACGTGTTGGGGTCTCGGTTGCTGTACTGTAGGGGGGCTGCCATAACGTGTTGGGGTCTCAGTTGCTGTACTGTAGGGGGCTGCCATAACGTGTTGGGGTCTCAGTTGCTGTACTGTAGGGGGGCTGCCATAACGTGTTGGGGTCTCGGTTGCTGTACTGTAGGGGGGCTGCCATAACGTGTTGGGGTCTCAGTTGCTGTACTGTAGGGGGGGCTGCCATAACACGTTGGGGTCTCAGTTGCTGTACTGTAGGGGGGCTGCCATAACGTGTTGGGGTCTCGGTTGCTGTACTGTAGGGGGGCTGCCATAACGTGTTGGGGTCTCGGTTGCTGTACTGTAGGGGGGCTGCCATAACGCGTTCGGGTCTCAGTTGCTGTACTGTAGGGGGGCTGCCATAACGTGTTGGGGTCTCGGTTGCTGTACTGTAGGGGGGCTGCCATAACGTGTTGGGGTCTCGGTTGCTGTACTGTAGGGGGGCTGCCATAACGCGTTCGGGTCTCGGTTGCTGTACTGTAGGGGGGCTGCCATAACGCGTTCGGGTCTCGGTTGCTGTACTGTAGGAGGGCTGCCATAACGCGTTGGGGTCTCGGTTGCTGTACTGGCGCCGGAGCTCCACTCACTCCTGTCTCTCTGTGGATCATTCTGATCATCATTCTCACTGTCTGTGAAACTTCATGCCCTCTTTGAATGGGGGGAGATGGAGCCCCCGATAGCCGTGTAGACGACCCTGCCTGAGATTCTCCTTCAACAACGCAGACAGACAGTTTCCTCCGAGTCCGTCTGGCTCTTTATTCTAGATAAACACAGTTTCCTGCTCAGCCGTTTCAGCCGGTTCTTATACTAATAACAGGCTGGTGCTGATGTGCAGGAGAGACAGGCAGACTGAGTGTTTCTTTATGGGTGAATCGATATGAAAGTAGAACTCCACCAACTCACCGCCCCTCATTTAACACGAGGAGGTGCCGCTTCCCTTCGCAAAGCCTTTGGCCACAATATTGACCTTCCCTGGTATTAATGCCACTTTAGTGTCGTAATTCTACGACTTTATCCTCGAAGTCTACTATTTTAATTTTTATTAACAGTGGCCCTAAAGCGCCAGCGTAGTCTTATGACAGCAGTGACCCAATAACAAGTGAAATAACACAGCAGTGAGTAGTTCTGTTCGAGTTCGAGCTGAGTCTGATTTCAGTTGGACTTTCTTCTTTACGCTGCTCTGTGAGCACCTTTGTTTATTTTTAGCTGTACCCTGTGAGAAGACGAAGCACTGGGCCTCCATGACCAACTGGATGTTAACTGGATTAATATTTTGATGTGTTGTTTGCTATTTTTAGATTTTTTTACTTTATAGTTACTTACATTTGCCAAAGTAACGTTAGCCGGCTCAGAAGCTAAAATGCTAGTGCTGTTAGCATAAATGCTAGCAGCTAGAGAACAAGCTGTTTCTACTGTTTTTACGTTCTCAAGATAAACTGTGCATTTAGCATTTTACACATCATTCTGAGTGACTCTGCACATCTGTGTGAGTGGTCACTCATGTAAAGAGCTCACCAATCTACTGTCAGCTAGCGCTGAACCTTTAGAACCCAGATAGCAGCATATATCGCTCCACTGGCCTGAGAAGGTCAGAACCCCGCTGACTGTTTGCCACTGCTGGTCCACCCTCGGACCACCCAGATTACTGTCCTGCATACAGCTATAAGTAGTTTTTAATCTCCTAGAACAGATTTTCAATGCGCAGGGACTTTTATTTTAGAAAAAAAGGCCCAAAATAAAATGATTTATAGAAAATGGTGTTGCGGTAATGGTAATTTACAAGGTATAACTAAAGGAAGGAAGGAAGAAAACTAAGCAAACTGGACTGCAGGTGGAAAATGAGCGATGATAAGTGGAATTTCGTCTAATACTCTGCTTAAACACTGGTGGGCCAGCCAGAAAACGCTGAGCAAAAGGCCAGTGGACCACCAGCTCTGCCCTCAGTGGGCCGACAGTGGCCCATATCCTCTTGCTATCAGGGTACTAGCACTATTAGCATGTATGCTAACAGCTAGAGAACCAGTTTTTGCTCTTATTTTTACACTTTCTAGAGGAAATGCATGTTTTCTTGACTCCACACGTGATTCTGGGTGACTGTAGACATTTGTGTGAATCATCACTTTGTAAAGACCTCAACAAGTTTACATTTACGGCATTTGGCAGACGCTCTTATCCAGAGTTTTACATTTTACACAGGTAGGTGAAGGTAGTGTTAGTGTTACCCAAGGACTCTTATTGGTATAGTGTATGTTGGTTACCCAGGTGGGGCATTGAACCCCAGTCTACAGGGTAGAAGGCAGAGATGTAACCCTATTATTATTAGCATATGTGGTGGCAGGTCTATATTTTTACACTCCTGAGAGAGTGTACACTCCTACTTTATTCTTCCTGTACGGCCCCCAAAAATCCACCCCAAAGTTTCTTTCCGAGCTACTACATCAGTAGTGTTTCTTCCTAGTCTGGACGGAGTGTCCTTAACATTTGCATGCAATTAAATTTGTTGACAGTTCCTATAAGTCTAGTTTCAAATAGCTCTAACAGCATAGTCCAGCTCAGAAGTGTAACGTTTTAACTGGACACTCACTGAGTGTGTTTACATGCACTCAATAATCCGATCATAATCGGATTTCTGCCGTTATCACGTTATTCAAATGGTCATGTAAACACCACACTCTGATCTGATTAAGAAATCCGATAAAGAGGCTGGATTTTAGCTCAGTAATCTGATTTCTCAGTGCATGTAAACTCTTACTTACGCCATGAAGTTTGAGTTTTACATTATGTTTACGTCACGTCGTCTTCTGTGAGTTTATTGGCTGGTTGCAAAGCAGAAATCCAATTATTGCCTGACTCATGTAGACCTGGAGTTTCCCCATTATCTGATTACTCAAATGCATGTAAATGTGTTGATCGGATTACTGACAAAATCTGATTTCCCGCAGTTATCGGATTATTAAGTGCATGTAAACACACTCAGTGTTATGTGGCGACTCCAAAGAAAGCTCACCTCAGCTGTCCTCAGGGTGAACAGGGCTTTTATTAATGTTCTGTGTTGTCCAATCTCACAACAGTAGCTACAAATAACACGTGTGGACTGAGCACGAACACCCCCACCCCCCCCACCCCCCCGACGTAAAACCCACTTCCTGTTAGAAAACAGTTTAAAGCAATAGAGTCTGGCTGCAGACAGTGTCCAGTGCAGATGCGCTCTCCGCCACAGCGGCTGAAGCAGCTCAACGGCACATTAACGTTTGGCTGCTTCTACTCAGCGACATCATCACTTCATCTGTTTTTCGTCCATAACGCAGCGAGAAAATTCCATTTAATGTACCTCCCTGCTGAAAAAGTCATAGAATCCAGTAAGTGCCTGTTGGTTCCTGGTGGTTTTCAGTAGTGGCTAATGGTCTTCTGTGTTGTCCTGATGGGTTGATATCACAGTGTAAAGGATTCTGATCATTTAATCAGGTGTTTTGACTGATTCCACATACATTTGATCGTTTCCTAATGGCCTCTAATGGCAACCATCAAGCCAATTCCTGTTAGGAAGTAAAACCATCAGGTTTTACTCCTAAAAGTTCTGATCGTCTTCAGCTTGGCTTTCTTGGGTTTCAGTAGCCTTTTTGTTTTTTAGACGAATAAACCCGACATTCATGTTTTATCGTTGTGGTTTTGTTTTGAAAGTTTCCATATTTAATTACCTTATTATCAGTATGGCAGCGTTAAGATACATTCAGTGTAACTCTTGTTGCCCAGCAGTTCGTGGTTCACTGTTCTTCCTCATAAAACCAATAAAAACACTGGTGGCAGAGCGGCACTGACGTCATCAATAGGCTGGCGGTGCATGTCAGGCTGAGAGTGCACCTTCTCGTTTAAAGCACTGTCCAGATATTTGCCTCAGTGTAAACCACGTTAAATTATATAATAATAATAATAATAATAATAAAACAATAATACTGCTGTATTTCACACACAAATTGCACTGATGATTTTGACCGGAGGCAATTCTTCACTGCGTCCGCAGCTCCTGAGGAAGAGGAGAACAAGAAGTCGAAGAAGACGTTCCGGAGCCAGTCAGTGGTCAGTCAGAACCCAGAGACAGAGCTGATGCTGGAGGGAGATGATGATGCGGTCAGTCTGCTGCAGGAGAAGGAGCTCGACAATCTTGCAGGTATCTCACCTAATTTGGGGAGCAGGAATGTTTTTAGCACTGATTTAGGACTTCAGTTCTGAGTTCTGCTTCAACAGTTTAAAGAGAAACAGTGAGGCTGATCCCAGAGCAGCACATTAGAGTGTTTGTGCCCATCACCACCATTTCCACTTCAGTGTAGAACAGTAGCTCCCAATGTCAGCTGCACATGTGTTTTTTGTGTTGTGTTGTTGGTGTTAATGTTTGTAAATGTACTTTATTTCTAGTGTCTTTTCGACCCAGAGTATTTACCTCCAGAGGCAAGTTTCCTCCTAAAATCCATGGGTACTCTAACAAGCACAAGAAGCGAGAAGCTTTTTGGGTGGAAATTGCTCTTGAGTCTGCAGTAGAGTGTAGAAAGGCTTCCTCCACAGCTCCACAGCTGCTGCTGATGAGACACTCGCCACTCAAAAGCTGATTCACTAAATGAACTAATTATCGGCTGCACAGCAGCCAGACTCATCAACCCTATTCAGCGACTGACTGTGTATAACATACTCTGCTAATTTGATCTTTATTTGATCAAATTAATGAACTATTTCTTGATGTTTCTTTGTAACGTGCAGTGTAATTAACAATCGTGTTTGATTAGGAAACAGAATCACTTTACTGACGATGTAGTCTGTTCGAATCAGTGTAACATCACTCAATCTGAGCGCTGTAGAGAAGGAGATTTGTAGCATCGTGATAAATGGCCTGGTCTCTCTCAGGTCCCGTAGTTCTGAGCACACCGGCCCAGCTGGTGGCGCCTGTGATCGTCGCCAGGGGAACGCTCTCCATCACCACCACTGAGATTTATTTTGAGGTGGATGAAGATGATCCTGCGTTCAAGAAGATCGACGCCAAAGTGAGTGTCTGTCCTCCACATGTTCAAGTTTCAGGTTTTGTTTATCACATTTCGCTGTTGTCGGAAGAAAATCTCGTATCTCCAGTGTGGTAACTTTACAGGAGAAGGGAAAAACACACTTCACTTTTAATGTAAGTCAATGGAACCAGGCTTTTTTCCAAGTCATTTTGGGTCGTTTCTTTTAGACCATTCATCATGAAATTTACATAGAATGTAAAGAGCAACAGGTATTTTCAAATTATGTCAAAAACTGGAAAATGACAAAAATGGAGATACAAGGTTTTCTTCTAACAGCAGCGATATGCAGCTTTACATATATAAATATAAATGATGTGTGTGTGTATGTGTGTGTGTATATATATATATATGAATATATATATATATATATATATGAATATATGAATATAAGGCTTCCAAATTCCGAGTGTGTTTCAAGGTAGTAACATTAGAAACGTTCTCAAAGACTGATACCAAAACCATGAAAGAACATTCCATCGCTGACCGTAAATAAACAAAAATCTTTTTGGGCTCATTTATGTTTTTGAATGTACAGGAATATTTACAAACAGCCTAGAACTCCTACGCGACTCAGCCACTCTGAACAAGCGCTGTGTCTGCTTTTAACTGTAACAGTGAATACAGTAAACACATCCTTGTATGAGGCAACTAAATGAACCATTTCAGACAGAGGACTTTTTCTGACAAGCCAACTTTCCAAATGTGGAACTTTGTGGTGTCGTAAGCTAAAAATGACTTAACGTTGATACACATATAAGGAAGTGAGATGAGCTACTGGTTCACCAAATTGGTGAAGCACTGCTTTCTTTGCCTCAACTTGTGCAGCCAGTCGCCATTTTACCGTATAGTGTCAGTTGGATGTCGCTGGTATGGGGAATTTCATGGACAACAATGTAAATACGAAACACGAACAATATGTAAACAGGCCTATGTACTTTTTGTTTTTGACAGTCATCTTTGTTGGAAAAGTTTGAAATCACTATTTTCAGTAAAAAAAAAAAAAGAAAAAAAAACTTTTTTGTAGAAAAGTATATAAAACTTCACAGTAGTTTTAGGGTCTAGGAAGCTGTAAATAAACATGAAAAAATGTTAGATGTGTCCAGAACGATGACCAGAGCTGTAGAACATTCTACAATGACTAAGAAAGTTGTGTAATATCATGAATTAAGTCATAATAAAATGAATATCCATAATTCGTCATATTTCCAAAGTGGAGATCAAATCCCGACATGGATAACATTCAAAAAAAGGAATGTAAGTAAGATAATTAATACCCATTGTATAAATGATTAAATCTGACTATGGAAAGTTATTCTGCACTTTTAGCACTGGTAGTGTATAACATTCTCATAGAAAATGGCTTTTACAGTCATGTTATGTTATTCTACTCATTTTCCCTGCACCTTTAAAAATGCTGTATTTAGAATTGTAACGTTTTTAAATATTTGACAGACAAGGAGAAAACTGTGCAAATTACAGCACAACACAAGTAAAGTGCACACATACTACACCGTAACATGCGACAGGAATAAGGGCGCACACATAATTTAGTATACTGTATGTACATAAGACTGAATGTACAGTTGTATGCAGTGAACATCCCTTTGGCCAAATTCCATGTTTTGTTGATTTTCTAAAGGACAGTATTTTTTGCAGAGATCAGCACATTTAATACACTATTAATGTTTGTTTACTGAATTTTGTATTTTGGAAAAAATTAAACCTAAAATATGGCTTTTGTGGAAGTTACAGCTCATTTCATATTTTATGTTTCATTTATGTTGCGTGTTTGTGTTTAGGTGTTGGCGTACTCTGAGGGTCTTCATGGGAAGTGGATGTTCAGTGAGATCAGAGCCGTGTTCGCCAGACGTTACCTGCTGCAAAACACTGGCCTAGAGGTCTTCATGGCCAACAGAAGTAAGACAAGAACATTTTAATAACCTCAGTATGAATATACTTCAGTATTACTTTGCTGTACAATTTACTGTAATTATTTTAGCGTCCTTTTATCTGTTGTCTACCAAACTGACCGTCCTCTTCCCCACAGCATCAGTCATGTTCAACTTCCCGGATCAGGCTACAGTCAAAAAGGTGGTGTACAGTTTACCCCGAGTTGGGGTCGGCACCAGCTATGGCCTCCCGCAAGCAAGGTAGGACATGGTCGCATATGTTCATAATGGGTCTCAAACTATAAGCTGTGATTTGAGAGCAAGTTTCCCTTCATTTATGCAGATGATTAAGATTAAGCACTGTTTCAGATGTATCATATCTGTGTGACTGTCTTATGACATATCTGCCCTGCTTGCAGGCGGATCTCTCTGGCCACTCCCCGGCAGCTCTTTAAGTCCTCCAACATGACCCAGCGCTGGCAGAGGCGAGAGATCTCCAACTTTGAGTACCTCATGTTCCTCAACACCATTGCAGGTAAGAATGCGCACCACAAGATATGCATGATGTGGACAAAATATCAGTCATGTGTTTCTGGGGCTCCTGAGTGCTGCAACTGTCCAAGCGTTGGCCCTGTTATCATCAGGAGATCACGAGTACGATCCCTGGCGATGCTACAGCCGTCCGTGGCTGGGAGTCCTAGAGAGCACAGTTGGCCTCGTTGTGGGAATTGTATTTCTGTTACTACATGATGGATGGATGGATAGATAGAAAGAACTTTATTGATCCTGAAGGGAAATTGCAGTGTTTCAGTAGCAAGACATATAATTTCACATAAACTTACATATACAATGCAGAAAATAGAAATAAAAATAGACATAAGTATAAAAGTAGTAATAAAAGTATTTACATGGCATATGAGACAGATTTGTTGTATTTACATGAGAGCTGGTCAGGCACTGAGTGGTATGAGGTCTAAAAGCACAGTGAGTATAGACATAACTAGGAGTTGCAGCAGTATTACAGTGTACAGTGAGCAGTGAGAGTCATTACAGCAGCAGTTATGATACATTGCACAGTATTAACAGGAGAGGAGATACAGTGATGAGGTTTAGCACAGTTCAGACATGTTTCGCTACATAAGGTGATACAGCTTGCAGTGTATTAAGAATACACTGACATGACAACTGGCCTGCATTAATTTGACTAGAATTACGTTCTTCTGTTGTTTTGTATGAATGTTGTCCGCGTCCAAAAAAATAAAAAACAAGCATCTCCTTTATTTTTCTATTTCAGCTGTCCTTCACAGTGTGTGAAATTGCTCAAAATCCCTACATTAACTTATATTAAAAGTAAAGAACATTGTCATTTTGGAGATACTTTTTCCTTTTTTGGACAAAGATGACGATATCCTGACCTGGAACTGTTATTTTAGTGGTAACACTTAATTAACACTTTGTAGTGCAGACTACACACTAGAACTTGACCGATATATCAGTGGCAAATATCGTCGACCCATGATTTTACCGGCGTCAGTGAAAAAAGACAGCTTCTTTGGTTGCAGCATTGCTGGGATTCAAACCTGCGATCTCCCGATGGCAGGACAAACTTTAGACAGTTATGCCACTGAGGAAGCCACTGTGAGTCACCCCTGTGTAACTATATCACAGCAATGCAGACTGAACTGGTAAATTTGAACACAAAAATACATATTAATATAGATTTTAGGAAAATAACTAGAAAAATAAGATGTAAATAATAGAAAACAAAATCAGGAAGAATTACAGGCAGCTCCACTCCAATGCTGTGTACACAGACATCTGATGAACTAATATCTACTCACTTCAGAATGGCAAGCAGATTTTTATACACTGAAAGTCTGAGGCACTGTGACCATTAACTGACCAGCTATTTCTGTAAAAAAGCTACATACAGAAAGGATAAATACATATAAATATGTGTTCAGTTCCTTATATATATTATGACTGCTTTACACATTTTCACACAGCATTGAGAATGAGGGTAGCCATCACATTTAAGGTATTTTTACAGGGTAGCAGTTCAGAATAGAGGAGTTTCTGAGTTGTGCATTTGTGTTTTGTAATTGGCCGTGTAGCTGAACGGTTATCTGGACCGTTCTTTTAAATTAGTTGAAACAGCGTCCGACAGTGAAAAAGAAATTTAGTATTCTGACCTTTTTTCCATGTTTATATAAGCGATTTAGCCACTTTAATAAGTCACTTTAAATAACAATAACACTGAGTCACTTAAGTCACTTGTATTAATGAATATATTCTTCACAGATTATCCCTTGTTTAATATAAATATATTTGTACATAGCAGAGAGGATTTTTCTCCTTACGTAGCTCCCTCCTGTCTACATTTTGTGTATATTTAATATATCTCAGTTTCAGTATTTTCTTGTATTTTTTTTTACTGTGTTTACTTTCTGTAGAGTGATTATGAGCCACAAGCATTTCAATGCATGAATGTCCTGACATGTTGACAAATAAACCTGAACTTTAAACTTGAAACTAGCCCATTAGCGTCAGTTCGTGTTGGTCCATCCTGCTGCACTCACGTGCGTCAACAGGGATTATGTGCTAACAAACTGAATGTGAGGTTGGTGAGCTGAAAAAATATATATAAATATATGTATAAATAAATAAGTAAATAAATTCTTTTGAGCAGTCATGGCAACACTGAGCTACTCCCTGTTCTAATGTGACTACTTCTTGACCAGTAGAGGGGCAGTACAGGCAAATCACAAAAAGTATTACTCTCTCTGCCATTTACAGCAATGATGTTGGTCAGCATGTACAGTTCGTCGTTATAGAGGTCATTCACGCTAAGACTTTAACACATGCTGTACGTTTGTGTCCAGGGAGAACGTATAATGATCTGAACCAGTACCCGGTCTTCCCCTGGGTCCTCACCAACTACGAGTCTGAGGAGCTGGACCTCACTTTGCCCGGCAACTTCAGGGACCTGTCAAAGGTACATTCTGACCGTCCCCATGTAATGTTTTCTATACCCATCGGCACAAGATCATCAGCAAAACCAAAAAAACCATTTTTGTCATGAAGTCTTCCTACTTTTTCTTTCCTTCAGCCAATCGGAGCCCTGAATCCGAAGCGTGCAGCCTTTTATGCAGAGCATTATGAGACGTGGGAGGAGGACGGAACCCCCCCACATCACTACACCTCCCTCTACTCCACCGCTGCCTCCACTCTACTCTGGCTGCACAGAATAGTGAGCACTGCCATTCTGTACTGTGTCTTCTACACTGCACATAGCGTACACCCCTGCAGCTGCAGGCCACTAGATATTCATAGTAGGAAAGGGCATTTTAACTGTTTTATTACTCACTCACTCATCAACTAAGCCGCTTATCCTCCTGGTTTTTGCAGCAAACACCCTGGACAGGTCGCCAGTCCATCACGGCATTTTAGTTATTAGAAGATGTACAAGATTTTTAAAGAAATAATATTCAAATATAGAACAATATATTATAAAGTTAAACATATTTTAATATATATTGTGACGAATAAAAAACTAAAAACACAAATGTCCATTTATTTGAATAACATATAGCAGTACAGCAAATTTTGATATCTACAGCCATCTGTAATATTCTAATACATACTCAAGCTGTTCAGTGTAGCACATTATACAACAGTTAGTTCCGGACACGCAAGCTGATTGGTTGAGAAGCGTTCTAATCGTGCTGTTATTTCACCATAACATCACGTTTTTTCACGTATCACTGTATCACTCCGCTGAGATGCTGTTGCTAAGCAACGACTTTGACAGTTGTAGGAGACGCTCAAGACATTTGAACGGTTTTACTTCTTACTTTGCCACAAACAGAAAATGGACACTTTTAAGATCACATTTGACCGACAGCCGATTTGGTCAGACTCTGAAGATGAGACGACACTAAATTCCCAAACTGTCATCACCACTGAGCAGCTTTTCAGTCGGCAGCTGTGACAGAAGAACAGCTAAACAACCTGGAATCAGCCAGAAATGAACCCAACACCATTCGCCAAACTAAATGGACTGTAAGATGCTTTACAGACTGGCTGGAACAAAACAACATTAATACTGATCTGGAAAAAACTGACAAAACTGAGCTGAACTTGATATTGCGGCAGTTTTATGGCTCAGTCTGTACTTCAAAGGCGAGTCTTACAGCAGACTGTGCAGCGAGTAAGCGGAGTTTGGTGACAGCCCAGTTTATTCATTTCTTACTTTATTTATTTAACTGTTGTATAAAAGCAATAGAGCATCTGAGGTCGTGTGGTATTGCAAATAAAATCACAGCTGTGATGTTATTTCACGATAACACACTCCCTCTCCTGTTCTACTGATTAATTATACTGAGTACAGTCTATACTGCACACTCTGGTTAGAATTTCTCTGCTTCTGTCCAACAGAAAATCCTGCAACAGTAAGAAGAATATATATATAGATGCTCTCACATCTTCTCACCTTCTTTTCCTGTACTGTCCACTGTGTTAGGAGCCCTTCACTACGTTTTACCTGAACGGGAACGACAAAAAGTTTGACCATCCGGACAGAACGTTCTCCGGCATCATGCGCTCCTGGAGGAGCTGCCAAAGGGACACATCCGACGTCAAGGTGAGACAGAGTGAACAGCTATACTACACCTACAAATTTAGTGTAGTGTAGCCAGTTTAACTTGTAGAATCCTCGACCCCTCAACAGGTGATCAGGGAGCTCCTGTCACAGCTTTAGTAGAAATACTGATTTTTGTACAGATTTAATCTATTATTACTATTAATCCATTGTATATGTTCTATTTGTGGAACAGGAGTTGATCCCTGAGTTCTACTACCTCCCTGAGATGTTTGTGAACAGTAATGGTTATGATTTGGGTGCGAGGGAGGACCGCACACCTGTATGTGATGTGGAGCTGCCAGTCTGGGCCAAAAAACCAGAGGACTTTGTTCGCATCAACAGAATGGTAAGGAATAGGACTGTATGTATGCCTGCAGATATCCGAGGTACAGCTACACAATATATCAACGAGTGCGTTTACATGCACTTAATAATCCAATACCTGCAGAAAATCCGATTTTTTTCAGTAATCCATTAGTAAACACATTTATATGCGCTTGAGTAATCAGATAATGGGGAAACTCCCCATCCCCAAAAGTGTTTTGCTGCGTCTCGTGGCGATGCTCCTTGCTTATTTCCGGTACCGCTGTCTGTTTTCACGCATATGCAGACTGAGAAATCTGATTAATGAGCTAAAATCCAGGTCTCTTTATCAGATTTCTAGGTTGGAGTATGGTGTTTACATGACCATTTAAATAATCAGATACCTGCAGAAATCCGATTATGAAACGCACTCGTTAACAATACTGTTATTTTAGGCGCAAAGCACCCAGCACCCTATACTAATACGTAATAAAATAAATAAATAGTAAAATAAAGCCCAGCAGACGAGTCCTGAGGCTCTTTGTGAAAGTGCCTAGCTTGTCAAGCCTTTCACATGAACAGGAATGTTTAACTGTATGCTGTGAGCATCCTGACCAAACCAGATCAGTTGAGTTTCTTTGGACATTTTCATGATTCAGTTCTATGGCTCTATGATTTGGGGTGAAAATGCTGATTAAAACAGATTCTTTGAGTTTAAAATCTTTAAAATCTTTCACTGGCCAATCTTAAGCCTTGAGATGGATTGCAGATAGATACCAGGTGCTTGAACTTTTTATCATATTTCAGTTTTATGAGCTGGCTCATCGTCTGTAATGCAAGTTGGCCAGCAACACATCACTGCATCAGCTCTACAGGGTTTGCTTGTGTAGTTTGAGATTTATTGTCTTTTTGTTTTTTCCACATTTTGAGTGTTTGCGATTATAAAACTGTAGTGTGGCCAGTTTGAACTGCTGAAGCGACTCCAGCACTGGTAATTGCGCCACATAGATCTGCATTACTTCTGCCAGCAGTCCTAATTAACCGCTCCGGCTTGTCTCAGGCGCTGGAGAGCGAGTTCGTATCGTGCCAGCTGCACCAGTGGATCGACCTGATCTTCGGCTACAAGCAGCGAGGGCCGGAAGCAGTGAGAGCGCTCAACGTGTTCCACTACATGTCCTACGAAGGCTCCATCAACCTGGACACCATCACGGACCTGCAGCTCAGAGAGGTGAGACACACACTGCGCAGGCATCCCTTCAGCACTTCCTCCTACATGCTTTAAAAGGAGTCGTACTGCAACCATCCACCTACCCTGTTTTTCTATGAGGGCTGAAATCCCAATAGTTAAAATGTGTTTTGTGTCCTCGATGACTGTCCTTTGCTTTTGTGAAGCAGCATTATTTCCAGTCCAGTTGAATAACGGCGTGGAGGTCAGGTTTCAGTGCTGTCCTTTTCTCTGACCCTCACTCAGACATCCTTTCAGCCTGTTTTTGCAAAGTACAATATGTTCTCTTCAGTTTGAGTCCAGGTTTGTCTGTCCTCGCTTCCTGTTCCTGTTTCTATTTTCTGTTTCTCCAATTATGGCTGGCTCTCAGCACTGCCAGAGGCCTCACACTTCATCCCTGGCCCTCTGTGTGAAAGCACCATTGTGTGCTTGTCTAATTAGGTAGACAAAGCTGGAAGAGACACGTGGGCACTGATCAACACTTCAACTTCAGGCTGCTGTCTCATTTACACTTCCCTACTTAGAACACTCACTGTCTCTCTCCCTCACTCTGTCTCTCTCTAGTCCATGGAGGCTCAGATCCAGACTTTCGGCCAGGTTCCCTCTCAGCTGCTGATCGAGCCGCATCCTCCACGCAGCTCCGCCATGCATCTGGTGAGACCTACACTCTTTCACCACATCATACCTGTGGTATTATATACATCGTCTGTTATAAGCAGCTGATTTATTCATCGTGTACTTTTAAAGGAATAGTTCAGCGAAAAATCTAATTAAAGGGTCCACCGATTTTGCAAAATTACTTAATCATTCAAAGGTCTAGATGTAAACAAAATCATTCGGAGTGGTTCGGTGTGAAACGCGCCTTTCTAGAGAGTCAGAATTGTTCACCATTATAGTACTAGGAACCAGACGTCCAAAGCATTTAATAGCTCTAAAAGCTACATCCTGTTAAGTTATTGCACAAAATGGTTATGAATGCATTGCTTGATACCGGGGTTATTGTTTTGTGATAGCTTTGTTATAAAGTTTCGGTCTAAAACGTACTTTTAGTATAAACTATTACTTCTGTGTTTCCTCTCAAAACCGCATTCTCAACTGAGATCAGTGAGATCACTGGTGTTACTGGCCTATAGCTACAGTCGTTCAGCACCACTGTGACCTCGTAATTCGGAGGATCCAGTGGCGTTCGGGAGAAAAATGTACACAGACAGAACGTATCGGGTTCTAAACGGGTTCTAAACGTTTATATTTAACTCAGCGACAGAGACGATTTCTTGAGAACCCTATGGAGCTCAGACCCAGAGTTCCTAATATGGGCATAACGAGGACTACAGAGTGACGCACGACTACAGCGGGTCTATTAATACCCTTAATTTCAGAAGAAAATGCTGGATCAGCATCTACAAACTATTGGGCACATAGACCCATGATTAGAGCACTTTTAGGCCCAGTCCCATTTCACCCCTCGCCCCTACCACTGAGCCCTTAGCCCTCTGTTTTGCGCGTTCACGTCTAGGGGTAGGGTGTCCCGATTCTTGTTGAAATAGAGGGGTAGGGTGAAGTGTTGGGGCTACATGACCCTCCAAACGGAGGTTTTTCAGAGACTCCAAACAGAGAGTTATGAGGAAAAAAAGAAAAAACGGCGAGATGGAGAACAAGAGACCAAAGAAACCCACAAACGTGAGGATTTTCTCCATTTAAAAATTACGATAACTACTATATTATCTTAGTTTAATGTTGTTTCAGTGTATTTTGGTCGTTTTCTTCATAACAAGCATAAAAATCGCTAAAAGTATGCTAATGTCTCGGTAGCTAGCTAGCTAACTTTCCCGTTCCACCTTAAATAGTCCAGCAGTTCTGATGCCTGAAGTGGCAGAATGTAATTGCTGCACCATTTAAGGTGGAACAGGAAAGTTTGAACAAGAAGCTGGTGAATATCTGACTTCAGCTTCGTATCACTGAAGAATTAGGGGTGGGTGATAATAAATAATTGCCCCCCTCTTTGAAGTCATATGATCCCTAAATGTAACTAAAGCCCAGCAGTGAACTTTACCCTCCTCTGCTGTCACTGCAGACTGGCAGGGTCGCCTACAGAGCAGCGCTGGTAGCTGTTAATGAAGAAATGTTTTCTCCCATTTCGTAGGGAAGATTTCAACCACCACCCTGTAACTCAGTTCCAAGGGGTTAGAGTGACACTCGAAAACAAGGGGTAGGGGTAAAAAGAAGAAATAGGATTGGGCCTTAGATTAGACCAGTCAAACCCTCCTCCCTCTGACCCGAATCAGACCTTATCCTTTATCCCCTATACGTCACCCTGTAACCCTGTAACCCCACCATAGTTCCTCATACTTACCTTACGGTTCCACTTTAACATACCTCTCTCCTCTCTCCGTCCTTTGTCTCCCTTTTCCCTTCATCCTTCCTTCCTCTTTTCCTCGTTCCTCCTCTCCTTCCTCCTCTACTTCTCTGGCTGCGTCTCTCGCTCTCTTTCTCTTCATCAGTGTTTCCTTCCTCAGAGTCCGCTCATGTTTAAGGATCAGATGCAGCAGGATGTGATCATGGTGCTGAAGTTTCCCTCCAACTCTCCGGTGACGCACGTGGCCGCAAACACGCTGCCTCACCTGAGCGTTCCCGCTGCTGTCACGGTCACCTGCAGCCGCCTGTTCGCCGTCAACCGCTGGCACAACACTGTCGGTGAGCGCTGGCGCCCGGCCTGGCACACCTCACTGCCCCTAACACACAGCCAGCAGTGTCAGCCAGAAGCTTTAACACGCATCATTTAACACCCCTGGTCAAACGACACGATTTGATGATTTTCTAAGTGAATTTAGGTTCACACATCCTCTACCAGACAACACAAATATGGCAATTTCTATTTATTTCTTGAATTTAAAATATATGGACAAAATATATAAAAAGAACATATTAACTTAAGCCATAACTTTTGCACAGGCCACATTTCTTTTTCCCAAAAAGGCAAATTCAGCTAAAAAACAGTAATTGTGACCAACTTTTGCATTTGATTGTATACTTTCAAACGTTCGTACGTATCCGACTGAATTTGTTTTTCATCATTTTAGACATTTGGATCCAAAGGCTAATACTCAACTGCTTGAAATCAGTGTGTACGACAAACAGTAAAGTTAATGCTTATGCATGAATTTATACAGGACAAATACTGTCTTAAGTGCTCAGCATATCATTGCTGTACAAGTATCTCCAAAGTGGCAATTTTACATTAGAGGACAAAAACATTCTTTATTTTAATGGAAGTTAAAGTGAAAAGATTTCATTCCAAGCAGTTCTGGAGCATTTCTCTCGTTCCATTCAGTATGAAAACTTCACGCAATATAAAGGACAGAGTCCGTGCTCTAATGATGCAGAAAAATTCAAATTAAAAATATAAAGATTGGAGAAGAAAATGGAATGTGCAAAGCTGCATCAAGGCAAAAGGGGCCACTATGATGTATCCAACATATAATACAATTTTGAATTGTTTAAAGTGAACATGAGCAGGAAATCACAACACGTTTTGCACTATGGGACATACACCAATCAGGCATAACATTCTGACCACCGCCTTGTTTCTACGCTCATTGTCCATTTTATCAGCTCCACTTACTATATAGGTGCACTTTGTAGTTCTACAGTTACAGACTGTAGTCCATCTGTTTCTCTGATACTTTGTTAGCCCCCTTTTACCCTGTTCTTCAGTGGTCAGGACCCCCATGGACCCTCACAGAGCAGGTACTATTTGGGTGGTGGATCATTCTCAGCACTGCAGTAACACTGACGTGGTGGTGGTGTGTTAGTGTGTGTTGTGCTGGTACAAATGGATCAGACATAGCAGTGCTGCTGGAGTTTTTAAGTGTCCACTCAATGTCCACTCTATTAGACACTCCTACCTTGTCAGTCCACCTAGTAGATGTAAAGTCAGAGACGATAGCTCATCTGCTGCTGCACAGTTTGTGTTCTTCATCAGTGGTCACAGGATGCTGCCCACAGGACGCTGTTGGCTGGATATTTTTGGTTGGTGGACTATTCTCAGCTGGTGGTGGTGTGTTAGTGTGTGTTGCGCTGGTCTGAGTGGATCAGACACAGCAGTGCTGCTGGAGTTTTTAAACACCTCAGTGTCACTGCTGGACTGAGAATAGTCCACCAACCAAAAATATCCAGCCAACAGCGTCCTGTGGGCAGCATCCTGTGACCACTGATGAAGGACTAGAGGATGACCAACACAAACTGTGATGAGCGTCTCTGACTGACAAGGTAGGAGTGTCTAATAGAGTGGACAGTGAGTGGACACAGTGTTTAAAACTCCAGCAGCACTGCTATGTCTGATCCACTCAGACCAGCGCAACACACACTACCACACCACCACCACGTCAGGGTTACTGCAGTGCTGAGAATGACCCACCACCCAAATAGTACCTGCTCTGTGAGGGTCCATGGGGGTCCTGACCACTGAAGAACAGGGTAAAAGGGGGCTAACAAAGTATCAGAGAAACAGATGGACTACAGTCTGTAACTGTAGAACTACAAAGTGCACCTATATAGTAAGTGGAGCTGATAAAATGGACATTGACTGCAGAAACAAGGAGGTGGTCACAGCGTCATGCCTGATCGGTGTATTTCTTAGTGAAATATGCGATCAGGGAGTGTCTGTGAGCTAGATGAGCATTTGGCTCAGTGTTAGGTGGGGACGGTGGGAGGGAGAGGTGAAACATAGCATCACTGGTTAATATTAATTTTCTCCGGCCACTGGTGAACAACGATGTAATCAAAATTCAGAAGACTTTTTAGAAGTGGAGCAAATGTTGTGTTTTGATTACAGACCATGGAAAAACATTGGTCACTGCATAAGTGTTCATAAGTGTTGTTTTTGTCTTGTGGAAAACAGTAAAATAAGGAAAGCTCTTCATCAGTTTATCTGTCCACACTGCTGAGGATTTCTGATTATGTAAATGAATAAACCGTGTTCTGTGCAGGTCTCAGGGGAGCCCCAGGATACTCCCTGGAGCAGGCTCATCACCTACCCATTGAGATGGATCCTCTGATAGGTAACAGGGAGCTCTTTCAATTATATGATATCTTGTACCATTTTAGAATTGAATAATTCAATTAAAAAAACAATCAGTGAGTCTTTATATAGCAACTAGACTGAAAGCAGCTTTGTGCGAGGCTGACGATGATGTGGTTTGGCACCTTCATGCATTACAGAATGTCTGGCACACTAGATCTGAAGATTAACAAGTGCTGGCCTGCTTTATCATATCATATTATAAATCCAGCACATCCTAAATCCATTTGAAACCCATTGCCTGTTGACAGTTTAAACAATTTACACAAAACTTGTTCATCTTAGTTTTAAATGTACTTTTGCATTTCACTGTTGTCGGGAGAAAAACTTCTATCTCCAAAATGGTGACTTTACAGAAGAAGGAAAAAACCTACTTTACTTTTAATGTAAGTCAATGGAACCAGACTTTTTTCCAAGTCATTTTGGGTCGTTCCTTTTAGTCCTTTCATCATTAAATTCACACACAATGTAAAGTAAAGGGTAACAGGCATTTTCATATTAAGACAAAAACTCAAAACATCAAAAAGGAGGTCTTCTTCCGACGACAGTGATTTAGTTAACTGTTTTTTTTTGCTTTGCTGCATTGTTCATCTCTTTTCTTGCACAGCAAATCCTCTTTTTATCTTCACCGTTTCATCTATTCTTGTTTTATTTACATTTTTTGGGAACCACATAAAGCTGCTATATAAAAATTGTTATTACTGTTGATATTAGTGCTGTTACTGTTAGTGGAGCTGGGTCTTTCTCATTGGTTAAGCCTTTTGCTGGATTTAAATGTTAGATTTTTGCTGGTAAGTGTTTCTCTATTGTATATGCTTTTATTTGGAGTTAAGTAATAATATGACTTTTCTGATAACTACAGCTAATAACTCTGGAGTGAATAAAAGGCAGATCACGGATCTGGTGGACCAGAGCATTCAGATCAACACACACTGTTTTGTGGTCACTGCTGACAATCGCTATATTCTGGCCTGTGGCTTCTGGGACAAGAGTTTTCGGGTGTATTCCACAGAAACAGGTGAGTCTATTTAGCTTATTTAGAACTCATCCTCTAGTCTGTGTCTGAAACACTGCTTCTTTGACTTTGAAATATCTCTAAAGGGCACATAATTGCAGTAAAACATTGTAATTATGTCCTTTTTTTGAGACTAAAGAGGCATTTTAAAGCCAAAGAAGTACTGTATGTGGATCCAAGTGATGCAAGTTTCCGTTTCACTGCACTGTCTGATTTTGACCCTGCTGGTTTGCTGTGTCCTCAGGTAAACTGACTCAGATTGTGTTTGGCCACTGGGACGTAGTGACGTGTCTGGCTCGCTCAGAGTCCTACATTGGTGGAGACTGCTACATCGTCTCGGGCTCTCGAGATGCTACGCTGCTGCTGTGGTACTGGAGCGGGCGGCACCACATCATTGGAGACAATCCTAACAACAGTGAGTTCACACACACACACACACACACACACACACACACACACACACACTAACACACACACACTAACACACACACGTTTTCATAGATCTGTTTCTCATTTGATACAATTCAATTGAATTGAATTCAAGGTGCTTTATTAACATAACAAATAATGCTACATTTGTTTTGCCAAAGCTTGCCAGAGATTTTTAAACAAAAAACAACGATTTGAGCGGTGAACATATTAGAGTCTAGAAATGTTTAAAAAATAAACCTTTTGATCTTAAGAAGTTAAATGTTGCAATATTGCTGAGTTGTATAGCTGTAATTTTAAAAAGACAGGATACAACAAAAATAAAATAAGGATCAATACATAAAAAAAAAACAACCGTGTGTATCTGTGTGTGTGTGTATGTGTGTATGAGATGCAGTCACTCACTGTCTCTCTTGCGGTGGCAGGTCAGGGTGTATTGAGCTGCGAGCGTTACTCAGACAGGCCAGTAGTCAGACAGTAGTCATATGTTATTAAGATTAAGTGACCCTTAATAGGTCACTTAAAACAGGGAAATTTCACCTCCGCAATCTGACCCATCCGTGCAGTGAAACACCACATACACGCTAGTGAACACACACACACTAGGGGGCAGTGAGTACACCTGCCCAGAACGATGGGCAGCCCTATCCACAGCGCCCGGGGAGCAGTTGGGGGTTAGGTGTCTTGCTCAAGGGCACTTCAGTCACGTACTGTCCGCTCAGGTGATCGAACCGGCAACTTTCCGGTCACAAGGCTGGTTCCCTAACCTCCGGCCCACAACTGCCCCCATATCATTGGTTAATCTAAATATTTCTGTCCAGTGATAGACTGACTTCTTTTCTTTTTGCTTATTTTCACATTTATTGTTTTGCTATTCAGTGTTAACCAGAGGATTAGTTCCTTTTGCATCTTGGTTCCTCCCAAGATTTCTTGCTCTTAGGGAGTTTTTTCTTGCCAGTACCCACGTTTACATGCAGCCCAATAATCCGTTAATAATCTGATTAATAGCTCAATCGGAATAGAATACGTCCATGTAAACACCTCAATCCGAATAGTCTAGTCCGATTGAGGCCATTCAGAATACAGTTTCTATCCGACTGATCGAGGTGGGTAATCCTCTAAATAATCCGTTAAATAAAAGAATAATATCCGTGTAAACGCCTGTATCTGATTACATTCCCTATCGGAAAGTTTAAGTCTGTTCTGATCGTGTTCGTCACGTCATAGTGAGAGTTTATACCGTTCAACATGGCGGAGCAGAAACTGGTCTGCAGAGGAGAAGTTTCTGCTCTGGTCTTTAAAAGACGGCGGTGGGACGGACGTCCAGCTTATGTGTCTCAGAACACGACGTCTTCCTCTCGGCCTTCTTTAATAAGGACATGTGAAGGACGTTTTCCTGAGTCTGACATCATTTTAAAGTCATTAAAAACACAAGCGCTGCTCACTGCTGCTCATCTCACTCTGACTGGACTCTGGTGATGTTCGCTGTCATGGTAACATCTACACTAAGTGGTTCTCTATGCATGAGCATCACTTTGGATCGTATTACTTGTAGTGAGCATGTAAACGAAGAGTTTCCATCAGTTTGTTGAGTAGAGTGAGAATAAACACCTCAGTCTGAATCTGTAATCTGAATAAATTCAATCGGATTGGCAAAAATCTTGTAAACACAGACAGTGTTGCCTTTGCTTGCTTGTTTGGAGTTGCTACAAAAACAAAAACACACTTTCTAAACTGCTTATCCTTCTGGGTCGTGGGAGGTGCTGGAGCCTATCCCAGCAGTCATTGGGCGGAAGACAGGATACACCCTGGACACGTTGCCAGTTCATCACAAAAACACACACAAAAAAAAAAGCTGATCGATTATAATTATCATTTTTATTGTACCACTGCACTAATAACAGAGACCATAGCAGGACGAACTTGTGTCTATGTAGGTTTTTATCTGAGTCTCAGTGGTCCGAAGGTTTGTCTTGTGTTGTGTTGCAGGTGATTATCCAGCACCCCGGGCAGTTCTGACCGGTCACGACCATGAGGTGGTGTGTGTGTCTGTGTGCGCTGAGCTGGGACTCGTCATCAGTGGAGCTAAAGGTCAGTACAAGTAACACTGCTGTCTACTGCAATCAGTCTTACTTAATAAACACTATGTGAAGAATATTCAGAATAGGTGCATAACCTGAAGATGACTGTACACAGCATTGCAGTATATCTGTATAATTGTTTTGCATGTCTTGAGAAGTTCTAGATAGGTACTAGATTAAGACAAATGTATACTGCACAAACATTTACCCTTAGTACAGAAAAAAGAGCCCATTTTTGTTGCATTTCAAACAAAGCAAATGGCTGTTGTCGTAAGAAAATCTCCAAACTGGTAACTTTACAGGAGAAGGAAAAAACATACTTTACTTTTACTTTACTTGTAAGTCAATGGAACCAGACGTTTTTCCAAGTTGTTTTAGGCCGTTTCTTTTCAACAAGCATTTTCAAATTATGTCAGAAACTAAAGAAAACAACAAAAACGGAAATACGAGATCTTTCTGCCGACATCAGCGAAATGCTTACAAGATTTGGAATTATTTGCCTGCTCAGTTCATCAGATAGTTTTCTTAATCTCAGGACTTTTGTCTTTTTTGGTTGTTTTGTAGTAATAATGTTTGCATTATTAAGTGGTTTTTATTTTATTATTCTTTTTATGTGGTTTCTTAACACTCCCACAACCCAACTCCCAACCTTTTCATTTATTGATGTTTTTTTTTTTACATTTTGCTTGTTGGTCGGTCACTCATTCATGTTTTGCAGGCTGAAGATTCTCCACATGGGGGTGCTTTTAGCTCTAAAACAGCTTTTGGTGCTGTGCATCAGTGACGCTGTGTACTTACACCGATCAGGCATAACTTTACGACCACCTCCTTGTTTCTACGCTCATTGTCCATTTTATCAGCTCCACTTACTATATAGGTGAACTTTGTAGTTCTACAGTTACAGACTGTAGTCCATCTGTTTCTCTGATACTTTGTTTACCCCCCTTTTACCCTGTTCTTCAGTGGTCAGGACCCCCATGGACCCTCACAGAGCAGGTACTATTTGGGTGGTGGATCATTCTCAGCACTGCAGTAACACTGACGTGGTGGTGGTGTGTTAGTGTGTGTTGTGCTGGTCTGAGTGGATCAGACACAGCAGTGCTGCTGGAGTTTTTAAACACCTCAGTGTCACTGCTGGACTGAGAATAGTCCACCAACCAAAAACATCCAGCCAACAGCGTCCTGTGACCACTGATGAAGGACTGGAGGATGACCAACACAAAATGTGATGAGCTATGATGAGCTATTGTCTCTGACTTTACATCTACAAGGACTGACAAGGTAGGAGTGTCTAATAGAGTGGACAGTGAGTGGACACAGTGTTTAAAGACTCCAGCAGCACTGCTATGTCTGATCCACTCAGACCAGCACAACACACACTAACACACCACCACCACGTCAGTGTTACTGGAGTGCTGAGAATGATCCACCACCCAAATAGTACCTGCTCTGTGAGGGTCCATGGGGGTCCTGACCACTGAAGAACAGGGTAAAAGGGGGGTAAACAAAGTATCAGAGAAACAGATGGACTACAGTCTGTAACTGTAGAACTACAAAGGGCACCTATATAGTAAGTGGAGCTGATAAAATGGACAATGAGCGTAGAAACAAGGAGGTGGTCGTAATGTTATGCCTGATCTGTGTTTTTGGGAAGCACGCTGAGCTGCATTGTGCTGATGTGTTTATTTGTGTTGTAAATATAATAGAGGGTCCATGTTTGGTGCACACCATCACGGGGGACCTGCTGAGGGCTCTGGAGGGGCCGGAGAACTGCGTGCGACCGCGGCTCATCTCAGTGTCCAGTGAGGGTCACTGCATCATCTACTATGAGAGGGGGCGCTTCTGCAACTTTAGCATCAACGGCAAACTGCTGGCTCAGATGGAAGTCAACGACTCCACCCGAGTAAGATCAAGCACTCAAACACACTGCAAAGCAATCGATAAACACTACCACTCGCACACACTGACATCTTCACTGGGAAACTGACAGACAAGCAACTCTGTGTCTCTCAGGCTATCCTGCTGAGCAGCGATGGGCAGAACCTGGTGACAGGAGGCGATAACGGCGTGGTGGAGGTGTGGCAAGCCTGCGACTTCAAACAGCTCTACATCTACCCAGGCTGTGACGCAGGCATCAGAGCCATGGACCTGTCTCATGACCAGAGGTGAGAAAAACCACAATGCTTCAGATGATCAAATCCTTTACAGATGATCAAGAATAAAGTTTACCTTATTAGTTTAAATTTGCATAGTATGGAGGACAGGTTGGTCAAAATGAAAAATAAATAAAGTTAAAAATAAATTACTTAGTAAATTAATATATGAACTAGAATTACAAAGAATGATGATAAATCTAAAAATAAACATACATAAAAATTAATATATTAATAAATAAAACCTTACATATGTCTGCATTTACTTACGTTTATTTATTAATTTCCCCTTCCCAACCCCCCTGGTGGTCAGAACTTTGGAGGAGGTGGAAGTTATTTATCGGCAGGTTTGTCTGTCCGTGACACTGCAGCCCTTTATGGAGTGAAAGAACAGTTGAATCAGCTCTTCTCCTCCTGGTCTCGATTGTTATGCCTGAACGTGAAAAACACGCCCTCTCATTATCATATGAACGAAGAAATACAGAAATAAATAAATGAATTTATGAAAAAAAATAAATAGGTGAATACATGAATCAATAAATACAGCGAACAGTTGTTAAAAATAAAGATATGGGGGAAAAAGTATAAAAATGGCAAATAATAAAAAAAAAAATACAGAAATAAATTGTGAAATATATAACTGCAGAAAAAGGAAATGTGTATAATTACAGTCAAAATAAGCAATATATACTTTAGTTATTTTTATTTATTGATTTATTTACTGAGCCATTTATTTTTTGATTTTTATTTATTTTTCACTTTGGCAAATCTGGTCCTCCATAGCATATTACCAATACGTTATAATATTATAGCTTGTTATGCTGTCGGTTTAGATGTTGATCAGAAAAAGTTTAAAACATTATAAGACTTTTATTTTACATTATTTGTTGTTACTACATACTATCACTCTGTAAATGCAACATTATCACATTTTGTGGAATTATTACTTTACTGTTTAGTACTAATAACTATTACTTATTGCTGCATCCTTTAAAAACAACTGTGATACCACAGTGGGGTCCAAAAGTCTGAGACCAGTGAAAATGCTTCTATTTTGCATTATTTTCTAATTTAATGCATTTTTTTCCATTACAAATTATATTATCAGTTCAACAATCTGAGTGAAAAGTAGAATCACTGAAATATTTACATGAATTTCATCATTTCTTAATGCACTAACAGTGACAAAAGCCTCAGGTGACTAGATGAGATTCGTCTGAACGTGAGCTTCAATGGGAGGAATAGGAATCTGACCCTTTTGAAAGGCCTGAACACGGTCAATTCATAAATTTGCTTCAGTTTGAATGGTGACCGACACACAGTGCAGAATCTTGAATTTTTCTACTTCGTTTTACTTGTTAACTTTTCTGTCTTGATTTTCTCAAAAATTTTAAACATTCTGTTGTTTATTTCCAAGATTAAATGAAAACAATATCAGATTTTCAATGTGGCCTTAGACTTTTGGACTCCACTATGATGCACAAACTATGATATACAATAATGACAGTGATGATCGTTGCGAAATGTAGTATGTAAATATTCTTCTAGTTTCAAAATGTATCACCCCTCAGTTAATACAGTACATACAGTGAACCTAAACTTCAAAAACAGCCACTTTTTATGTCAGAAACAAACACACAAAGTGGTGGCAGAGCTTCCAGGATCCAGGGCCCATATTACAGAAAATCCTTAAGTCTGAGATCATATCTTATCTGCTTTGTTGTCATGGTAACTTCAGTTAAGACTGAATTTAGGACAGAAGCCAGTTCAGAACAACAGTTCTTAAGTCTATAATCTCATCTTATTTACAGATAAGAAAACGGTTTTACAGAAACATCCTACGTCGCCAAAATATCCTTAATATTGTCTTAACTTTAAGATAAACCCCAGAGCGTCTCAACTTCTGTTTAACCGTCTGTTTCTATTGTTTTATGCAGTGATGGGCAGCATAATGAGCATGATAAGTAGCATAATGACGCTACATTTATCTACACTGAAAACAGAGCTTTGACTTGAGTTTTTTTTCTAACAGTGTTTAAAACCCCAGACGCTGCAGACTCGATCTCCACCGCCCCTCTGATCACCTTCGTGTGTTAATGTTGATGATGAAATATTACAGTGATGGTGGTGAATAATGAGGAGACGGAGCTGAACGTGTGTCTGTTTATTAGGAGGAGTAACGTTAGCGCGCTCGGCTAAAGCGTTTGGGAAATGGAGACAAACTGGAGACCGTGCCGCTCTGATAAACAGCAGGGGGAGCTCTCACAGTATTCTGAACTCTCAGTTTATCGCGCTTTAGTTTTATTTGACCTTTTTTTACATCAGTAACGGTAGCTAATGTTAGCTGTCTGGCTAACTAACTTGATTACATGTTTACGTTTCAGCTGTGCGCGTATGGTCGGTTGCTAGGTAACAGACACGACAGTTGACTGCCGATGTCAATTGAGAAAGTTACGATTTCCTAACTCGAGATAAGAAAAGATGCTGTAAGATAAGATTCTTAAGTTAAGGTCAGATTTGCTTCTGTAATACGAATTTGTGAAAAATCTTATCTTGACCTGTCAGATCTTAAATTAAGACAAAAGGATAGGAAGTTTCTGTAATACGGCCCCTGGTATCCATAAGGAGTGACCTTAGTTTATTTTTGTGATATCCCTGAAAGTTTACATCCAAATTTTGTCTAGTTTGTTCTGTACGTTTCAGCCTGAACTTACACAGAAAAAGATCATGTAAAAATACATTTTGACTGTTTATGCACACAATATAGGACCAGCCTGCATAACTGATTGGTCAGTTGGTTGTTTGATTAATTAGTTAATTTAATTGAATACATAAATTAATGCCAGGCGTTCACGTCACCTTGCCTCAGAGTAACAAACTGGACCACTTTCACGCGGCCACTGACGCTAAGAGAGCAGAGATGTCTCATAAAGACAGCATTTGTGTGGGAGCAAATTTCTGAATGATGAAAAAAATGCCCAGTGCAAAATCTGCAGTATCAGGTTGGTACGACCTGGAGGCACAACAAGTTTGACGAATCATCTCGGAGGAAGTGTACATGCTTTAGGCAGGACACATCAGCACCATGCAAGTGCAGCATGAATCTGACTCAGCTCCGTCACGTGTCCCTGCTTTAGGAAGGAAGATCAGCTTTTTTTTCTCCTTTGCTTTTCTAATTAATCAGTTTCACAGCTGGTTTGGTTGACAGCACAAACAGGAGATTTAGTGTGACACAATCACAGTCACAGTTCTGACTGCTGTATCAGAAGAGAGTCTCCTCCAGACACTGTTAGTACAACACAGGAGCTGCAGGGCAGCAAGATCTAGTAGTGGGCTGGAATTCTTCCTCAGGTGTGAGTTTCATCATAGACAGTGCAAACCGGATGACTGAGCCACGAGTGATTCAGTCACGGATACAGTAGCCCTCAGTCAGCTCCCGCTGTCTGGTCCGTTGTCTGTCCACTGCGTCTGAAGTAGTCCACTTTGTTTCTGAGGCAGTGGACATAAAGGAATGGCCAGACTTCTGGGGTTAGACCGTAGCCTTTCTGTCAGCTCGAACCAGTCTGGACTTTCTCCACTGACTCTCATTAACAAGGCATTTCCGCTCCGAATGTCTGCTCACCGGATGTTTACCGCACCATTCGGAGTAAACTGTAGACTGCTGTGTGAGAAAATCCCATGAGATCAGCTGTAAAAGTACAAATACAGAAATACTCAAAACAGCCCAGCTGGCACCAACAATCACGCCACGATCAACATCACCGAGATCACATTCTTTCCCCATTCTGATGGTTGATGTGAACTTTACTTGGAGCTGCTGGTCCATATCTGCATGATTTTATACACCGCACTGCTGCCACACATTTGGTCTGAATAGAACGGAGCGTCCGACCGAGCGAAAAGATGAACATAAGACTTATCTCTGTTGTAAACTCAATAAAAAATACAATAAAACATTTCTAAAAAGTAGTTGAGTAGGTGTACAGCTGTTCCTAATAAAGTGCTCACTGTAGAACATGGTAGTCATGAACCACCAGAACCATCTTTTTAAGATTTTTTTTTCTTTTTAAATGTTTGCAAAGTAGGATGTGATTGACTCTGTTCTCATTCTCTGTTTCAGAACTCTAATCACTGGAATGGCATCGGGGAGCATCGTGGCATTCAACATCGATTTCAACCGCTGGCACTACGAGCACCAGAACAGATACTAAGAGAGGACCAGAGATACAAGAGAGTGAGGGATGAGAAGGCCTAGTCGGCAGCCTGCTGGCCACATTTCAGCTGGGAGATTTCCTACCGATCGGTGCTCTGCTAGTCCATCGAGAGGTTTGCGGAAACGCAGAGCGTGTCGAAGTTCTGGAATAGAACCGAGCGTCAGACCGAGCGAAAAGATGAAACATAAGAACTTATCTCTGTCGTAACCTAGATCCTTAGGATTGTTTCTTTCCCCCTCCCACATATGATGATAGGTCGCCTGAAGTCCTCTTGTTTGCAAACTGTGAACACAACGTAAACATGACCACAGAATCCACGAGCACCACCATAGACTGAAGAGAGCGAGTCTCATACCGCAGTTACTCCTTTCAGACGAACCGCCAAACAGTACAAAACAAAGAATGCTTTTACTATCGTTTTAGTTCGTGGGGTAGGGGGCCTGGGCTCAACGTAGTCTTTGTATATATGAAATTTGTCCTCACTGCAGCCAGGCAGGTCCTCACTATGAGGGAGAGCTTACGTTCCCGTATTCCCCACCGCCCGTATGGATGGTCCCATCACCTTTAACTTAATGACCTGCTGTATGTACTATAATGTGTATTATCAATGACATGACGACGCATACGACGACGACGGCGATGCGAGATGAGAGCAGCCAGCAAACGTGGAGGTAACATCCCATCAGAAAACGAGCGGCGTTTTCCTCTTTGTATATTTGGTAACCGTTTTGTCATATATGTACATAATGTGACGGCTAGGACAGACAGGCATGTACGAGGGACTTCAAAGAGTAAAGAACTAAAAAGAAAAAAAAAAAGAAGAAAGAAAAGAAAAAGTAACCCTCTCTCACTCACACATATTTGCTGATTATTTATGATTATGAAAAAAAAATAATGTTGAAGTCTTTTGTAATGGCACTTTGCACCAATAACATGCCGTAATTTATTAGTGTATCGATTTTATTTTTCGATCGACAGACACATTTAGGCCCATTTCCCCGCCCCCCATTGTATGAGTTGTGCATCAATGTTTCTTGTATTTGATCAATATTAAAATCATGTGTGATGATTATGTTGTACAACCACAACCACAGTAAGCAATATCATAACTTTGTAGCCGGGAGAGAAATATAAATCATATAGCTTTTTGAGGAGGGGAAGCTTGGTTTATACGAGTATTAAGCTGTTTAGAGTACATTATACACTTAAATATGAAGCGGTTTCTTTTTTTCCTCCCCCTCATCCTCCTAAAATAATAAAAAAAAAATATTTTTGAATCTACAGTATGATACTACAATCCAATGTATCCTTGTTTTCTTGCAAAGATGTAAATGACGAGTCACAGTTAAGAAAAAAAAGTGAATAATAAATTATGCAAAGAATTTGTTGATTTTTGCCTGGTCATTGGCCATGGATGTGCATATTTGACTGAGACAGAGGTGCAATCTGTCTGTGATTAGGTGAGTGGTTAGTACTGTACATTTGATTTAATTTGTACATTTGCAAAATATTTTTGTTCTTTCATTTTGCGTGGTGGATTTGATCATTTGCATATGTTTAATTTATTCCTTTGTGTATTGTTTGTAGAGAGGAGAGGTACAGTTATTGGTGAAAAAGTCAAAGAAGGACATTATATTTAGAGTAAAAAATCTTAACCGATGAACTTGGGCCCCCATCTGCTGTTTCATGCATTTGCTGCAACTTGAATAAGCCAGAAAACTCACAGGAGGTGTCTCTTCAAATGTTTAAATATTAATTCATGCCAATATATAAAGATCAATAACTGTAAAATAAAATTGTTTCCTTTTTGTCGTATTTACAATAAAACCAACCAAAACATCCCTTTCAGGCGTCTGTTTCTTTTGTGGTTTATATCAAGAACTCAAATTCAGCCGCTCATGACACATAGAACAAGCTAGACCTCGCACTTCGTTCATACACAGAAAGATTACACCGATCAGGCATAACATTCTGACCACCTCCTTGTTTCTACACTCACTGTCCATTTTATCAGCTCCACTTACTATATAGGTGCACTTTGTAGTTCTACAGTTACAGACTGTAGTCCATCTGTTTCTCTGCATACTTTGTTAGCCCCCTTTTACCCTGTTCTTCAGTGGTCAGGACCCCCATGGACCCTCACAGAGCAGGTACTATTTGTGTGGTGGGTCATTCTCAGCACTGCAGTAACACTGACGTGGTGGTGGTGTGTTAGTGTGCGTTGCGCTGGTCTGAGTGGATCAGACACAGCAGTGCTGCTGGAGTTTTTAAACACTGTGTCCACTCACTGTCCACTCTATTAGACACTCCTACCTTGTCTGTCCACCTTGTAGATGTAAAGTCAGAGACGATAGCTCATCTGCTGCTGCACAGTTTGTGTTGGTCATCCTCCAGTCCTTCATCCGTGGTCACAGGACGCTGCTGAATTCAGTAAGGTCCAGTTAGAGAAAATATCCTCAAGCGAAGGTCCAGAACATCATAATGTCTAACTTGCATCATGATTCAGTGCCATAGACTGTTTACTGAAGTAGCCTAGTAGGTATATCAACATCTTATACAGTCAACAACTGAATATCAAATCAAATAAAGTACAGTTCAGTCATATTTCAACAATATTTATCATCAGTTTTCTCTTTTTAGATCACGTCATGTGAAATAACTTCCCTCTGACTCACTTTCTTCTCTGACTGCTGTGTCTCGCCTCGTCCCTCCCCCGTGTGTGCCTCACTCACTCAAGTCTTGTTGCTCGTCGTAATGCACAGATCTGACTGGCTGAGTAGCGTCACGTGTGATATTTACAATGCATGCGATTGGTCTGTGAGTCTCCCGGACCACTAAAGCTACCATAAAGGCTAGAAAAGTTACACCGACTAAAACAGGACCACCCCGTCCAAATTAAATAATTCTCCATAGTTTATCACTTATAGGTCCAGATCTGCATAGGACAGCGTCTGGGTCCGGACCTGGACCGTGGTCCGCCTATTAGTGACCTCTGCTGTAGACCCTGAATCTTTGTAATTGGCGTGTTTGATGGAATTTTAAATCTGTATTTTATATTACTGTGGCACACATGAAGACACTGACGACTGAATGTTCGGGTCTTTGAGCACCACCATGTTTCATTTTTGTCTTAAAGGTATTTGAAGTACAGCTAAAGGTGAACTGTAAACCAATTAAAGAAAGTTAAATATTTTGTATATCATTTTAAATCCCAAGAAACAACTAAAAATGCAGCATGTCATGGAATCAGAATGTGCCACATAATTAGGTTGCAGAAGAGGAGCAACACTTCTTATTGGTTCCTAATAAGAGCGAGCAGACGATGACCAGTGACTATTTCATATTGGATCTTTAAAACAAAATTATGACTAATAACAAAAATATTAAAACCTTTGTTTACTAGAAGTAGTAGCATATGGAAAAAGGAGTGCGTTTACACACACTTAATAATCCAATCCTCATCAGATTTTTGAGTTTATCCGATTATTCAAATGGTCATGTAAACACCATACTCCGAGCTACAAATCCGATTAAGAAATCTGACAGAGGCTGGATTTTAGCTCAGTAATCAGATTTCACAGTGCATTTAAACTCAGATTTCTCAGTCTGTGCATGCGCGAGATCAGACAGTAGTACCGGAAATAAGAGCAGCGTTGCCACAAAACGTAGCAAAACACTGTTGGAGCGATGCTGAAACCAAACATGAAATAAAAGATTTGAATATTCTTCATCTTCTAGATGATGCAAGTTCATATTTTCAGGTAAAGTGGGTGACCATGCCTTTTTCTTTTCATGCCTTTTTGAGCTTAATGAAGCTGATGTCCACTTGTTTTTCTCCAGCTCCTTGTTCGAATTTTCCCGTTCCACCTTAAATGGCACAGCATTTAGTAGCGTTTTCATAACGATTCATGTGCCAGAATGTAACTGCTGCACCATTTAAGGTGGAATGGGACAATTCGAACAAGAAGCTGACGAATGTCAGAAAATGTTACCAGCATTAAAAGAAAAATTTGGTAATTTTGAGAGCTTACATCAGCTTATAAGCGCGGTAAGCAGTAACATTAAGCTGAGTCTGTACTGAATTAGCCTGAAAGCAGGTGAGTTTGTAGAGCTTTTAAAATGAAGCTATAAGCAGAAGGGAAAGATCTGTCATGTTTCAGTGAGTATCAGATGAAGAACAGAGAACTGCACTGTAACCTAACAGGAAAACTTGTTTCTATTGTTCTGACTTTTTCATACACCCTCATTCTGTACACAGGAATACACAACCACACTGGCAAAGCGTGCTGATTTGTGCTGTTTTTTAAGGAGGCTGCCAGGCTACTGACGTCAGTTCAGTGCACAGTAGCATTAGATTACCTGAAGCAATATTTCGACTCCTTAACAACCTCATAATCCAGAGGATCCAGTGGTATTCAAGAGAAAAAGTGTTCACGGAACAAAATTTCTCACAGAGAAATTCCTTTTAGATCCAGAGTTCATAATATGGGCATAAGAGCAGAGCCGGTTTACGAGCAGCCTGGCCTCTTCCTATTTACCCAGTTTATCAAGAACATGACCGCAAAACGCCAGAAGGCGCCTGCGAGCGAGTCCTCAATGAATGGGGGTGAATGGACCTAAACGGCTACAAACGAAAAGTTGATATTGTTTCTAATCACTGAACCAGAACTTTCCTTTAATTTTAGAGAGTAGAAGGATGTATTTCACTAAAAAAGCAAAGAAAACTCACCTGTATGTTTCCTTTTTTTCTACAGCAAACTGGTTTTGGGCAGCAGGACATTAACATTACTACTACTGAGTGCTGATTGGTTGGCAAACAGAGCAGCTCACTGGCTGTTCGCGCTCATTGATGTCATTAGCATACATTTTAAGCTCCTTAATCTGAGTTCAAAAGTTCTTAGAAATATAACAACAGTGTTAAAGTGTTTTATGCTGTTCTGTGTTCAGGAAATAAATGTATGTCTTTTACTTTAAAAATGTTTAAGCATTCGTAAACTGTGATTTTGCTCAAAGGCTCCAACTTAACCCATTCATTTTGGACTCGAGCTCGAGCGCCCTCTAGCGTTTGAGAAACCCAGCACACTTCACCACAGAGAAAGTTGAAAGGAGAACTACCACTCTGTAGTTACTTTCTCTTTCCTAGGTTTGCAACAGGTTCTTCCTTCTGGCTTGCGTAATTGTACTTTTCACATTCTCGACGACTTACTACAAGTGAATAATCACCAAAAGGTAAGGACCACAATTAAAATTCAAAGCTACTGACCAAATCAATACTACCAAGAATTGAAAAAGTATCATTCAACACCAAATTTCTCGTTTTAAAAACTAGGCTGCTGATTAGCAATCTAAATTTCACGTTATTGATATCAGTGGCTTTTTAAATAGTCCGCAGTGCCCTACAATGAGTAAACAGACCCATTTCCAACACTTCATATTAAAGCCACACTTACTTTTAGTTCGTAATTTAAAATAGTATAGCTCAGGAATGTGTACTGAGATCTAGGTATCAGTACTGACATTGAATTTAAACAAAATCCAGCCTTAATTACAACCTCTGAAACATTAACTGCAATCAAGAATCTATGCATATAAACTTAGCAGATGTCATCTTTACCTTGATGAGAGAAACACGAGCCAAGATGATGGTGGTTGTTGAAAGCTTTAGATTCTGCCTTCCATCTCTTTTCCATCTTCTAGGCTCTTGCATACAACGGCATTTTACACCTGGAAGGCAAGGCAAGTTTATTTATATAGCACATTTCAAACTCTGTCGTCATTCAAAGTGCTTTACAAATGAGAAAATGAGGAACGGTAATAAATGGGAAAGTATCGAAGTATTTTAAAAATAATCAGTCCTAATGTTCACGCTAATGTTGCTAACAATGATTAAAGCAAATTACACAATGCTTATTGGAGGCTAAAAGCTTTCATTGATTCTTAGCATGCATGTTTAAAATATTCCTTCACCCAACGAAGCATTTTAGATGCTCTTAAATCGGCCATACCTGAAAAACTCTTCTCAGCTTTGGAGCAATATTTAGCTTTGTACCAACTCTTATATATGACAAATTAAATGCACTAAACTGGGGATGCATCGATACCGTTATTTTTCAATCCGAGTACGAGTACATTTCTTTTAGTAATCACCGATACTGATTATGATACCATAATGAATTACATCAAAGGGTAGCTGGTGGTGTAAATGAGTGTAATAGGTAAATCATTCAATTCTAGCTGTTTTAAGTATATTAGCTGTCTATGCTGACTATATTAGTTACCTTGAATGGAGTATCATGACGGTGGAGACCACCAGGTGGTGTTCTGCACCAGAAAAACGCTCCTGTACAGCTGCTACAAACAGCTCTGTCTATAATTTCAAATATAGCTGTTTCATTTAAAATAACACGCTGCACACCCGAGTACTGAGCAAACTCGCTGAGCAGCTCAGCTGGGCACTGAAATATACACAGTAAGACAATAAAGTCTCTCGAAAGCCTATTTCACCACGACAGTTACCCAAAAAACAATCACGGTCTTAACGTGTATACATAACTAGGGCTGAATGATTAATTATTTTAATATCAAAATCGCAATTTTCAAATCACAAGAGCTGCATTTTTTTATTTTAGCCTACACTCTTAAATTTAGTTCCTCAATGTTCTTAAAAAAGATCCTTCTTTAGTAAAGACAGTCATTCTATACAGAACCATGAACACTCAGACCCATTTGCATGCATAAAAGGTTCTTTCCATGGTGAAATGGTTCTTCAGATTGGAGAATGTGTTGTATGTGGTTCTGTACAGCATCAAAAAGGGTTCTGGTATTGTTACTTTGTTGCTTG